CTCAATTCAAAGCAAAACTCCTCTTTCCTAAACCTTTATTGATCCTAGCTACAGGGTGTAAAACGAGTAGACAACACAGGGCCTGTGCCACCTGGGGAGCCAGGGTGGCCATGGCCCCCCCACTTTTTTGGGAAGCAAGTAGTTTAAAAGGTGCAGTAAAAAAGGTAAAAGCCTTGGCCCCCAAGTTTTTTAGCCTTGGCCTCCCCACTTTCAAATTCGTGGCACGGGCCCTGCAACAGCAATGGCAGGTTAGGCAATTATAGGCAGGAATGGATTATTTTGTGGGGAAACGTGGTTGGGTGTAGGGGGTGTGGTACCCCCAATATTTTTGTTTCCTTTGATAATTTTTGCTTCTCGATTTGGGCAGAATCTTCTTTGGTAGTCAGTAGTAATCAAATGCACTCTTGTGTGCATAACTACCCCTTACAATGACAAAAGGGATAGCTAGCTTTTTGCAAGATGGCAAAGTTTTGAGTAGGTACACAGATTTATTAGAGAGTTTACGATTCGGTTTGTATGTCACTACGGCTACTCTTAGAGGTCTGGATGATTATATATACCAAAGGCTTAGTTTTCATTTGAAATTGCCTTAAGGAGTCCTGGAACCACATGACCATCTTCTAAATACCTTTGACCAGTGGGTAAAACTCCAAGCAGTATATACTGAAACAAAGCCCGACCCCCCCCCCCTATTCTAAAAGGCCCCCTCTTTATTGACCCTCCTTCAATGTATCAAAAAGTTATCCCATAGTGGCTTACACTGTAAACCCTCATTTCTTGTATTTTGGAAATCAGTGCATTGAAAAAACTGATTTTTTTGATAGAGTTTTCAACTTTTTGTGTGTTATTTGGGAAAAACTAAGTTTGGCAAATTTGGTAGCTTTTAAAAAAGCTGTTTCTCCTTGAATCGTTGCAGTTGTTATTCCCCATTAAACGACTGAGTCAGGGTAGGTCGTTGGATGTTGAAATATGATGCTGTGTTGTTACTATACAGGCAGGTCAATGCATTGCGAAATATGGCACAAACAACATTGTAGATCTTCCCAACAGCACTGAGCCCAATCTTGAGGTCTTTCTTGAAATCAGTGAACTTGAAATACTTCACGATGTCTCCAAAAACCCACTCAACTGAGACTCTGACCTGGCTCATGGACTGATTGAAGGCTTGTTCTTCAGGGGAAAGCACAACTCTCCTCGAAAAACGGGCACTGGAGATGCACTCTTTGAAGATAGGCAGGATCACCATTAATACACAATGGCTGGCCTGTTGGTGAAAACGAGTACCTTTCCAGCTGGTCCAACAAACCAGACATTCCTAATATCCCACTGTCATGCCGCCTTTCTTCAACTGGTCCAAATGAGTTGACAATAAGGCCATAAGGTGCAACAACAGACTGGAATTTCAGGGCATGTACTCTTTTATGTCCATTGTAAACAACTCTTTGATTTGTTTAGGCCTACAAATTGGACGCACAGTACTATCAATAAAGCCCCAGCAATTATCTAGAGCAGCGCCTTTTTGGTGAATTGCATCTGCATATCGTTGCAGATTATCCCGTGAGAGAAAAGGCTGGTCTAGACAAGAGATGTCCGCGAGTGTCCACAATAAAATCAATTACTTTATTGAAGATCATACACAACTGAGGAACTGGCATACCAAACTTTGGAACCAAGTCTGCACATCGACTAGCATACCGTGAACGTTATTTATTCTATTGGCAATATCAAAAATTAGAACCTCTTCAGCATCCAAAAGTCCTGCAGTATGCAGCATCTTTTGTTCGTCCGCCATTTTTTAAACAAATTTGATTTTGGCGCCAAAGCTGCGTACTACAAACTAGGTCGTGGTTCGTAACATGTTTTGTGACTACGGGGAGACAAAACTAGTGCACTTTTGAGTAGCCGGAATGACCTACTCTAAGGTCCTTAAAAGAAAGGGGGGATGCTTATCTATTTTTTGATTTTTTTGACCCCCCAGGAGCTTATTTGGACCCCCCGTTTATTAATTTTTATATGCAGTCATTCATAATCCTGTTTCAATATTTGTGAAAAAGCTTGCAGCGACCAGGTGTAGAGTCGTTCTGTAATAGACTGCTTTTTCGTCATTGCTGTTGCACTATACAGGTGGATTATGATGATTATTATGACTTATTAGTGTCAAGCATAGTCAAATGATGTCGAGAAGTATCAAACATATCTAGACCAACATAATTTTAGCGCTTTCGCGATGAATTCCAACTCACTGTTGTGTAAATGTTGTGGCGGAACTTGGGCAAATCCACTAATGACGTCACAAAATAAGCAAACGTCAGCAAACTCTAATATCTGATACATCAATTAAAAGCTCTTGAAATGCGCATTCACATAAAACCTAGAATTGCTAATTTTTACAATTCATTTTAAATATATGGCAAATTTATGACTGTTTTTGCTGTTATCGATGACGTCATGAATTATGTGATACTGAAGCAAACATTTTTTGGTCCCATCTTGGATTCTAAATCTCCATACTCGAAAGTATATAATACCATCAAGGTCGTCTCGGTTTGGTGAGAAATCAGATTTTCACAGTCATAGCCCTGCCTATCCAGTCATGCACCGATTATATATCGTTATTTTGGCATATTTCTTGTGAACTTTTCTTTGAAAATGAGCAGAGAGTCCTCTGTCAGTAGTGAGGGTCGGAAATATACAGCATGCGTGCTTACACGCTATCAATTTATGAACAGTAAACAAACAATCACAGCCTCAGATTTTCGAAAAAATAAGAACAGTCAGCCTGAACTCAAATTTACTAGTTATTATAAAAAAGAGTAGAGCACCAACATTTAACTCTATTATCTTCTTATCTTCTTTATTTTAAAGTTAAAAACCTTTTTTTAAAATGGGCATTCCCATCATTTTTCTGTGACTTGAAGGATGTGGTACCAAAATCCAACATTTTACCCAACAGCCCCTCCCCCCATCCTTTGCACTTAAATCTGTCCCTGATAATAGAGGCAGGGGCCCAATATATTTTAGGACCCACTTTTCTACCAAAAAAGGATGTTTTATTATAACAAAGCATTAATGTCATCAATATGTAAGTTAATAAGGTAATCAGAATAAATTAATGCAATATTGCAAAAACTTTAACCATCAAGTTTAGATATCAACGCTTACATATCTTAAATCTAAATGTATGTTTACTGTAAAGGCAATTACAAAAAAGTCAAAAGATAAGTTTGTGCATTATTGTGCTTTAGTTCTTGATCGCAAGTAATTCTTGGTGCAAATCACTGAAAGACCTCTTTCCGCTGCAGTTTGTCATTGTTAGAGACAGAAATCGTTTCAACATGTTTACCACATTTTGGAATAGAGTTCAAAAGTATGGTTTGAAGCATATTTTTTTCTGATAAATTCTCTAAAAGTTACTGGCTCACTCACTAACTGCAAAGTCGGATGTTCTTCTGATCATTATAAGTGGCCAGGCCAAAGTAGAAAAGTATAACCAACCATTTTAAGAGCAAATGAATATGCTTGGATCCTTACTAGAACATAAAGTTTTCCTGATGAATTGCTTGAAAAAATTGAGCCTTTAAACTAAAAATGATTTTTTCAAACTAATGATTTTAATATTGAAAAAAGGCTTCCCATGAAATATTTTAACAGAAATAGTAATTTACATTTCATGTAATATAGATGTAAAGGATAAGGTCTTACTTCATTTTTCAAGTTTATTAACTACCCATGTTTTCAAGTGGCTGTTTGTGCAAAAACGTAATTTTGGCAAAATTTCTGCAAATTTCTTGGGTATTAATTTTTGCCAATGAACAAAATTCAAACGTTTTCACTTGAATTTATTTAATAACCGGTGATTCTAAATAACCTTAGGTTGGAGCATCTGTTTATCCAACCGATGCTGTATTGGTAGTTTACTCAAAATGGGTATATTAGGAGAATCCCTACCACAGTTTGTCAGGAATAATTTCATTTTCAAATTTGGATACTTGTCTTTTTAAGCTAATCCATTGTGAATTTATTTATTCCATTCTGCCTTTAAATTTTTTCCATCCTTTTTTTCTATTTATCAATCCTTCATTTCTATTATAAATACCCCCACGTGTTATTTACTAAACAATTGATTCACATTTCCGCTTTATACTGAGTTGTTCCGCTTGTTCCTGGGTTGTTACTGGGTTATTCTGCTTGTTACCAGGTTGTTACTGGGTTGTTCAGCTTGTTACTAGGTTGTTCTACTTGTTCTCTGTTTTAGACATTTTTAACAAATGAAATTTTCAAGCTTCATAGTAGTACTATCTGTTTTAGAAACAATTAAAAAGGTTAATTTTGAACTTGAGTGTGACAAATCATTCAGTGACATTTGAAAAAAGAAGTGGAACAAGCACAGTGCCTTTTGGTACTCTTAATTTAATGTTACAAAACCTGAATTTGATTCATTCACATTTCACATATAAAAATTGCTTTCTATCTGAAAGATATGATTTTAGGGAATTAAGACAAGTACTTTGGATTCATTTATGTCCAAGTTCCATCAAAATGATGTTATGGGTAAGGGTTGAAAATGCCTACAAATCAAGAAAGATTCAACAACAAACCTTCACCATTATATTATGAGTTCCTTATTGAATGTCAGGCTTTTTATGGTCTATGGTTAGTAAAATTATTAGCACAAAGTCAGAAAACCAAGGTGTATGAAATCTTATTGTTGCCAAGGAACTAATTGATCAAGATGTTCATATTTCACCCTCTTAGACGTTTCTAAACACAAATAAACCTTGGGAAATTGATGGTGGTCTTTTGTTTAGCAAGACCAATGCCAAATTTAAATGGCTACCAGAATTCATCAGGACCTAGTGCATTTAAATGAAAGGAAGACTCATTTGTGTAAGATAAATGTGTCTTTTTCTCTTTAAAATTCTACAAATCTTTATGATTTTAAAGATGTTGTTTAGTGGAAAAATGATAATTTTCTTCTTATTCTTCTCTTACATTTTCAGATAAATCATGATTTTTGAAGTTTTCGCAGCTTTGTTTGTGGCTGCAATCATCTACATACTGGTTGATTACGGCCTCCAGCTTGCAGAACTCGTAAATTATCCTCCAGGGCCATTGCCCTTGCCAGTAATTGGAAACTTACACCTACTAGGAAGGAAACCTCATGAATCACTGAAAAAGTTATCTACCACATATGGAGATGTTATGAGCTTAAGTATAGGGAGACAGCGCATCGTTGTTATCAATGACATTGAAGCAGCAAAGGAAGCTCTCCTTCGCAACGGCGAAGATCTATCTGGCAGACCACAAGATATTTATCCTGCATATATACTCACAAAAGGCTACAAGGACATTGGTTTTGCTGACAATGGACCTGCTATGAAGCTAATGCGGAAAATGGCCCATGCCTCTCTAAAAATGTATGGTGCAGGTTTAGAAGATTTGGAGAAAAGCATTGTTGTGGAGGTGACAGAGCTTTATAAGCGATATGATGAAAAGTTAGGAGTCCCATTAGACCCACATCCAGATATTGGTAAGAAATATTTTGACTTATACAAATTCATCTGACCTTTCCTGTTTTTAGGTTCAGTGCTTGGTACCCAGTCACAATAACTACACTCCCCTCAAAAATGAATTCCACCTCCTCGAAGGAGAGGAAATGGCGCAAGAATTATCAGAAGCTATTGTTCTGCGAATTGATTTTGTTTTTAATTGTTGTGCGAATTGACCACCAATCAAAACTTGAAATTTTTTTACAGCACTTTTTAAAAAAATAACAGTAAGAAACGTCTTTTAAACGTTTCAAGCTTTAATATGTTGACGGGAGCAGTGAACTTTTGAAACCGCTTTCAGCCGTTTGGAATTTCGTTTCCAAACGGTTCTCTAAAGAATTCTAATGATTCTCTGGTTCTTGAAGAACCAAATAATCTTGGTTGGTAGTGCTTTCCATACGAAGCAAAACATTATTAACGACGTGCAAATCTGAACTTGATGAACATCATGGAAAAACCTGAATTCTTCTTGTCTTGGAGTAAATCGTTATAAAGATGGTTTATTTTTACTCATGTAACATTGCATTTTATATTTGTATACGACACTCGTTCTAATCTGTCTGGAAGGATTTTGAGCTGAAAAACCTGTAAACGGTGTGATTCCCCCTCTAAGTCTTACATAGATTTTCTTTACCTGTCCACTACAAGGTTTCTTTGCTACTGAAACACTCTCGAGAAAACATTTTGAAGTTCTCCCAGCTGTTGTGTGGCTACATTACATCTAACTTGCTCAACAATTTTTTCATTTGACTCGTCTCTCATTTGACATTTTTTCTCCTTTAGGCATTTTCAATATTTCTACAAACAAAAACTTTTCTGCGTAAATTATACATTTCAAACTATGTTTTTTATGACATCAGCAAGATTTTCAAGAATTTCCCCCAAAAATTTGCTACAGTCTATCCCTTTATCACCCAATTCATGCATTCAAATGTTTGGTATGTTTGAAAAGTTGATAAAAAAGCCGCCATTTTGAACAAGGTGGTGCAATTCTTGTGTGAGAGGAGGGTATATAGTTCAGTCATTGTGATACCTAGGGGCTTGAGAACATTTCCAGAAGGGGTGCCGCTCCCTTTTGATTCCGGGGGGGGGGGTAAGCTAAAGATAAAAATCTTATGATGTCATACTGTCTGGATATCTCTGAAAAGGTTTTTGGTGATGATTTATGTCAGGTTTCGTCTATGGGGAGAGTATAGATGACTGATTTATTACTGTAATTGATCCATATGAAAAACCGTTTTTCCTCTTCAATTCCTTTTAGAATTTCTCAAAACCAGGGGTCAGCACATAAACGCACAGAGATCACTGAGACTTTGCCGGGGTAAGGGTTAAACCAGAACTGCCAGCAAAGTAAAGAGTTCTGATTCAGTCGTTAACTAAGAATATTTCGGCGTTAGCTGTAGCCACATGTAGGAAAGAACCTATTTCTTTTACTGAAGCCATGGCATTCAGATAAGGAAATGTTACAGAACTACTAGGCAAATCGTAAACAGCGAGTTGTTTTGAATGGGAAAACTCAAAATGGGCACCGATATGTGCTGGTGTGCCACAGGGCTCTGTCTTGGGGCCATTGCTTTTTCTTGTCTACATTAATGACCTTGTCGAGAGTGTGAACTGTTATGTTAGGATGTTTGCAGATGATACATCTCTCTTCTCGGTTGTTGAAGATGAAAGAAGATCTGCTGATGAGCTTAATGCTTATCTTGACAGGGTCCGGTTGTGGGCATGGCAATGAAAAATGCAATTTAACGTAAATAAGACTGAAGAGGTTGTTTTCTCTAGCAAAAAAATGAAACCGGTCCATCCACACCTTCTGCAAGGCAATGATGAAGTCGTAGGAAAAGCCAAGCACGAGCATCTTGGAATGCAACTTGATTCTGAACTTAATTTTCTAAGTCATATTAAGGAGGCTATTGGCAAGGCTAGAAGGAGCATAGGGGTGATAAAATTTCTGTCCAAGTATGTGTGTAGGGATGTGTTGGACCAAATATACAAATTATACGTGAGACCTCACCTAGACTATGGAGATATCATTTATCACAAATATGATCCTGAAATGCGCTTAACATTTACGCAAAGGCTTGAACAGACCCAATACTCTGCAGCCTTAGCTGTTGCTGGCGCCTGGAGTGGTACAAACAGGCAGAGATTATACGAAGAATTAGGATGGGAAAGCCTGTATCACAGGAGGTGGTATAGAAGGCTATGCCATTTTTTAGCTTAGTTAAATCACAATCACCTGATTACCTTTTTCATGAAATCCCTCCCGAACGTCAACCCAGTTACGGTCTTAGATACCCTCGTGATTATGAAGTAAAAGTTGCTAGAACTAATCGTTTTTCTAACACATACTTTCATAACACCTTGCTTGAGTGGAATTTGCTTGATGAAGAGATTAAGAATTCAACATCCCTTTTTCAGTTTAAGAAAAATTATTAAAAATGATTAGACCGGAGGGTAATCCTGTTTACAATATCTCTGATTTTGAGGGCGTCCGATTGCTCACCAAGTTGCGTTTAAAGTTTAGTTTACTGAATGAACACAAATTTAGACACAACTTTGATAGTCTTACTCCATTTTGTGTTTGCGGTACTGACAAGGAAGACAACGAGCACTTTCTTCTGCACTGCCCCTTGTTTGAATCAATGCGGCCCGATCTCTTTGATCAGCTCTCAGAAATCCCTGTTTTAAATGTCAATCTAGATGATAAATCTTTGTGTGACTTGCTTCTGTTTGGAGACTCTCATTATAATGTCATTATTAATCGAATAATTCTTGAAGCAACAATATTGTTTATCAAAAATACGAAAAGATTTTCAGGTTGACTTCAATCGCAAAGCAGCAGCAGCATTTTTCTTTTATTTTCCTTTTTCCCTGTAATGTTTGTACCGGGAGTCTTGTAAGGAACCACTTCCTTGCTCCACTAATAGCTTTGTCTGGATTAACAACATTAATGTGGATGGGGGATGTGTTCCTTCTAAGACACTCGGTTAAGTTGTTGTTTATCTTTTTGTCATTTAGATGAATGTTAATATTAATGTAAGTGCTGTCGTAGTTAGAGCTCGATGACGTCGTGTCTTTTCCGGCTACGGCAGACACAGAATATTTTTATGTAGTTAATTTTGAGTTGTTTTTATTTGTGATATATATAAAAAAAAGATAAGGAAATAAAGGAAAACCGCTTTGAAAATTTGTCTCCAGAACTAATTTTTTGCTTGCACTTGAATGTTGAATATGAAGCAGAGCAGGGTAAAGGTATTGCTGCATGTTATAAAAATTGACAAGAAGTGCACAGAAAATGTCCAAAGAAGGATGAATTCTTGCCAAAGGATGACAAGAAAATTGCCAACTCTGGGCGAGTTTGAATAATAGGTTTTTTCTGTTTTCTAGCGCTTCAATATTTAGAGAGGGGGGGGGGGTTGCCAAAAGCAAACTCCGGCGTAATTAAGAAGATTCCCTGGTTCTATTACCTGGTAAGGCCCTGGAAGTTCTGTATTGTGCAGCATTGCTATAATCCTGCTAACCTAGGCCTTTTAGCTAAGTTACTACTGGTTGTGCAAATGTTACATTAGCCATTAAAAGTGGCCCACGACCTATTTTGAAATACTGCCACTAGTAGGTCAACTGGTTTTGTTTGTTTCAATGTGATTTCCCCGATAAAATGTGAAAAGTTGGTTTTGCCTGATTTCAAAAATACTGTTATAAGAATTGAATTTTGAATTGAAAGTGGATTTAGTGTCATATTGCACAATTTTTTGTCGTCATACCATCCTGATATTGTAGAATTTTCAAGTATAATTACCAACACTAAACGATTTTCATTTATTGGTATCAACCCTTCTAAAGAGTGGATTTGTAAAGAGGGGTCCCAAAATAATAAATTACTGTGACTGTAGCAAATTTGATCCAGTAAAGTTAAGGAGTGACTTACGTGAAGAACTAGGTAAATGTCACAGGGAAAAAGTCCTTTATGACCATTTAAATGCTCCAGTTGAAAAGGTTCTTAATAAGCACGCTCCCGTCAAGAAGAAATCTGTTCGAGCAAATGATGGTCCTTTCATGACCAAGGCCTTGAGGAAGGCAATTATGCTAAGAACAAGATTTCAAAAAGCAGTGCAACAAATGTGTAAAGACATTGCGAAAAGCGGAGGTTGATTGCTAAGGAAATCTCGACTTGAAAGACATTTCAGATAATAGAAAGTTTTGGAAAACCTCTTTTTCCAGATAAAATTGAAACCCCTGGAAGGTTGATGAATTACTAGAGGGTGATGAATTGGTCTCCGATGATAAGAAAGTTGCTGAAATCCTAAACGGTTACTTCGTCAACATCACTGCTAGCCTAGAAACTTCAAAGGTAAAGCAGAATTTGATAATAGCAAACGAATTACGTGACCCTATAGATTTTGCCGTAAATATGTACAAACGCCACCCAAGTATAAAACTGATAAAGCAATGGGTAACGGTCAGTGAAAAAATTTCTCTCCAGCAAGTTTTTTTGGAGGATATATTGAGTCAGCTTAAGAGCTTAGATCCGACAAAAGCTTCTCCTTTTGGCAGCATACCTGTGAAAATATTAACTGAACATTCTGATTTGTTTGCTCTATTGGTACAACTCTTCATAAATGAGAGTATAGATACAAGCAAATTTCCAATAGAATTAAAGAAAGGAGACATCACAACCCTCTTTAAGAATGGTAATGCCTTTGCAAAAAAATTACAGGCCTATAACAGTCTTAACGGCTATATCCAAAATTTACGAAAAAACATTTTCAGGTCAAATTGCTCATTACATGGATAATATTTTGTCTCCTTCTCTTTGTGCATATCGTAAAGGCTATAACACCTGACATGCACTCCTTAGATTGATTGAAAAATGCAGATCTTTCCGTTTATCTTATCTGATCTGTATTAGCATAGTAAACTCTTGACCAATTAATACTACCAATGTAGGTTGACAGAAACGACAAAAAGTCCCTTTTTAAAGTTTTAGTACGACGACAGTCCCTTCTTAAAGTTTTGATAGTCAATTGCATGCTAAGATGAATTTCCGATGTCAAAGGATGATTTGGTTTTGCCCATTTTAGGGCATGGGGGTAATTAGACGTCACGTGACAAATAAAAGCTCATTTTACTACTTTAAACGTATTTCTACCAAAAAAGATAAACTATTCTTCATATTCCACTGCTTCGATCAGATTTATTTTGTTAAAAACGTCATTCCAGCCACATTTCTCCTTCGCAGAGGATAAGCAGGAACTTCTCCTGAGTTAACCCCCATTTTACCCAAAAAACAGTGGCAATAGATTATTTCCAACTGTCACGTGACTGACTCGCTGCCGTTAACTATTGGTCTATACGATCAACTTAAATTTGTCCCTTCTGAGGTTCAAGGGAAGTCACAAAATCTTTCAAGCTTACCATTACTGTGGCCTAAACATAGTTTGAAACTAGCAATACTTGTGCAGATAAGGCGGTACTTACAAAGTTGTTTAAAAAACAGTTCCCAGATAGGAAGGCACAGCAAACAAGTTGGTTAGGTACATATGCAAACGATCCTAAACATATAATATTTCAAAATCGGCGATGAAAACTGTCCGTTTCAAAATCCGTATGGTATAAATAATGCGTTGCTATGTGTATCCAAGACTAGGCTGTGATCCATCATGGCGGACATAAGTGAGTCAAGTGACAGGTGGGAATAATCTATTCCCCCTTTACTATTACAATTCAATATCCCCAGTTAATAAAGAACTCGAAACTGGAAATCAAAATTTCCCCGCCCAAATTGGTACAACCCTCCATTTCCGTCTGGTCAAAGGAGACAGTCAGTATAAACCGTTGAAAAATTAGTAAGTTTCATTATTTTGATATTCAACACTTTTCTTTTTGCAGCATTGGCAGTTCTCAATATAATTTGTTCCATCATTTTTGGCTGCCGTTACAAATTTGAAGATAAAGAGTTCTCAGATATTGTTGAGCAAAACAGACTATCAGTTCAAGGGATGGACAACGCAAGTGCCCTTTCATTCATGCCATGGCTAAGATTTTTTCCAAATGAAGGTTTATCTAAATTGAAGCGAGGGGTAGCTATGAGAGACAAGATTTTATCACAGAAGCTTAAAGAGCACAGGGAGTCATTCGACGCAAGCAATTTACGAGACTTCACAGATGCCCTTTTAAATGAATTCTATAATGAAGCAAAGGCTGATTCTAAAGTGAAGCAATTGCTAACGGATGCAAACCTCGAGATGATCTTGGCTGATTTATTCATTGCCGGCGCAGAAACAACCACTACAACCATATACTGGTGTCTTGCATTTCTAGCCTGGTGGCCTGAAGTTCAATTAAAAATTAAGAATGAGCGTGCTAGGGTCATTGGAAACAAAAGACCCTGTCTTGCTGATCGTGGCAAACTACCGTTTTTTGAGGCAACCATTCTTGAAACGCTTAGATTTTCCTCACTTGTTCCTTTGGGCGTTCCTCATAAAACTACACGAAACACACAATTTGGAGGACATTCAGTTCCAAAAGGAACGCAAGTATGGTTGAATCAATGGGCATTTCATTTTGATCACCGTCACTGGAAAGAGCCTGAATCCTTCAAGCCTGAACGTTGGCTTGAGGAGGACGGCAGTCTGGTTCCCGGAAACAGGCACAGCTACATGCCTTTTGGTGCAGGTAGAAGAGTTTGCTTGGGTGAAGCGCTAGCAAAAGTGGAACTCTTTTTGTTCCTCTCAAATATCCTTTTCAGGTATAACGTAAAGCAGGCAGATTGTGGACCGCCAAGTTTAGAAGGTGTTCTATCGATCACATATAGCCCAAAACCTTATCAAATTATTCTCGAAAAACTAAACTGAATGTGATTTCTAAAGAACAATGACGACAACCAGCAGTATAGGGACAATAACAATAACAAGGCTCGACTGAAAGGTTTAATTCAAAGTCCCGAGATAATGGTCTTTTTTTAATCATACGGGCACTCACAAAGTGAAATTATTAGTTTTAATTTCATTGCAAAACATTGCTTTAACCTTCAATATAACTGCTTGTTTAATTAACTAAATAAATGATTTAATTCTATTCTTGTTTTGATTGCATATGCTTGAGAAATAACTTATCATTTGCAGACACGGTTGTAAAATCTTGTCGTCTTTGTGCTAATCATTTCATGTTCCCAAACTTTAACAGTAGGGTTAAGTATATTGCACGATCCTAAAGTGAAATTGCTCACTGTATAATCTTGTCATGTCCAGTTAATACTTGCATTATTCTTAAGTATAACCGCTAGATTAAGTACATGATTGTATAATCTCGTCATGTCCGTTTTTAAACTTGTACGATTCTTAAGTATATCCGCTAGATTAAGTACATGATTGTATAATCTCGTCATGTCCGTTTTTAAACTTGTACGATTCTTAGGTATAACCGTTGGATTAAGTACATGGTTGTATAATCTCGTCATGTCCGTTTTTAAACTTGTACGATTCTTAGGTATAACCGTTGGATTTAGTATATGATTGTATAATCTTGTCATTTCCAGTTAATACTTGCACAATTCTGAAGTATCACAGTAGAGTTTAGTACATGTCATACAAATAATCTTGTCATCTCTGCGCTTTTCTTGGAGTTTCCTTAAAAAATGACTCCTGTTTTCAGTACATGATTTTCTAAGTTGACATTTATGACTCTTCATTGTTTGTTTTATTTGTTAATTCTTTTTATATCTTCGTTGTTGTGATTAGGCACTTCAAAAGGAAAAGCTGTCCTACCTTTTAGCAATATTTTGTCAACACATTGAAACCACATTTTCGTGACAAATCTTTGAGAGTTTACTGATATGACGTTTCTTGGAAAGATTTAAATCGAAAGGTAGAAGAAAAAACTTAAAAAACGTACTTATTTCCACATGTTGCTTACCATTTGACGGTTTTTAGAGGATTGGAAGTTATCAAGCTGTTTTCCTTACAATTTATTTCAAGCCTTGTCGCTTTTTTAGCATATCCAAGCTCGATGTTTTATTCCATTTACATTTCCATCAATCATGATGATTCAGGAGTGACTGAATCACAATCATGGTGATTCAGGAGTGACTGATTTTTCCATGATCGTGATGTTTGATCTGAGCAAAGAATTTTCAAATTTTTCCTCAAGAATCCTGTAAATTTTTCATATATCCAACACTGTTTCGCGTCCTTTATTTTGGGCTGTGGCTAGGGTAGTTCACGTTACCCGCATGAAAAGAAATGGGCACTGATTTGTTTTAAATAACAATGGTGTGAATAAAACTTTAATTTGCTTTCTTAATCATACTTTTTGATGATCTCAAATTTATCTTTTTGCACTAGCTCCAAAAGTAAACATCTGACATCGACTTGCATGTAAATATTTGCTGACTGAAAGGGATTCGTTGCTAAGGAGGTGTTATAAAATATCCCTGGCGGGAATCACTACATAGATGTAAGTATTGGAAGAACTATTTACTAGGCAGGTTAAAGTATTAGAATTACAAGTGGTGGATCCAGCCATGATTTCTTATTTGAGCCAAACGACATTAACAAATTAATCAACTAGAGAAAAGAAATGAGGAGAGATTTTAAACGAAGTCACCTCGGTCCGATGAAGTCTTGATTCAGTCTTTTTCTCTCTAATTTGTTGTTCGTGCGAATCGCTCTATACATACTTTTCTAGAGTGGCATACGTATTCATCGAGAGTTTCAGTGGCGGATCAAGTTCAATTACAAAGAATTTGCAGTTTTGCTCTTGAATTTATTTATTTATTTGGAAGTTGTTATCAGGGGCGAAACTACCGTGGGGGTGTGGGGGGGTGTAACACCCCCCCAATCCAAAAAATAGTCGATTTCGCAGGGCAATCGAAGATTTCGCAGGGCGCCAAGAAGAGCTTTATTGCCACGCAGAAATGCCACCTCTGAAGTTCGTAAAGAGCCGTTTAGGAATTTTGAAATGGAAATATCGTATTTGTTATGAACCTTCCTTCCTGACATTGCATTTTAGAGAACGGAACAGATATGTAAGGAAAAGCTCCGTTATTTGCAAAGCGAAAGCATTTCTTACCGAAAGTCATGCACAAATTGATGCATATGTTTACGAGGGCAAGGTTGAGTCCATACAAGCTAATTTAAGTTGTAAATTATTTTCATGACAAGCACGGCGTCACTGGAGGGGAATAAGAGGCTGAAGGCCCTCACTTTGGTCAAGATAAGAATTTTTTTATCATTTTTTCTATTACTTTTTAACAGTGCATGAACTAAAAAACATAATAAATCGTTAAGATACCGATTTTGTTTCATCTAATTGCTAACTCTTTCACGTATATTTTTATTATTTTTCTTTTATTTGCATTAATTCAGTAAATCACTTTCTGTATCATTGCAATGTTTTAATTTTGGATGTGTAAACATGGCCTTCTCGCTGCAAGAAACTGCACATTTCTGTTCAGGAAATAAAATTTTCCCAATCAAAACAACATCTCCCTCTGTCATTCACAACTACGTGCAATCTGAAACGAAAGGTTGTCGTTTCTTTCCTTCACCAACGTCTAATACTAGAGTTTTAGCATGACATCCCCAGGCCTTGAAAAGATATTTTTCTTCCTGGCAGCAAAATAAAAAATTCAAGATTTCCTGTGAAGCTTCGAGAAAGTTTCTAGCCACTGAAATTGATATTTCAAGTTGCTTGATTTGTTTAAAAATTTGTCCTAAAAAGAAACTGTCACACTAGAAAGAACTAATTGTTGGTCCTGCAATCTTGATCATAGCTATTCGAACAGGAATCATTTTGTTTATACTGTATTAGATGATCAAGGAGAACGTGATCAAGCACGATACTCATAGTTTGTTTTCAAGGTTAAAGAAAGTAGATCTGAAATCTATAATAACTTTGATTAAATTTCATATCAGTACTAGCAAACTAGATACTTTATAAGTATTGATATATCTATACATCTTGCTCTGGGTGGGTTTATCATCAAAGCTAGTAGTTCATACAACATGTAAGAATACTATTTTATTTTTTAATGGTTGAAATAAAATTTTAAAATCAGGGGTGGTGCTAGAGGCAAAGATTTAAGACCAAAACGCTTACATTCTATAAAGCAAGTGATGAAAAATATATGCGAATGCCAGTAGAAAAATACGAATAATGATGGACACATCCACACAGGTTTGGGGCATGCTCACCTTCAAAACAATTGACGTAACAAGATTGGTTGTCTTTGAGTGTTTTTACATAAATAGAATGGCTGATGTAAAAAAAGGAATGAACTTTGTTTTAGCTCGCTGGAATTGAATTAGTAGCTGAAAATCATGCACGGAAATTTGGCATAACAGACGCTTATAACACCAGATGATTGAAAGCTAATCTTCGTTTTTTGTTAGTAGTGCAGAACAAAAATTATACAGTATGTATGTATATCGCAAGAAAACAGCATTCCATAAAATATTCTAGCATGAATTTAATGTTCATATTAAAATCAAGCAATGGAGATTTCACGCTAAAAATTTCCTGGCAAGCATCAACAATTTCCTGCAATGAATTTGGGCCAAAAATTTCCTGGCATTAAATATGCCGGACATTTTCCAGCCCTGGTTATCCCCTCCCTATTTTTCCCAATAAACAATAATATTTTCAATAAACAATCAGTTCTTTTAGCACAATAGTATTTTGCTAAATTTTTGTCTGAAAGATGCTTTTTAGCCCTTTTACAAGGTATAATTTCAAAAAAATTTTTACGTCGGACCCAACTATGGTGGGTCCTCCTACCTCACTAAACTTGATTCTTAGCCCCACTGGGCTAAATTTCGTTGTACTGTCTACATCATGTACCCTCCCCCAAATTAGCTGTTTATTAGCTAGTATTTCGCAAACCAACATTAAATAAAGTGAATATAAAAGAAACAATTTACGCTTAAGTAGAGAAATTGATATTTCATAGGCAATGAAGTTTCAAGTTTGTTTTTATTGCTTAGAAGTTTGTCCTTGGTAAAGACCAGTGTACACTGGTAAAGCTTTCACTAGTAACCTATAGACAAACTGTTGCTACGAGGTCTGCAGGGCACCACTCAGTTTTGCAGGGCAGAAACCCTTTTCACCCCCCCCCCCAAACCTATTGGCCAAGTTACGCCCCTGGTTGTTATGCCGTCAAAGAGACAATTCAAATGCTCTGTGACTCTCAGAATGACATCCCTAACTGGTGTTATTAAATTCTTGCTTGCTTTATCATCTGCTTGTTTTGTCAAATGCAGAATCGTCAGTTTTGCAGTTTGTCAATAATTGATATCTCGGCTACTAATCCTTTATCGTTAATAAGCAATGACCCATACAAATGTTCTACATTACTAGTTGTTGTTACATCCAGCTTAAACAAGTCATCAGATGTATTTTCTGTTGCATTTGCGGCAGCTATGCTGAATTTGAAGTGCAGTGATGTTTTTCTTAGATTATGGTCCGAACGCGCTTTCACATCATCTGACCGTGTACCCCTTACCGATGGAATGAACTTTAAAAATATTTGCACCTCGTTGGGAAGAAAGATGCAAACCCTCATTTGTATTTGATTATTCGTTTCATCAGATTGCTTCAAACCTGGCTCAAGAGCCTTTTAGATTGCAAACAGAAGAATTCAGCATTTCAGTACACTAAAATTACTTCTAATAGACACATTTCTACACTATTAAAGGTAAGTAGAACAGTACTTTTAAACCAAAGCTACATAAAAATCTACAATAAATTAGCAAAATGTGTAAACCTTACTGGTTAACTTTTCATTTATTCTCAATTAATGAAAAGGTTAAGTAAATAATATTACTTGAATCTGGTTGAAAAACTATCACAGGAAGCACTGGCTGCGAAGTACAGCTTTTAGGAACGTGCATTAAGCACAGTGCTACAACAACAGTTTTGACTTATCTTGTCGTATGCATCAAAGGTCACAAAGAGATTTACAAATGGCATGCAAAGCCCATGGGTCAATACGTACTGGCTATTATCGTGTGTTTTTCTTGTAGAAACAATTATCTTTGTGTGCAAGCCACTTGAGCACTATCGTTTCCACTCGGTGTATATATAAGATGCACTAAAAGAAAGTTGAATTGCCCGTCTTACCAGACCTCATTGTGAGCCCCGTCGCCGTCGAGCCTTTGGAGTTAACAACAATTGCTTTCTTCTTCTTTTGCCTGGATTGATCGAATTGCATCAGGACAAATACCAGGTCTGTGGGTGCCAAAACAAAGTTGAATTCTGGAAAGGTTATTACGTACCGCTTTGTGCTAGGAATCCCTGTTGTGTGACGCGAATTATCACGAAATCGATAAAGCCCAAGGCAAATCATGTTGTAAGTACGAAGAGCATACAGAAATAGGTCACCAAATAAACCGCATTCCTATAAAACAGGAAAAGTGGAACGTTTAAAAAGTCTATTACATATAACAATATGATTAATTGATATTTAGTGGGCGCCGATGTTCATCATTTGTTCTAACAACCTACTTTGAACTATTTAGAATTTCTTTGATTACAACTACTAGTAAGAACTGACAGAGGCGGCTTACCCCAAATTCTGAAAGTGGCCCGTCATACAGAGAAATTTGTCCCACACGGCATCGGTTTCGAGCTGCTGCAATCTCCGGGGTTTCTTGTGTACCAGTAATTTGCACTCCTTCAGCCATTTGTGTGTCGAGTTCAGGAGATACAGCTCCCGTTACCAAATTTCTCACAAGTGTCAGTATATCACTATTGAAATAAGTCTAGAAGAAACAATTTTCAGAGTGATGATGCTGTCTTATAAGTAATTACGCAATAAAATTGGAGTAAAATAAAAGTCAGGAGGCTAGTTTGGTATGATTATGCAGAGCGGATAATTTTAAGCCAAATTTTTAATGATGATCGGGCATTTAAAGGAAATGTTCGAATTTTAGGGAACACAGAAACAAATTTTACGAAGTAGGCTTTATACACGCTCTGCAAAGAGAAAGACTGTCAGGGATAATTTGCAACTTGAGGCAGCAAGCACAATGACAGACAGTTCTCTAATTGTCTGCCAAAAGAATCAATTGTCAAGATATAGAAGGGAAACTGCATGGTAACGGACGGTCAATCGATCCCTTTAGGTAAAAAAGCAAACAAACTGCACTGAATGGATTTCTGTGCATTACATTGCCTATCCACACTAGGCAAGATCTCACAGCCAGACCATTGGGATCAACCTGAAGTGGGGTGCAAATTTGCGATCTGAAAAAGATCACGTGAGCCAATTGGAAAAGGTTTCCAAATTCATAAATTCAAAAAATCAAATTTAATAATGGGAATAAACGACTCCAGATAAAGACAGTCAGAAAATATATAGCCAAATTTACAAAATAAGGGGTGTGAGCTTGATTTAAATGTCGGCTTGGGCTTGATGTGAATATATCGAGAAGATGTCAATCAGGGAGAGAAACGCCTATGTTTAGAACAATAACATTTGTCCTGGCTGTTTCTTAAGGGTGACAGGTGCACCTGTATAAGGAGATCAGACCAAACTGTCATAGTTGGGACTTTAGTGTGTGAAATATGATGTGGATCTCCTTCGACTGAGCCCCTACCTCTTGGAATGACACTGATAGATTTTCTATTTTCGATGGAAATATAGTTGACAAGAACAAAAAGAATGGTAAATTGACAATATTTTAAGAACAAAATGCGGTTTCTGTCTGTACCTATTTTTGGAATCATGTCACAGTTTTGGATAGCTGTTTTCTGACTTTGCCACTAGTAAGCCAATAATTAGAATAATTATTTAAAATTGGAAAAATTGAGATTTGCAAGTAAAAAGCAGATCGCTTACAGCACTGACGAGAGAATCCAAAACAGACATTGTGAACGCAGATCCGCATGCATAAGGTTGTGTTAGGTATATTCCATCATCATCATAGATATTCATGTCATCTTGGTCGAGGTACATCGCATTTGAATCGCAAACTAAAAAAGGAGACCTCTTCGATTAACATTACTTGTCTATGTATGTATGTATCTTTTCAATTGAACAGATTTTTAATGACGAAGTTTGGATGTTCTTATGATATCTTTGACTTGAAGAAGTGCAGTAATTGATAACCTCACCAAGTTCAGTTATTATTGGGATGTTAGCACCACGTGTTGATCCCGTTGCTTGAACTTCTGCGATATGTGACGGTATTGCTACGGGATTGTTTTGCACAGCTTCGCCGTTGTTTGTACCCTTGTCACCACTTTCAGTAATATCAACTTTTTCAAAACACATTGCTTTCAGGTTTTGTGTAACCAAGATGCTTTCCTTGTCCGACAGTGCTTGGTGCTCCTCCTCCTTTGCAAGACTTGGTGAAAATATAATCACCATATCAGCTAGGTTTACATTTACAGCACGAAGGTCTGCTCTTGAATATGGAGACCCCTGGAAGAATAACGTTAGAAAGACGTTACATTCAACATTCCAGCTAGTAGAAGACTTAAATTTGCGGCAATGTCCGGTTTTTTGTGTTTATAGATGCTTTGATCTTAATTTCCTCTCTCAAATGTGTCAACATCAAGACAGATGCTCAGCAGCATTTTTCATCTTCGGAATATCTCAACGGCCGATGAACAACAGGAACTATAAATATAGAGTGAACAGTTCATCATGATGATAAAAACATACTTACAGGCACTATGTCTATATTCGGGAAATTGCATATGTCTTCCCACTGTAAGTGAAGAAACTCCTTTTAAATATACACTTCAGTTAAAATTAAACTTCAATTTCAAAATTGTGACCTTGTATTAATCCTGCTTCCAACTCTGTTCACAGCAGAGAATTCTCCAGGATATAATCTTTGTGATTAATTTTAAAATACAAGTTTACAACCATGCAAATTCAATTACCAATTCGTCTCAGACTTAAGTTAGAGATACGATAAAAGCAGAGATACATGTTCATACTTGTCTCTATGAAGCTTCAAAAATATCAAACATTATGGATATAAGCAATAAAACAGATTTTGCTTTTTTTCATTTTCGGACGTGAAAATTAATCGACTGTGCCCTGAACAGACAAGCATCTTCACACTGAATTATATAAAAATATCAAACTTGATACCTCTCGCATAAGATAATCCCCATCGCCCAAAATGACGATCTTTTTCAATTCATTTGCATGAAAGTTGCTTGCTCTCAAAGGCAAAACCTGAAAATATATCAAAATGTAGAGTTGCTGGCTAAAGAAAGGAGTCGTCATAAGACAATGATCAATAATTGATATCGCAGCAGCAGGAATTTAATCAAACAGATACGCCGATTGGCGATTTTTACGCAAGTTAAAGAAATGGCACAGCCGCCTAAACCACCTTCTATGATACAAATCCTCCCATCCTAGTTCATCATAGAGCCTTTGCCTCTCCATGCACCAGTTACAGCAAGAGCTGCAGAGTCATTATTTCATATAGATTCACTGCGGAAACAGCGAAAAGCGCCCACTGGAGTAAGTATCCCAGCATTTTGTACAGTACGGAAGTCTGTGAAAAGTATAAGTGCACCATACTAGTTCTTAACTAATAGCTCGCCCGTTAAATAAGAATTCTCTTTACCAAAAGTACAGTCTGTACAAAGTAGCAATTTCCAAGCAATTAATATCTTGAAAACCTTATTAAATTTGTAATCTTTTTAAAACTACTTTGCAGATGTTATTGATAATGGCAAACCTTTCAGTCAATGTGTGTTCTCTATTTGCTGAGTTCTTTGGGAAATTAGTACACAACATTTGTTAGTATAAAACCAAAGAAGTTTGGAAAAAATAATATCGAAAATTTAGCTGGGTTTCATTTTTTACTTTGAGGTTCATTTCTTCATAAATGTCCGATTTTTATACCCGGAGAAATATCGGATGACAAGCAGATCCTTAAATAAATTATCAACGTTTCTATTCTGTTGGACTGACAAGTGAAGGGCGCACACAAATATATTTGTTAAAATGGACCACATTGAAAGCAAAAAATAGATTTTCATAACAAAATTCATCTGAAATAAAGGTGGCACAATTAATTATTCCTCATTATCAAAATCATTTTGATTAACATACCAATCCGCGTAAACCAATTGGTGGTGAATAGCGTGAATTCAATATCAATACCAAGACATGATTACGGAATTGATTCTGTTCAGCTTCACCACGATTCTAGAAGAAAGTAAATCGGCTAAGTACTAAGAAGCGCAATTATTTTCAAAAGCACAACGAGATATGTCATAAGGTAGGATGGAGAGCAATGGACTAGAAGAACCTTATAAGAATACATTTCTGATTTAACTCATATCCTGTCGTTAAATTAGCTCTCAATGACTCGAAAGGCAGCGACGTTTTAAGATTCAACAACAGCTCTCATTGAAATGTCTAATAAAACCTTATCAAGAAACGTCAGCTCTTTAGAGATTTTAGCTACGTCGAGAGATTCGAAAAAAGAATTTGTTCAACAGTCAAAGTAAATTAAACTTTTGGTCCAATTACTGTGGACATTAACTGTGAAAGGCTTTTCAAGTACCTTTCCAAATTTCAAAATTCTAAAAATCATTCTAAATTTATTTTTATTTGTATTTAAGATGTCAAAGCTATTCTCCATTCGTCTTGAAAAGTGTTCTCTTTAATACGTTCCTTTCTCCTATAACTTCTTTTAAGATAGCGTACACGAGTGTGCTCACATGAGATTTTGTGTGCATTTGATTTCAGCGGTAATCTTTATGACAATGAAATTTTACAAATTTTTAGAGTCTGTTGATGGTTCTAGATCGATTGCAATCGACCCTTTGGTCGCATTAAAAGGACTTAGAAAACCATTTGCTTTCCATAGCCTTCTTCGTCGTTTAACAAGGTTTCCTCCGTAAATACTTCATTATAAGTTGCCAGCAATATATCTCAATAGAATATATATAAAAACTATAGTCTCTATGGCCTACCCTATAGCCTCTTCTAATGCCTAAAATTCACTATAGGAAATGGACTCTGAAACTTTCTGCATCTTCAACTCTACAGAATATGTAGACATGAAACAACTTCAATGAGAGCGTTGCTGCATAAAATTCTGTTTGGTTCTTAATGACAATAGTTAGTTGTGATGAAGCCAAACGTTGATTGTCACTTTATTTTGATACTGCTAGGCTACTTACGTCCTTGAGTAAATTAATTCAACTTATCGAAACCAAAATTTTTCCTTTTCGTATACTTGAGTTGAAGATGGAAAGTGTTCCAAATCAAAAATTCGCTGGAAGTTAAGTAAGTATATGCAAGCCAGCGCTACAATTGCTAAACAAGTTTATTTGTATCATTCAGAGGAATTAAAGTACTGTGTACCATCACGACAGCTTGAAAAGGTCTTCTTTCACACCAAAAGAATGTGCCAGTTGCGTCAAATCTCGGCTTGGTGCCATCAGGGAAGACATCCTCCGTTAAATCTCGAATACTTAAAAAAAAACACAAACATAAGTATATCATCTTTTATAATACGCTTTTGATGTATAGAATAGGGCGGTTCTAAGTTGCTACTCTGAGTTCCACGCATAATGCAACATTGTCCAGTTACATGGGTAACACTTGCCTGACGTTGGCATTAAGCATCAAACTCGGAGTAGCAACTTAGAGTATGGTACTTACGGTACATACGAAGGCTTTTAATGAATTGAAGGATTCGGTTTAAGATAACTTTGTTAATTCTTCTAGAATTCTGAAACTATGATATTACGCCTATACATACCTCTTGCCTCCACCCGGTGGATCCAATAAAGCAATCGGGTTCAAATCTACTTTTGTATCCGTTCCTTTCCTTTTAAAGACACTTTTCAGACCGTTACCAATCTTACCTGGAAAAATAGTTAAACTTTATACAGGATTTAAAAAATCGTTGAACTATCTACAAATCATGGTTTATTTACAATTAATTATGAAAATTTAATTGAAAATAGCAAGTGACTAAAAGTAAAAACGACAGGAAATAAACTGACAAATACTTTGATTACAGCGACATTTTTTCATCCATCTAACATCAGCAAGGTCTCTGTGACAAAAGTTGCAGTATATCCTTACCCTGAAAAAAATGAAGGGAATGAACATCTGACTATGCTTCTTATTGACAGTGGCGGACACTTGGTCAAATATTGGGGGGGCAGGCCTATTGTTTTAATAAGATGACGTCATATTTCCTATTTTTTTAGAACAAAAGACCATTGTTCTCTAAAGTATTGGGGGGCGGTCGCCCCCCCTCGCCCCCCCCCAAGTGTTCGCCACTGCTTATTGACCTAGAACTAATACTTACCCCCACAAGGCTATGAGATGACGTCGATGCAAATGTAGAAATTGTTCAAAGATGAGACAAGGCACGATAGAGCAAGGAAGGAAGATTTTCTTGCAATGTCTATAGTCTACGGTTGTATTGTATTGGATGACCAATAAAGACTTTGGAAGATTGAATCAGAAAAAACAAGTGGCAATACGGACCTTTAAAGGCGAATGGAAAATGAAATGAAAATAAGTGCTTTCAATAATAAGATGATAAAAAGCGCATAATGAGGTCCTAGATACAATATTTAACGAAATAAATGTAATTGGTAAGCATACATGCTCTTACTTAATACCGAAACGATACTTCTTCGTGTTTTGATATCAATGCATTTTGGAAGTGTAGGCGAGTCATAAATGATGAACTCTACTTTAGGATTTTTGCTCGCGTGCATGTTGTTGACCGAGCATACACATTCGCTTGCCTTGGTAAAAGTTGTGCGGTTTCGTTCGGATAACACTGAAGAGAAGACAACCTAAACTAGAAGACGACCCCATCACACAATTACGTATGAAAGATTCAAACAGAAACAGTAAAGTTTAGGGTTGAGTGAAGTCGCGTTACGTGTAGATAAAAGATGAAAGGTGTAGAGTCGCGTGGCAATTTGAAATTGGAATTTAGCAGAGAATCAAGAAAGTATGAAAACGATATTATCTTTTTCTTGAGAAATTTGGTTCACTTCTGAAACCTCTTAAACAATTAATGCAACACACAGTGCAGGATATTTTTCAAAAGACTTCTTATCCTTTTTCAAATGAATCTGAATTCACAGAATGAGTGTCTTCATAAATATATCCGTCCACACGGAAAGGCAAAACCAAATGATTACGCTTGAAATTCGGCTAACGTCGATGTTGCCAAGTCAACTATTTCTACCTCTGGTGATACAGACGACGATGTTAGATCACTAAATTTCAGTGCAATAGCTGCCATGATTTGATATTTTTGTATTTATTTTTAAACTATTTCCAGTAATTGTTAGAATGGCATTCGTATTTTTAAACTTCTTCCATAAAGCTTTCTGTGAAATATTCAGCTACTTGTTCCAGTCAAACACGCGGTTACAAGAAAATCTCCTATTCTTAAAGAAAAAGTTATTAAAGCGTGGGTCGTTTGAGTCGTTTGTCGGTTTCCACTTGCAAAAATCATTCATGCGTGGGTATTTTGGGTCGCGGAGATATTTGGGTCGTTGGCAGGTACGTTTCCACTGTGTCTTTTCAGTCGTTTGGGTATTTTCCAACGACCCAAACGACTCAAACGACCCAAACGACCAAGTGGGAAAAATCGATATTGAAACCACTTTTATGAAGCCATTAGGCGTCTTTTTATAGTTAAAAAACAATCAAATCAATTTTCAAATTGTTGGTAACACTTTTAACTTAAAAATTGAAAAAGTTTTTCTTACAAAAATAAAGATTTTTAACTTTTTATTGGACAGTCTCTCAGCTTTGAAGCCTTTGTGAAACTTCCTAAAACTTTATCAAAAGTTTAGTAACAGGTCCTGTTAATCGCGACATGACAAGTTCAGAAAAACATTTGCAAGATCACATTTAGATGTTGAAATACCAAGTTGGTCATGAATGGCTTTGTATTTAGTAGAAAGTGGCATGTTTTAAGCCATTTTATTAGTTAAGCCTATTCTTTTACAGCTATTGAGGCACTTGAGTGAACCTGTTTATCGCGGGAATTTTTGTATTTTCATTTAATGAGAGGACGAAATGTTGTTTTACGCAATTTGCAGCATTATTTGTTCCCATTACAAAATGGAAATCGGTTGGAAAGGATGGACTTCACGATTTGTGACACATTTTATTGATTGAATTTTGCTGCAATATATCACGAAGCGGCCGCTGCGATTAGGCCCATTGCGCTTCCAAAAATTTCCAACCAAAACATTTAGCAGATTCTCCAACAAAAGTGAGGAAAATCAGCAGTTCTAGACACCCAAGCATAAAGTACCCCCCGAGTTCATTGTAATAAGATATCGCAAATTGGTGCAAAGATTAACTTTTTATTTACCAATTTTTCACAGGTACTCCAATCATCATGGCTCAATTTTTGTGTTTTTGCGACATGTCGATATTGTTTAGAAATAGGCAACATCAAGAATATTCTTGTATTTACTGTTTTTACCATCAAACCTTGATAAATCTTATAACTTTTATGAAACTTGCTATGTCCACTCGAATTTTGGTTCGATAGAATTTTTTGCTGCGGTGCTGCCATTTCTGTTTCAGCCTGTGCAATACTTTTGCTCACTAAGTGTACATTAATTTTCAACATCAAGGAAAATAACAATTTGCAAAAAACCTTCAGCAAACAAGACTACTGAGTCGTTTGTATGGACAGATGACGATCTTAAGCTATTACTGAAAATCAATATATTGGGAAAATCAAAGAATGAAATTTTTTATCTGCAAGCAAGCTATCTGCAATGCCTGCCAAAAGTCTTGGAACACTGACATCAATTTCCAAGGTCAAAATCAATCATCCCCCTCTCCCCTATAGAACAATGTTGGTTGACTATCAAACGGGTTAGGATTTTAGGAAGCACTTTCTTTTGCGCCTCTTTTATGATATTTCTCTAAATCATCAACATTGTTTGAGGGGGAAGGGGACGGAAGTAAAAATTTTTTTCATGAAAGGAATGAAAGATATCAAATGCAGCGAAAATTGGTGGGTGTTCCAAGTACTTTTGGCAGGCATTGTGGCTTGACAAAGAAAATACCAGCAGAACAATTACTTCACTCGGCATCTCGGTGACCGAAAACGCCGACAACGTGTGGACGGAAGTTGAACCTGGTTCAAAATAGTTGCGTTTTCAAAAATATCCGTCACCGTGTGGACAGGGTCTAAATATGGATGTAACATGAAGGCAGGAACAGTGACGGACTGGCCCACCGGGATACCGGGAAATTTCTCGTTCCACAGGCTAAAGCCCGAAAAAATCAATCGAGAGAGTTTATAAGTTCATTATGGTCAAGTTAGGAAGTACAAAAAGCTATACTCTTGGCACCAAAGCCTCTAAAGAATCAAGTCGAACAGTTACATATTAAGCCGTAGAAGGTAAAAACAAAACGAAAACAAAGGCAAAATGCTGGTTACCGCCAGGCACCGCGCAGTTATTGGGCTAGCATTGGCTATAGCCCCTCCACTTTATTGCAATAACATGTTAGAGAACTTTTTGGAATGTTTACTCTAACTTTGCTCTAACGCAACATTAGATAGTATGCTCCTAAGTAGTAGCAGTTCTTCTTGACTGGGAACCCTTTTTGTTCATTTTCTAGGCTCGGTGTTTTTATTTATGTTTTATTATCCCCAAGCTAATTGTATCTATTTTATAACCATTGATATCTTCTCTGAACCAGACTGTTTGTAAAACTTCAGTAGAAATAAGCAAGTATTTTCTAAAAGGGGCGTTTTTCGACGTTCTACAGGACGTGGCCTCAAAAAATTTCGGTAACGCTCATTGCAGCCCCCCCCCCGCATTTGGACTGGTGCGCGGTCCCTGGTTACAGCCTCAATCTAAGATAAGGATCGATTGTGGGTGTCAGGGTGCCCAAATTGTAGAGGAAGTTGCTCGAATACGAAAGAAAAACACGGGTGTATAGAAAGAAGTAATACATCAGTCAGAAGCCCCCAAAGAACGTGGGAAAACAGCCCTTTTAAAAAATACCTGCTTCTTTCCAATTATTCTTCATAAACAGGCCGATTCAGTGAAAATATAAATTGCAATAAAATAAATGCAATTAGCTTGAGGACCATAAACACCAAGCTAACCAATTAAGAAAATAGCTACAACATGTCATTAAAACAGAAGGAACACAGAGAATATGAACAAAAATGGGTTCCCTTCAAAGAGCTGCTACTACTTAGGATCCGTTAGAGAAAACTTTCCAAAGTTGCGTTTGAGTAAACTTTTTAAACATTTTCTAACCTATTAGCAAAAGTTAGGGGTAGGTATAGCCGCTGTTAACCCAATAGCTCTGTTGTGCTTGTTAACTTTGTATGGCCGTTTTCCATGGGCACGCTACGTAATCTTTCATAAAGGATCATGGTTGCTGATAAAAAAAGACAAATAAGAAATTTATATCATTTTACAAAATATGGCCATCGACAGATGATACTCATGCAGAGTTGTTATGTATAATGATAATAAGATTTGAAGGAACAGGATGGTCAGTTTTGTGCATCGCTATGGAAGGGATTTGTCTGAGGTATTTGGAGAAGGGGTAGAGGTCATGAGGTCGTGTATGAGGGAATCTAGATTGTTTTGGTGGGAATGAGCAGGATTTGGTGTGATTATAGAAAAGAATGATTGAATGGGTTGACTAGGTTGACTTTGAAAAGATTGGATTATGGAATCTTTTTACGATTTGATTTTGCAAAATGATACTTTAACTTTAAAAAGCCTCGTATGGTCCTTGACGGTAGATTTAATTCCGAAAATTTGTTTCCAACTTTGCTTATCTTTTTCAATTTTATAATGCCTCAGGCGTTCTTATGAAATGCACCAAGATTATGAAATGCCCTTGTGCACATACGGACCAAAAAATTTATATATTTTCTATTGTTGAATTATTGCAAATTTATGACCTTTTTTGTATAATTTTTATTGCTAAACTGTGTCAAACTTCTTGCACCTGTAAGTTTATTCTAAAACGTTGGAAGACCAATCAAATGTCATTTCAAATTCAAGCCCTAACTTTGTAGTATAATTGTAATAACAAGTCCATGAATGTTACCAGGGATTTTTCTAGGCTCTAAACCAGGGGCGGATTCAGATGGTGGCACCGGTGGCACGTGCCACGGTCAGATTTCCAAATTTAAATTTTTGGAAAATGATGGACTGTTCTAAGTATCCCGATATGGTCCTTGCTGTCTAACACTTCCTCTTCGCTCCAGTGTCGATCTACCACGCCCCCTCTCCGCTGTTAATTTAGTAGTACGCCATGTTGGATTTGCTTATTGTTTGCCTTTTGTTAACCACAGAATAATTGGCTCTACCAAATATGGACAGTAACAATCGTGCCACACTAGATAAAAATAGAAGTATGCGCGCACATTTTTAAACAATATGTTTTGAGACCAAATGGCTGTGCTTTTGTTCTTGTGCCACGGTCGAGGCTCTGTATGCTTCTGTTGAGACCCAAGAAATGTGTATTGAAATCAATTGCATCGAGACTCCGTATGTTCTTTCATTAAGTGGCACCGTGGCACAAATATTTAAAAAATGTGTTGTCGAGTATGAACTTGCTTAGGTGATTCCGGTGATTGCTGGGTAAACAAACAAAACGTGTTCGGTCTGCAGGAAACTGACGATTCAGCACGCAAGAATTTTATTGAGTTCGAATTTGAGTTTATTGCAAAGATTGCCTTTGCTTTGGCAATGGATATTCAAAGAATAGTTGAAAAATCTATTAAATCGCGAATCCATGCAGCTTGAAGGAACTTTTCGTGGACGAGCTGTCGAAGCTTCGCAAAAGTATGCCTAGTTTAATTTGTCAATAATTTGATCTGGCTAAAGATAAAGATAATTTTATCTGTCAGTTGTAAGAACTAGCCATTATTTATAAATTTTTAAATGTATATTATTTAAGTGCGTCCAGTGACTGGCTAACATCAGTTTGCATCGTTATTTGTTTGCAAGTTGAAATCATAGAGCCAGTATTGTTTAATGATAAAACGACAGGAGCGGTGACAGCTTTGCGCTAAATGTAACTATGTTTTCGGTATAAAAGCTATACCCGTCTCTGTATGCTCAGACTGGGCGTTTCCGAAAGACCAGTGGGCGTGTTCACCTAACACTATTCTTGTGCCACGGTCATGATTTTGTCTGCGTCCGCCCCTGCTAAACTGACATTTCTCGAAGGTTCGAAATAAATGTTGTTAATGCACTAGATCCATTTTCTGGTCGTCCCTAGAATGTCAAATTTTCAAAATTGTCATGCCACTAACCATGATGGCGACCTTAACCAAGGCTTTTGAACAAAATTAAACGAAAAATGCAAGTAAATATCCTTTTCTGCATATTTCATTTTGGATGCTGGACTCTAATTGAAAATTGATCCAAATGCGGGGATTGTAAACTGTTAGGGCCCTTGAAGCAGTGGCGGATCGAGACAAAAATTTGAATGGGTTCCTAAATGGGTGTGGTCCCATATTTTTTTCTGGCAACGCCCTTTACTTTTTTCCAAAATTGAGCGACGCCCATTTTTGCTTTTTGATAAGATTCACAATTGTAAGATTTAATTTTTACAAGATATATTATTTCATCGTGATTCAAATAAGGCAAGTAAAAAAACAAATCTGTAAACCAAACCAGGAATTGTCATTATGAATGTTTTCGACTTTCTGCCAAACAGAGGACCTAACATAAGCTTACTGAGTGTTGCAAGATTTGAGTGAAATTCATGCTATAACTATTACCAACTAATAAACAAGAGAAATTTACAAATAGCCACCAAGATTGTCAAAAATGGATAACGATGGACGAAGCCTATTATCATATGTAGCAAACAAACCCAATTTTTAAAAAGTGCAAATTATGACATATGAAATCATCTTATCCCATACTCTAAAGTCTTTCATTTTGTCTTGATAAAGTTTTCACTCTATTGATAAATATACCATGTAAAGGCCTTCAAGAGTTCTATAAACTTTGCACGTCAAAGAGAAAATATCTTTGACATTCATAAGCTTCCTGCAAAGAATTCTCTCCTGCTAATTGCAACGAATTCTCTCATGAACGCCACTTTACAATTATCTTAAATGGACTTTTCGCTTGATCCATGAGCAGAAAAGCGGTGATCTGTCTTCTCCAGGTTAGCTAGGCCAGTCAAGAAAAATGAGCAAATAGTTGGCGAGGCGTGTTTGAAAAGCTTTGTTGAAAATTACCGATCTGTTATAGAATGTTTTATGCTCTTTAGCAAATCAATTTTCTGATGATTGCATTATAAAATTTACAACAGGTATTTTCATCCTTTTGCAAAATTGGTAGATGTTTCGACCCCAGGAAAACACTCTAATCTTGCATAGAAAAATTAGAGTTGGATGAAGCCTCTTAAAACGCAATGAATCTTGAAAACTGGAACAGTCTGGGACGACATAAAACAACGAAGAGCAATCTGATAAAGATGAAATGATTTTACCTTTGAACCTCTTCAGCATCTTGTGCAAAGAAGAAACCTCTTGTACCAGATTGAATTTTCAATTTCTTGTCCGACGGATTCATGACAAAGCTAATTCAAAACAGTGATTTGAAGTTACACTCTAATCAAACAAAGTGTAAATAAGCAATTTATTTCCGGGTATCTTTAGCTACTTATACGTCCATCTCATTTGCTTTCCCTTTTGAGCATTACAGGAGAGACTCACATTCAAATATACCCTCATTTTTTATAAGAAACTGGTTATAAAAAGTGAGTACTAGACAGTCAGAAAAAATTAAGAAACTTCAGTACTCGAAGCAAAATAATTACGAAGCTATTAAATCGTGATAAAACTGAGAACAACAACATTTTCTAAAAATCCAAGAACATGATTGCTCTGTTGGCCTAGAATTCAAGACACAAAAGCTAAAAACATACTTCCCAAATCTAAATACAGCATCAGAACGGAAAAGAATCTCTTGACGTGATAAAAGGTCACGAACATTTCATAACATCATTCATGATATCATAATTAAGAAACTTTTAAGAAACATTGAGGATTGAAATTTCCAGCATATTAGGAAACTGGAGTACTCAACATCGACCTTTATCTCTTATAAAAAGTGAGTGTATTATAAAACTGGCAACTTCCATCGTGCCTCTTTCTCGTTTAATTTCCGGACATTTTCAAGTCAACCCCTAAACGACACCTGCACAGTGTTGCCTCTGCCATTCTACAATTTCTGTTCTATATAGCTTACTAATTTTTTGTTCGATGAAATATAGTATGCAAAGGAATCGCAAAGAAAGTAAACTGATTACACTTACTAACGGCTTGCTTCTCCAGGCTTGATTTCTATTGCAATAAGCATGAGATGCAACTTTTCAAAGCAAATCCTAAAATATACATGTTTATTCTTAATCATTTGTTAAGGCAACAAAGTTAAAAAAACTGGCGACTAAACGACTGTTCAATACAAATCATATCTATTGATGAAAAACGTTTGAGTTAAAAAAAAACTTACTCAGCTGCTTGTGCAAAATTCAAGTTGTTGAAGGAATCTGAAAGGGTAGCTGTGTACATCTCATTTGCAGAACCTTTCATGTAAGCAACCTTCCATTGCTCGCTTTCGTGGATTTCCTCTGAAATCTTTGCCAAAAAAACAATATTTCTTATTGATATCTTCTCTGGTTATTTTCTTGACAAAATGTTTAAATTTGAAAACTGAAATGCTGAGAAATTTGTAGTCATCAACGGTTGCTAGCCAAGGGGTGTCGCCAAAGGGCAAAATTTGAGGGGCATTGAAACCTGAACCACCCCCCCCCAACACTCTGTCTGTCGGCAAAAGAAGGATTTTGCCGGTCTAAAGAAGGAATTTTTTCTCATCCTGTCGTATTATTGCTTATTTTTTGCAACAATTGTAACGCATTATAATTCCTGTAGCAGTTAAACTTTCAAAGTATGGCATTAAAATGAATGTGTAAATAGAAACACATGAAAGCATTATCATCTATCTTATCACCACACAATATTCTAAAGGTGTAAAGCTCATCACAATTTATCTTCTGGCGTTATGTTCACAATAAAAGCAAGGCAAATATAAATTATACATTTAAAAGAAATTAATATTGTGAAATATAAACAGGCCAAGTTATAGAATTATTGAATAACTGGCTTTCCTTCATTCAATCCTATCTTAGAAACCTATGTTGGAAAAACAATGAATTACTTGTAAAAATAAACTTGGTATAGTGCAATGCAGATAGCCTTAACATTTGAGTGAATTGATAAACTTGAAAAAGATATTTGAGGTTTATACAAATGGGATCATAGAAGATCCTGTCGGTAAAGTAACTTTTCGTCTTTTAAAATAATCCACATGCATTGTTTTAAATATGCTCTTATAGTAGAAGTAGTGGTAGGAATGGCAGGTAGTCAGTAGTAAGACAAAATATAATTGAATTTAAATTTCATTAAATCTAGGAAAGAAAGAAGATTGATCTCAAGAATACTTTCAATGGCTAATCTAGTATAAAAAGATAAGAAGCGGTTGCTTTTCCTTAAAGTTAGAAGATTGGATTTAAAGGACTGACTACTCACCGAGTCTCCACGCATTGCAAAAAGGTTTGCGAGTAAGGTAGAAAATCCTGGTGCATGACAACTCTGTGCAATGAAACCAAGTTTGAGCTGAAAAAGAAAATTGAAGCTGATATTTTCGCTGTCAAGATAGGTTTTAAAGTGCAGATACGATGAAAAGGAGACAGTCTGGACAGTTTTGTAAAAACACCGAACACCCTTTTTTTAGCGCTTATTGCAATGTAACTGAAAAAGCCAATATTTTTCTCGCATGCGCTTAAGGGTGAACCACTGCGAAACCTTTAAAATGAATCTCTAAGTTCAGCATCGCTCATTGAATATTTCAAAATTGAAAACATTTCCTTAATAAGCTATATAATTTAGCTCGAAATGAACGATCAATCAATCCTCTTTAATGTCATTAGCCTAGTTTTAGAATTGGTACCGTCGATACTATCCTGTATAACAGTGAATTCAAATATTGCGAACGAGTTTTCGGCCAAGAATGGTACAATATCTTCCATGAAATTCTTTATAGAAAAAAACAAAATAAACTTCACAAGATTCAAATAACGAAGGGCATATTGATATTACTAGTCCTTGGTCGGCTGCAGAAAAGAACAGAATTCAAGAAATTTTGATTTATCTCCTTGAAAAAAATTAATTCATTTTGTAAGGAGAAATACGTTGATTTCAGCCAAAAATTAAAAGTTATCTGCAACAGGCAAGCTTAAAAATTATTTGATAATTCTGTTAGAATTCTTATAGTTACAATGGGTATCATTTATATCGAGGAGCCCCTACATTTGAATCTGTAATAGATTGATCTTTATACAATCCTATTCAATTTTGAGAAGATTTTTCTTCAAAATTTGGGACTCCACAAAAATTTTTTTCTTATTAACATTGTATTCTGCCTTCTCGGTAGCATCAAGTGTTTGATTTGTATCGAATTTTTTCCCCCTTTCAAAAGGTGTTTTTTCACCCTTTTGTTTCACTATTAATGGTAACTGATAAAAAAATTTGCGCCAGGGGTAGAAGCTCTCAGATGTAAAATATACCAACTTATCTTCAAAATTAACTTGCTGCGAACAAAATTTTAAATGATAACTAGAGCAGCAGGTGACTGGAATCGTGAGAGATAAATGGAAAAATGAAACTATGAGGAGGCACTGTTAGTAAAGGCCAGACTAAAGTGCACCAAGGTAACGTCAAGTCAAAATGTCTGGGGTATGTAATCCAGGAAAATTTTAAGCTTGAAGGCTGCTTCTTTGATTCTGGTAGCTTATGTTTCCAGGTAGCTTGTTGATTCCTTTTGATTTGTTCGTCTATTGATGTAAGGAAGGTTTACAAAATATTGTTTGATGATTTGAAGACTTTTTCAGCAGTTATCCGGCTTATGATTATACCAAAGTTGAAATTTGAAGTCGGGGATGACTTTTGCAAAAACCAAGTGCTTAATAAAACGAATGGTACGCTATTCAACCCCTCTGCAACGTTTGCCCTCAAAAAAATTTTTATGGTTAACTATTAATTTAAATTTTGACACTTTGTAATGTTAAAAGCGGACATTTGTACTTGCCACACCTCATCTACACAAACGATATCGTCCCCAATTTTCGGATTCCACTGTGGACAGTTTAAAAGATGAGCCTGAAGAAGAAACAAAGATGTGAAAAGTTACACGAATTTTCAAAAAACCCGAGGCTTGAATTTTGTTTATCTTAAATTAAACGATTCTAACTACAGCAAAAATAGCGCTGGCTTATTTTTAAATCTTCCATCATTAAGAATATATTTGAATAACTAGAGAGATTAATTTGCAGAACATAAGAATAATATTAACCTTGTTTTTGTAATTGATCAGCTGTACAATGCATCTCATGTGCTCGCTGTAGTTTTTCACTGATATCACTCTGGAAAAGATAATTTATCATTACTTCTTTTCACAGTACAATCAGAAATTAAAAATTTTATGGGATAATTAATTGAATTGTCGTCATAATGAAGAGGTCCAAATTATTAAAAAGGATGACGTTAGGAATAGAGATACATTTTATTTTTTCTCTTTCTTGAAGTAATTTTCAATTCTTTAGCAGACTCTCGTACAATTAGATTAATCAACATCTTAGGCAAACCTTACATGAAGCGTAAGCGAACTAATTTAGCAAAGTTGTTTCAACAGAAATTTTCATATCATTTTATTGTAACAAACTTGTTATTTTAAGTTAGCAAACTTTATTGTGACAACTTATTATAGGATTTCTATATTGAAAGCAGTTATCTAGATTGTACACACTTGCACTCTAAAACAAATAAGGCTCCTTCTGTGCCTCTAGATTGCGATGCTTCTATTCTCACTTTGAACGCACTCTGCCTGTCTCCAGGTTTAAGTATTCATGCACATTTCTGCAGTAAGAGACAGGCACGTAAATAACAGTTGGGGCGTAACGCCCCCTCCCCAAAGTTTTGAAAATCCAGGTACAGTTGGAAAACTAAACGTTTGACTTAGAATTTTTTCCTAAGACCAAACTTTCGAACTTTATATTTTAAAAATTTTGGGATTCTAAATGTAAAAATTTTAAACCTTATTAAAATTCACAGGCTGGAGGGGACCCATCCACTAATCGTTTTCTATTGTGAAGCCCCGTCTCCATTGGATCCAAATTGTATAATTGCATAAATTCCTATGATGAAGCTGCTGAGAATCACGAATCATTGCAAAAGCTGCAGCAGAAGTATTTGATCAAAGAAGAGTGTTTCATCTTACAAATCAGGCATATGCACTTGCTCTCAAATCATCACTTCAATTGTAAAGAACGGAAAAACATTTGGCCCTCTGAAAATTATTAATAGTTTCCTTCGATAAAAGGTCCAACTCCTTGATGCTTCCTTATAGTGAAAAGTATGTTGTAGATAAAATTGATCTGCAGCAAATAGCTTTTAAATGGGCAAAGCAGAAAAAGAGAAGAATCGCTGTTAACCAACTTGAAGGAATATAATTTATCATCAAATATAGCCAATACAGTAAGTTTAAGCGTTTGCGTCATGTTAATCCAAATTTAGAGATTTAGGCTTTTATGCCTTAGGCTAATTAGCTATTATGATAAATATTGAGTAACTATAAAGAAGCTAGAGATATGGAGTTAGGGCTATTTCCAAATATCAATTTGGTAGGTACAGTAGATTTACAGGTCGGATGAAAAATTTCTTAGTTTAAACTGGAATATTCATCCTTCCATGCCCCTCCAAAATTAGCAGCTTGTTTTCGTCCCTGGTAAGAAAGTAGATACACATAATGCCGAATGAGGTATGGAAAAAGCTACCCAAAAACACATATTTATTTGCAGGTTAAAAGAAGACATGCATTGAGCAATTTAGTTTTTGATAATAACTGAGTGCAAAAGTACCTGAGAATATTTGTGGTATCTTCCACAGTTGGGTCTTGACAATTTTTATTACATAAAATGATGACTGCATCAGCTTCTCGCATCTAAAATTGAAATTGCTAATGAATCTAAGGAGGAAATGATCTCCTTGTACGAATACAACTACATCAAAAACAAAAGGATTCTCCCTTATCCGTAAGTATACTTCATGCATAGATTATGGGAAATTTCATGCATAAATAAAATGCAACTATAACCACAAGGACATAACCGACTTTTGGTCTTTCAAATTATCTTGAAATTTTTCCAATTTCTGTTCTCTACTTTATGAATGAATAGAATTATAGATAAAAAGATGCACGCATCGTCGATTCTTCATAATATTGGTCAATCCATTCTGTAATGGAAATCCAACACTAAATGGGTGGGCCAAAGCAGGAAATAAAGTAACATCAACCAATAAATAATTCAACAGCCTAATTTCGTTGTAGTTTGGAAAACACTTCTTGTTAAAGCAAAAGTTTATTTTCAATAGATGTTTTGTACATTGTGGTTAATTAAGACAAAGGGGATTTAAAGAAGAAATGTGTCGCTGTAAGCCGTTAGTAATCCATTCACTTTATTGAAAAGAGATTCGGGGTATTGTTATGCCCTTTGGATAACTGAAATAACTCTGATGTTTGTAATTTGCATAAAGGTATAAACAAGAACCGCAATTGTTTAGAATTGGCGTCATAAAACGCAAAAATTCAGCAATTCAGCTGGCATAAAATATGTAAGATCGTGACAGCTCTAAACACGATTATTCGTGGACTGCTCTCCATATTTGCCTGATTTCTTGGCTTGAACACCCGGTTTCCGGCAAAGAATTCTCAGTTTATCACCGTGGCTCTTTGATTGCAACACAGCTTGGCTCCATTGTATTACATTGAAGCTTTCCCAGAGGGCACAGCTTCCGCAGACGTCTCAGAATAACCAAGTACAGAAGAGGACGAAACTAATAAGCTACCCAGCAAATTCGAGCAAAGACATCTCTAGAGGTAAGGGAGAGATTTCAACAGTGCCAACCCATTTTTTATGGGTGACTTTCAGCTTGTTCTTACCATTTAGAGTGTATTTAGCTTATTTAATCGATTTCATCAAACCATTTTGAATGCTACTTTCCGATCGCACAAAGTAATCAGCTCAATCATGGTTTGTGTGAATCAAGCAAAAATATATTTAAGTTTGGAAGGATTTTATGTGGCTTAGATAAGAAGCCAGTTCTCTACCAATCAGGAAACATTGGTTGTCACAAAAGCGGAGACTGAGGGGGCTTAACCCCATCAACAACTCGCGAATTGACGTTAAACCAACCATGCAAAAATTTATCTGCTCATTGCTTTTACCGAGGGGCATATCACTCCACGAAAATCTCGTACGCCTTTGGTGAAAATCCTTTGCAGTGATTGAAAACTTAAATTATTGTTACACTGAGAGTTGATAAGCAGTCCTCAAGCACGATTGCTTAGCACCCGAATAATTTTCAAAATGTACTGAAAACCATGTAAAAAGGCCTTGTTCCTGACTATATCAAATCTTGCCCCTTTCCAAAGCATTTTGGCCCCCTCAATCCGTAGTATGTTCCATGGTTGGCTCACTGCAAATTGAAAACTAATGTAAGGATGTTTAGATGTATGAGCTACCTTTTAATCTTCTTCTGTATTTACCTACTCATATCTTGCTCTCCGTCATAGCACCATGATCTGGGAAGCCGTCTACGCAGTTAGCGTAGCTGCCTTGGTGTACTCTCTGGTAAAGTATCTTGCTGCCATTTTTGAGCTGAAAAATTACCCACCCGGTCCATTTCCGCTGCCACTGATTGGTAACTTGCACTTGATTGGAAAGAAACCCGAGGAATCTTTCAAGAAATTGTCCAAAGTATATGGAGACGTGTTCAGTGTTAGTTTTGGTAGCCAGCGTATTGTTGTTATCAACAGCATCCACCCAGGTAATTTTCTAGCGTTTCAAAATAATTTTATTTATACAAATATTAGGCTGTTTTTACTCGTGACCAATATCATTTTAGCTAGTGCTTCCCTTCACACGGTACATATCGGGAATTTTCCAAATGGAAGTGTTGGCTTTTAGGAAAAGGGATCACCTAAAAAGTGATTCAATTTAGAACCGACCTTTTTAAGCTCTCGTGTAAACGGCGTAATCGAGAGGCTTTAGAAACTCCATCAAACTCTCGTACACCTTTAGTGGAAATCCTATTCTTTCGTCTAAAAATCCCTGGAACTCTTTTTGTTTTGGTGAAAATCTCATACGCTAATGGCAAGAGTGAATTGCCGTATTTCATGTTTACCTCTTAAATTTTGCTTCTTTCGTCTTTCTTTCTTTCTTTCTTTTGTAAAGAAGCCTTTACGTAATCAAGTTGCATAGATTGGAATTCAATTTGCTTCTCCTCCTATATGCACGGCATTTCTTACAACATAAGTAACCTATTTACGTAATTTTGCAACTCTTCAGTAAACAGAACAATTAATGTACACAAACTGTGAATGTTATAAGAATGATTTTTTCCATTTCGAGCAAGAATACGAGTTATGAACATATGGCATTTGAATGCCAAATGAATGCCAAATGCTTTATAAGCAAATGAATGCCAACAATATGAATGCCAAACGCTTGATATGTAAAAAACATGTTTGATTTTCCGACGGCTCCTCTAGTTCTGCACTTGCACGCACGAAACCATTAAGTATTCACAGCTAAATAGAATTATACTACAAACACATGCGAAACTTTCCATTTGAGTTTTCTATTGTTTGCCTTTTTAGCTCGAGAAGCCTTAATTACGAAGGGGGATGACTTCGCTGGCCGGCCTCAAGACATCTACCTTGCTGAGATCTATTCACGTGGTTATGAAGACATCGGATTTTCCGACTATGGACCAAAATGGAAACTAATGAGGAAGCTTGCACATGCGTCAATGAAGATGTATGGTACTGGCCTTGAGGACCTTGAGAAGAAGGTTCTTTTAGAAATACAAGCATTAAACAACAGGCTCGATAAGACCTCTGGAAGCCTTATTGATCCAAAAAATGACATCAGTGAGTTCTTATTTAATGAAGATTGGTTTTATTGCAGCAATTGGGACCATTTCATTTTGATTACATGGGGAAACGCCAGATCATTTCATTTGTATTTTCAAGCTATCTTCAAAATAGAATATAACGTGCTTGAATAGAAGTTTAAAGCATTAGCCAAAAGTCCTTTTCATTCATTACTTCTTGTAACAGGGAAAATTTCACAATGTTCCAGAATAAATAATTTTTGAACCCGTCCATGCTATGTAAGCATATGATATGCATATGCACATTTCTTCCAACAGGTCTTGCTGTTCTCAATGTCATATGCTCAATCGTTTTTGGCAGCCGTTATGACATTAAAGACAAAGAGTTTCTACAAGTTGTTGAATACATGACTTTAATTATCCAGGGCTTTGAAAATGCAAGTATCATTTCCATTTTTCCTTGGTTGCGATTTTTCCCAAACAAGGGTTTATCTATCCTGAAGCGTGGAATTCAACTACGGGATGAGATTTTAGATAAAAAGTTGAAAGAACATCGCGATTCGTTTGATTCAACCAACATAAGAGACTTTACGGATTCATTGTTGCGAGAGTTCTCACAAGAAGCCACAGAGGACAACAAAGTGCACAAGTACCTGAACGACACAAATCTTGAGCAAATTGTCAGTGACATGTTCTTCTCTGGTGCCGAGACAACGGCAACGACAATCTTATGGTGCTTTGTCTATCTGGTTGTTTGGCCAGATGTGCAGGAAAAGATTACAGAAGAGAGAAAAAAGAAGATCGGCGAAAGAGTACCTTGTCTACAGGACCGAGGAAACCTGCCGTATTTGGAAGCAACAACCCAGGAAACACTACGATTGTCGTCCATTGTGCCACTTGGTGCACCTCACAAAGCAATGCGGGATAATACTTTGAACGGGCATTGCATACCACAAGGTACTCAAGTATTTGTCAACCACTGGGCCTTTCATTACGATGAGAGAGAATGGGAAGATCCCTATGCTTTCAAGCCTGAGAGATTCTTAGATGATAACGGGAACTTTGTCCATGGATTAAACAAGAGCTTTTTGCCATTTGGCGCAGGACGAAGAGTTTGTGTCGGAGAAGCAATGGCAAAAGTGGAACTATTTCTTTTTTTGTCTAACATTTTGTACCGATATGAGGTTAGACAGGTGGCTGGAGAAGCTGGACCCGATGTCAATGGTGTACTGGGAGTTGTTCTTGCACCAAAGCCATACAAGATTCAGTTTGTCAAAAGACCTCAAGCGGCCGACTTAGAGTTTTAGCTTTAATATCATTTCTTCAGCCTGTCCACAGAAAAACTTGGCAAATATGAACAGGTTTTGCTTTATAATGAAAATCTTTGCGTTTTCAAATCACAATAAACATACTTTTTTGAACAATATTTCAATATCGCTATTGCATTTGTGCCGAGGTTAATCCCTGTAGTAATTGCTTACGATGCTTTTTAAAGGCAGCATAGTTCAGCTTTTGTTTCAACTGTTAACATTTCCATTGTTAATATTCATATCAGCTGCCAATCCATCTGATTTTTATCATCATCTGTTTGTCTGCTTGCAATGCTTTTTACCGTGCATTTTATGTAAAAATTACATTTCATTGTAAGCCTGTTTGCTATTTCTTTTGGCTCCTTCTTTTATCTTTAAATGCTGTATCTAACTATTTATTGGTTCTTGTATATCTGTTTTTTATCATGTGCCCTGGTGGGGCTTGATTTTCATTGCTTAAATTTCCATAGTTAACTGCAAAAGTTGATCAATAGCTTTATTAACAGTTGATCGAAAAAAGCAAAATTAACTAAACATGCTTCAATGTGTTTTCCTCCCACTTAGTTTCATTTGATTCCATTTTTCTCCAACTGATTTTCTTCATCATGGGATATATGTAGTCACCTATTATTATAGGAGGATATAGCTAAGCTGTCTTTTCAAGAATCTATAAAAGTTGCCCTTTGGGTTCACCCACAGAATATTTCCACTAGGGCTCCAGCAATGCTGTTTTCCTATTTCAAAGTCCTCGTGCCAAGGACGGTGTTGCAGGAGTAGGGCTCAGAGGCTTAGTTTCCATAGTTGCAAAAGTCTACTTATATTCAGAAAATGAATCATATGGCTCTAAGTCTTCAACATATTCAGCCGCGGAAAACCTTTAAGCCCCTCCAATAATGCGTCACAAAATTGTATATTGGAAACTTTTTTATAGGCTACTGCTCTCCACTTCATTTTGGATATCGTCAGAGTTAACAGTAGGCTTTGCAACGTTGAAGTTAGCTGCTCTAAACATTTTCATCAATGCTTTTTTGCAAATAAGTAATACTTTTCATTTATTCATAGACAAATGTCAACTTTTGAATCATTTCAGGTGCATCATTTCACTTGTCTTCTTATCATGATCTCATCATAGTTTCGATTCCTGAAAGTCTAGCAATCCAGGCACGCAATATTCAGTACGACACTCAAACCAAGATCAATAAAAATCTTTGAAAACCTACCTTGATTCTAGCGCAATCTCTAAAATTAAAGATGCTGCCAATGAAGTATGCTGTCCTAGTCGAATACTTTTTCAAGATAGCTTGAAGACTGATGCTTGGAAAGGTCCTAAACGAAAAACAATGATTTTCAGCATTGTTTCAACAGTCTTTAAATAATTTTGGCTGAAACATTTCAGGACCTTCAAAAGCTTGCATATGATTATTGTTTTCTTTCATGTTTGTTACAACGGATTTTTAACATTTATAACGATTCTTCTTGGACTAATTGCAAAACCCATGCAAATTGAGACAAACAAAATTAGCGAATTTTTAAGAGGAAATATGACAAGACACGATGGTATACTTACGGTCCAAGAAAGACAATTATAACATGGGCGTCTTCACGATCAGGATGAAGAAAATCGCGAACGAACATCGACACACTTTCTTCCGTGATATGTCCGCATACAATTATATGCCTATGGGAAAGGAATGATCAATTTTGTAGTCTCGTTTCGTTTTCAAGTTTGCATAAAGACACAAGCGCAAAAGGCTTTTATTGGCCCTCGAAAGCATCCTGTTTTATAATTTGGAAACAAAAATGATACAATATCAACCAGATCATTTTTGTGACTCGTTCTCGCAGCAATTCGGTATAAGTAAGCAAATTTTACTCACTTCCTTCCAGGTGTTTGAGTAAATGATCTGTTGTACTTTGTATGAGAACTTGCGAAATCGATAAAGGCAGGTATATAGCTTGCAAACAGCGCCTAAGATAATATAAAAATATGATTTCCTTGGGTAAATGTATTGAAAACTGCTGAAATATCGAGCTCATTGCTTGCGACGAAGGAGCGTGCTTTCCAGTTGGGAGCACTGGCTGCGAGTTCTTGGTAGCTCGCAGGCAACTTTTTTGCAACGCATAACCTGCAATTTTACTGATCCCGTGCATCATGTGTTCATTGATCAGTCAAACAGCAGATGAGCTGACACTTTTGAAAATGTTTGCCATGTCTATAGCTGTACAGATCCATAAGGCTCTCTGCGTAAATGTAATTAAACAGCTAGGTAATAAATGGTAAATTTAGTATGTTAAAGCCCCTATGTCCCGTCAGTCAACTGTTGAGAGTTAACAATAGACTTTGCAGCGTCTTTAAAATCGAGAAAACAATGAAGATTGGCCAATTGGATCCGTAATAATAAGTATATTGTATAGCCTAACCGATGGGAATTTAAATGGCGACTGAAATGCGTCGGGACATAGTGCCTATGCAAGTTTCACAAGAATCAAATAGAACGTAAATACATCGAGAAACTTCAAGTGCATTCAGAACTTGTACATACCAGTCCTACGCATATGAATATCATTGTGAATACACGACCGAGGTATGTGCGTGTGTAGAGATCCCCGTATCCTACAGTTGACATTGTCACCTAGGTTTGAGATGGCAATGAAAGTGTCTCAATTATAAAGATTATAGTGGTAAAAATTTACGGTGATTACAAAGGTAACAAATGTGCTAAGCTATAATTGCAATATAAAGAGAAAATTTTAGTGCGATTTTATCCTTCAAGATTCAGAAATTACAAGGTTATTAAGAAAAATGTTATAATAAGAAATTTGATAACATAATTTTTCAGAGATCATCTAATAAATATTTCATATGATGATATTAGGAAGTAAGGAAGGAAGATTTGATTCTTTTTGTTACTTTGCAGAATCAGGTGAAATACCTTAGATAAAGCTGAATTCAACTCACCAGCAAGAAGTAAAGAGCCTGAAAGTAGTTTAATGGCTGAGCGTTTGCATAATTGATAGGAGGCCAGAAATCACCTGTATTTTCAAGCTGAGAAAAAAAAGATTTTATTTTTGCTAATCGGTTACAAGCTTTAGCGACATTGAATTTTGGTTGATCATAAACAGTTCATTTCTGTTGCTTTGAACAACACAACGAAGTATACATTTTTACATAACTTGAACAAGCCAGAATATTTGTTAATATTTAATGTCAAATGATAGATCGATCAAAGTAACGGTGATTCATTCAAGGTCACCTTTTATCGACAAAATGCTTTATTCTTCTAATTTTGAAAACTACAGTTAGAATTTTACAAGACAAACTATAGTTATAATTTGACTGGAAGCATCAAATTACCAGGTGAACAAATCCTGCAGAAGAAAGCCACAATGCGAAGAAGTTGCCAAAAATTCTTGCCATTTCTACACTTGAGCTAAAAATTGAAATTGGTAGAATCAATTTGAATATGACATGCTTAATACATATCATTTGCCATTACAATGTGCAATCGCACAAATCATGTAACCTTTAGTCAAAATCTTGAGAAATTGATAAGGTGAGTACATAAAAGAAATATCGTGGGACTTTCGGGTTGAATTTTAGGCTCATTTTGGCCTAATTTTTATGCAAAATTTGGTTCTGCTCTTATTGTGATTCTACTCTCTGTAGTATTATGGCTGTTAGCTGCAGTGTTATGTCTGCAGTATTATAGCTCTCTGCAGTACTTTAGCTATTATAGATAATCCTGAAAAATATCGATGAAACATTACCATGTATTAATAAATTTCTGGCCATTTATCGTTTCATTAAACAAAATATTTTATGACACGAAATACTAGAAGAGCTATTTTAATTTTTCTTCCATTGAAATACTTAAACGGACTTCCGAAAGTATAGATTGATATGCTATCTTCTCACCCTGTATTGAGCACATTTAGAAACTGCAAAATCTCAGCCAACTTTATCAGCTCTAATGCTCTGAGAAAACGAAGCCCTTTGGAAAAATTTTAAAAATGAAGTTAAGACTTTAAAAGGCACATTGAGCTGCAAACATTTCTGATTAAAAATGTTCCGTGTTAAATAAAAGTACATCGTTATATGTCTTCTGGATAAAGTATATCAATTGTTACATCAAAAAGCCTTTGGATCCTTGCGCAATTTACTGAAACCCAATTTGACGACAGCTCTGGAATGATTAGAAAATCCCAAATAAATACCAATCATTCTGAACACAAATTTATCTAATTGAAATGGACCTTCAGATACACGATTGAAGCTAAGCAATTTTTACATACAATTATAAAGGATAGTTATCCATACCAATCCAATTTCGGTTTGTTGCCAAGGCAACAAAAACTGGTGGAATTGTCAAGTAGTCTACATAGGATGTCATATCCAGGACCCAAAATACAACTTTGTCATTGGCTGAAAGGAACTAGAACAAGAAATTAAAATATGGAGATATAGAAAAAATTCGCAGCAAAACCTAATACAAACATAAGTACACATTGAATGTATGGCTACAATTGACAGTAACACTCTAAGAATGCAAAATAGAAAGTAAGAGGCAACAGCAGTATCAGCTAAATATGGTTTAAGCGTAACACAACAGATTAACGCTGAGTGACTTACTCGAATAGCAAAGTGGAAGATGAAAAACACATTAAGGCAAATCTCAAATCGCCACAGTATTTGGTCATTCACATCTAGGCAGTGTTCAACAGGGCTAAAAAGATAATAGGTTAATTATAGGCAAAATAAAGGTTAACTCATTTTAAAAACCGAATCACAGATCACTGTAGCAAGCGTTATTTGGTTAAAGATTATGAACAAGAAACACTGTCTAGATGCCAGTTTCTGAGCTCTTTTTATCCAATTTCCAAACATCACGGAGTCATTTTTCTAAAAGATAACCCTAAACAGTCAAGACGTCGTTATCAGTCAAGACTGGTGTGTTAAAATCATCACAAAACAGGAAATATCATTGTATCAAAGCATTGACACATCAAGACAGCTAAATTTTGAATGAATAAGCAGATCCTTGTGGATAGCAGACCCACAGAGCCTCGTGGATAACAAATGTGTGAATGCTAGAAATCGATTCTTTAAATCAAAGCCTTCAACAGGCAGGTTTTCATTGACATAGACTGATAATATCCACAAATTAACTCACAACGAAGACTCGGTTATGTAAAGAGCACATGCCGACAAGCTTGATATGAATGCTAAAACCACCTGAAAAATAAATGAAAAAATTCCTGAAAGCTGCCATTCTGAATTGAAAACCTATCATCCAATAAAAACCCTGTCCACCCATCATCCAATTAAAAGGATCCAAGTTGATGCATCCCTGAAGAGAATAATGATAAAACAACTTTCGAAAAGAAGTTTTCTAACAAATTAAAAGGAAACATTTGTATCGGTGTTTCTTCAAAATAATGCTTTCTTTAATCTTGTAGTGCATTGCCTGTGTAAGGCTGGATAAATTCTTCAAATTTTTTATCACCCTTCAACTAATCAACTTTTCAATCTATCTGCCAGGACTGATCTTCTATAGTGGCAAATTAATTCCTGTCGAATGCTCCTTCCGATGGTTCGCTTACATTGATTTTAACTAAAAATTCAGTCCTTTGAACAAACAGGAAAATAGAAGGGAAGTCTTACCAGAATTCGTCCTTGCAACGTCTGTGCCGAGACCAATGCGCCTGCACCCTCTTTAAGTGCGACATACCAGCTTGCATCCTGTTCATCCGTCGCTTTGATCTTCTTGGCAACAGTATTTGATGACTGTGTATTAAATGATGATATACTTCGGCTTCTTCGTGTGCTTTTTTTTACAATAGTATAAAGAAGCCTTCCGATAAGCACAACTATTAATCCCCCAAAGTAAATTGCTGCACTGGCACCAACGAAATATTGCCATTTGCGATCACTGGCAGGAATCAACGTGTATTTGTTGCAATCATTCATCCTTTCTTGCTATAAATGACTTTCTCTTTCTTTTCGACTATATCTACAGAAGAATCCTTTTTCTGATGAATTTTCCGTTACCCTAGAATAAAAATTCTATGCTGGATTCAAAGTTTAATGCTTTATTACTGTACTTTGCCATACCAGAACAATAATAATCTATAGCTCATTAAAGGAATGGTTACCTAAGTAATTACTAAAAGTAGTGAAGTAATTACTAAAAACATTTTCCAATTTTTTCAACTTCTTTTTCCAATGTGTATGGTACTCCTCTTCAGAAACTGGTTGATTCTTTACACTTGCATGAATTTGTAGATTATCTCTGGCTTCAAGACAAATAGCAGAAAACTCTAAAATGCATTTGATTGGATCTTGCACTCACAATGTAGTCATTAGGGTTAAATGTAACTGTATCTGCAAACACGATAACTTTTATGTCAATGAAAGAAGTTTCTGGCGCAGTCTACATTCAACAGCACAACAACACTGTTTGATTACGGCTTGTTTTCATAGCAACAATACCATAACTTGGATTTAATAAACGCATCTTCCATGACAACTGCTATGTCTTCTTGTCTTTGTCACTCCTCTTATGCTTAAACTTCAGGATTGACAACTTCAGATATCTGAAGTTACCTTCATTTCTACAGCAGTTTCTTCCTGTCCAAGAGTCGACAACACCGAGTTATTCATACGTTCAACTCAAAGCAAGAGTCTCGCTCGTTTTCCCAATAACATCAGTGATGCAAATGTTTTGCCGGTGGCTATATAAATTCTTTTGTTTTCCGCTCTATTTCAGCAGGTATTAACTACGTTTCGTAAATGATTATAAATTAATCTCATCGGAAAAATTTCCAGATGACCTTGCCTCGATCAAACATAATTCTTGAAATTGTTAGCTGTGTTGTTCTTAGCTGTAATTCAGTTTACCAAGTTATTTAGTTTTTTATCATAATGCACAGTTTGCTGCTCTGTTTATATTGTCGATCTTTATAATAAAGATATAGCAGATTGCAGTTTCATTGGCCTTGCAAAACAATGCAACTACCCGTAGTCTTTTGTTTGAATAAAATCTTTTAGCTATTTTGCAATATTGTAGCTAACGCAGGCAGAGAAAAATCTACATTCGCTCTTTAAGTATTTATCTGTCTATAAAGAATGTTCCTCCACAAATAGTGATTCAATTTTGGTTGTTCTAAACATTCTTTTATGTTATTATTCTTCATTGATGTATACATTTTCAAAAGTAGCAAGAAGACAAATATTTCAGAATTTTTTTAGAAATCAGGCAAAAAGCTGTATTGCTTCTGTATAGCTTATTTCTATCTCAAAGGTCAAACAGAGGCAACCACGTTTTTGAGCACACAATCACACAATTTATCTATTCATATATATTTTTGAAAACATTTCTCAATTGTCAGATCTTACGAACTGAAGTAACATGTCGATATACTTCGTCTTCTTACAGGTAGAAGTTGAAAATGCGTTGACATCTCGTTAGAGGTTGAAAGAACAAATTGTTGCATGCCTGACAAAGCAAAAGCCAGTCTGTTGACAAATTCTTGAACCCCAACAAAATTTCTCAGTAGGCAAACCTAAGGGCCTGTCCAGCAGTTAACAGCATTCGGTTTGACAATTGATGTGACTTTTGATTTGACTTCTTATGTGACTTCTGATGTGACTTTTGATGTGACATTCAAGAGGATATGTGCATGATGTGAAAACAACCTTGCATGAATTGATTTGACTGTTAATGTGAATTTCCATGAGATAGGTACAAGGTGTGCTGTCAGTGAAATAGCCAAAGAGGAGAGTTTGGAGGGGCAAAGTCGTGGTCTGACACAAGGGGCCAAGGGTTGACCCCTGTGAAATTTTTGCAGACCAACCCCTAAAGAATTTAGGAACACGCCCCATTTTGTAAATCTGTTTGAAATAAGCTATGACGTCTTTATGTGACAATTTTGCTTAATCAAACGCGATGGCAGTCATCAATAGCTTAGACAGGGAAATTATTACAACAACCTAACCAAGGGCCTAACCTTAAATCTTTCAAGTAATTTTGATTATTTAGCATATAACGAGTACATTTAGATCTTGAAACATTTTTGTAACTTTCCAGGGGGCTAATAAATGATGACGTCCTTGGTTTGGTTATTTCACGATATTATTAGGTGAAACATCCTTCAAAAAACCAAATAGCCTTGAATTTCTCATTGAATTTTAGCTATTTTAAACATACGAAGTGCATTAGTCTTTTAAAATTTTTTAAATAGTGTAGAGAATCGTAAATGATGACGTCATCAGTATTTTAGTCTTGAGATATTTTTAGGCAAACATTCATCACAAACAAAAATGTATATATTAAGGGGCTTATCGTCATACATATATTGACTGAAATTTCATCAATTTTATTAATGTGTATTTTTATTAGTTTTATTAGAAAAGACTAGGTTTTGATGATTGATGACGTCATTTCTAGGGGGTAATAATGCAATTTTATAATGAGCATGTTTTGAAAATTGAAATGATCAAGTCAAGAAGATAACAATTATACAAATGCCTGGATGGTTACAGAGTTAAGCCCCGGTCAAACGCATCCAACATTTCATCCAACATGCAGAAAACCAATGTTGGATGAAATGTTGGATGCGTTTGACCACCCTTGATGGGTCACCCAACATTTGCAAACCGATGTTGGATGACGTTTGATCACGATCAAAAACAAATTCTGTTTTTCAATGTTGGATGCAATGTTGGATGCAATGTTGGATGCGTTTGACCACTCCATCCAACATTTCACCCAACATTTCATTTTCTAGGCATGTTCATGATTCAAACTTTTTTATTGTCATTTGAGCCGAGGTGAACCCAGATTGATTTGTGAGCAACTTCTTTCAAAGTTGTTAGCAAATGCCTAAAAATAATAGACAGCATTCAAAAGCTTCAAACCTATTCCATTCCTCTATGAGAAAAATCTGCATGAATTAGCATCAAACATTTTGCTCAAATTAGCCAGAAATTATTCTTAATTTTTTCTCGAAAGTTCTACAATATTGAGACTTGGCATTGTTAAAAAAAGTGAATATTTTAAGAGAAAAGTATCAAGAAAGCAAAGGATTTTTCTATATAAACCCTCATATCAAAACAGAAACGGAAAAAACATCCAGAAAAGGGACAAAAGGGCCCTACTCCGAGTGAAAAGTACCGACAATTTTGCGACCAGCTGAAATTCATTTACTTTTGTCTGAAATATTACCCCCTCCCCCCTTTGAGGTAATAATTTTATTGCAGATTTACTTGGAAAATTTGCTGTCTCGAACATTTTTCAATTTTGCTTGAAGGAAAATGTTCTATTCTTTTGGAACTATGTGAATTTTTGGAGAACTCATAGAACTCAGGAACTATGATAGAAGATACGTAGAAACTGTAAGGGAAGGTTCAGAAAAGTTTCTAAATGATTATGTATTGAATTAATAACAATAGTTATTTTGTGCACAGAAGAAGAAATACTTAAGCAGGTTATTGATGTGTTAGAAGACAGGCAATGATATCGAGTACGACAATCCTATAGCAAAGCCAGCTGCATTTTATAACTGCGATTCGAGAGGTGACTTCAGAGATCAAGCTGTATGGGGTCATGACATTTTTGGGGTACCTTTCATTAGAAGTTCTGGATGTTTGGGTAAACTGTTTCAAAAATTTCTACCTATTTGGGTGGTTTTTTAGAAAATTTTAGAATGACCGGGCATATTATTGTGACGTGAAAAGCAGATTGAAATAATGGTATCATTGCCTTTTTGATCATGCAGGGCTGAGGAAGCATTTCTAAAGCTGAAGTCGATAAAAGACGATTTAGACAAAGTACAAAACAACATTTTTGAAATAACTCTTTTGCAAAAAAACTCTTTCTAATGTATCTAGAAAAAAGTAAACAATGAAATGATACTCTAAAATCTGTTTGTAAACCATAGTACTAAGCAAGCAATCTGGCGTGCTTAAACAAAAGCAAGCCTTGGCTTATCATTAAAATTTCATCATGGAACTTGGTATGAAAGGAAAACCTGCTCTAAGAGTTGTTTGGTTGTCCAGTGCAACTATTGTCTTTCCGCTTAATTGCTTTGTAAAAGAGTGCTTGTTTTGTCGACAAGGAAGCTTTGTTGATATATAAAAGCCGATTCCTACTACGAAATGAAATCTATTGGAGCTGGCCTACGGTTTTATGATTCTGCTCTAAAGAAATGTACTTTCAATGCGGTTAGATTTCTGTAACTGTTATTGCAAATCTTTATCTAGAAAATATCTAGATCAAAAACTTCATTTTCAATGAATCTACAATAACTTTATAGAAGTTGACCAAAATAAATCTGAAAACATCCCCAACAGGAGAGTTTATCTTTGGCGCACGCAAATTAATTCATCAGTTTTTTTGGCTAACGGTGTTTTCAATCATTTAGGAGGTTATTGTCCTGAAATAATTTCTCTGTGTCAAATGCCCGTAACACTCCTTCTTCACCATTTCGCCCTTCAAATATTCACACCATGAATACCCCCAAATTACATCTAACAGTTTTACATGTTTTTTTCGACTTCAAACTTGACAGAGCCACTAAGATAAACTTTAAATCCCGATTTTTTTAGCAATTAAGATATATAAACGTATCAAAAACAGGATGTCAGCTGAAGTATCATTTTGAAAATAAAGTTGGTTTAAAGATTTTTAACAACCTCCTGAAGGTCTGTGCTCTTTTACTGTCAACTATCCTCTTTTAAAGAAGGTTTTTATGTTTTGAGTTGTTTAAGGCTCATTCGATTACTTTAAAGGCAAAAAAAAAATATTTGTGTTCGGCGAAAAATAGAAAGGCATCCGCAAATAGCGAGTTGGATCATCAATCTCAATTAAGCAGAGTTTTGTAAAACAAAAAATAAGAAGTTTGGCTTAGTTTGCTCGTGCTCTTGGGACAAGTGACCCGAATCGCATTAACTTTGATTGTAATGGTCACTTTGAGCAGTTAAATTTTACAGATAGTCTCTTATCGCTGATTGATTGCATTTCCATTTTGAATAATAGCGCAGCAAAAACACAAAATCTATATTCATTGCACTGGTAGTTCCATTAAACGAGAAGTAAACTTGAAAAGCTCAGATTGGATGTTTTCTTACGTATATCTAATAAATCGAGGGTCCTAAAAGCCACGACGGTGATCAGCAAGAAGCTTGAAACATTTGAAACAAAAAGCTAAGGCCAGTCCAGAGCTAGCGACACTTGACAAAGCATAAATTCCCATTTAGACGAAATGTCAATAACTATTTACGAATACCTTGGCGTGATTCTAAACTTTTTTCGTTTCGATACTCTTCCCTGAAAGATTTCGGCAGCAGTTTTCTTGCATACGCAAGGCTAGAACAATTTTCCTGTGAAAAATAAAACTTTGAAAAGTTACCAACTCTTAACGAACAGCAAATTCTTAACTTATCATATGTAACCTTTTTTCAAAACATGCATTGAAACTGATTGACAATCACAAACTGTACCGTTTCTGTGTCCTGGGAATAAAAATTGGTTGTAGAGGCTTCTTGCAGGAGAAACAAGTGAATTCTGAAAAGTTTTGTCCTTTTAACAAAAAAACCCACTTACTGTAACAAGAGGAGAAATACAGGAATTTTCTACAGCGTTGTTGACACGTATGTATGGGATTCGGTAAACAATAAGAAGGTGCCTAGTTTAGAAAGAGATAGAAAAGTGTGCACTGACAGGATAAGAGCTACTTAACGACAACACTTTTTAACGACGAATCTTTTAGAATGGAGGACGATTGAAAAGCGAGTTTGAAAGGAATTCGAAAGTAGGAAAATGGAGAGATATGGGGCTAGAAAGAAATTGTTAGAAGGCTGATATTCTACCAAGTTATGGCAAAGAATAAACGGAAAAAAGGAACTTAACTAAAATATTTAACAACCGTGATCATTTAACCATATGATAATGTAACGGTATTGCAGCATGGTAATGATTGGCATTGATCGACATGACAATCTCTTTGAAAACAAGAAAACGTTCACGTATTATATTGTATAATATAAACATATGCTACAGATCTTCCCTATATAATGTGCGCTGCAATTATTAACAATTTAATTCTTGATCATTAAATGTTCAATGGCTTTTTTGATGATAGATTGATTGTTTCCATTTGAAGGAATCCCTACAACAATTTGCGAATAACGTTTAAGCATCAGTCGCTGCTGTTTTTTCATTTCATTTATCTCTATCTTCAATCATAAATACAATTTAACAATGCACAATAAATAATTATACACAGCCAAAACAATAAATTTACAATTACTGCTAGCACACAAACCTTATTTCGGTTTATTTTATACCAAAATTCTGTTTCATCTATTTCCGTTTCCTTGGCTTTGCAGAAAATATGTCCCTCCGCTTTATTCCCGCCAAGTCATGAGGGTTTTGCGGTTTCTTCATTTTGTTTCTTTAATATGGCTATTCATGGTTTTCAAATTATTATTCAAATTTAACGTTTTGTCAGTTCTATTCTATATATGCTTCTATATTTTTAGATTCTAACGCTCTGACTCTGAGTATCCTAAGTAATGATCAAGAAAGTTTGAGCTTTTTGTATATCGAGAGGTCTCAATGTTCCCCTTTTTACAAGAAAATGTTTAAAGATGCAACTACATATGTCGTTTGTTTAGTGCAGTTGTATGAGCATGTGCGCAAGGTCCCAACCTATTTGATTGCTTTAGAGCACTTACCTTTAGAGATCTAAGAGTGGGATCTCCGTTTATGTGTAAGAAAACAAGCCCACTTCTGTCAACAATTTTGTCGCCATTACAGATATCCTCGATTTAGCAACGCCAATGATAGTAAGCATAAAGCGTTGTTCATATTACATACTGCAGTATTCTATTCATGAAAGCTCACTGAAGCAAATTTATTTTGCTTTATCTTGCTTTGTATTATACAGGATTACGCTGAAATCCAGCCGCGTTATTTTATTTAGGACTAGTAAACAAAACGAGTACCTTTATAACAAGCAAAACAGAGTTGCTTGGTGACAACTGGAATGAATGCCTTTTTGTATGGTAAAACGGCAAAACTTGCAAGGATAGTGGCGTTAGGATAATATAGTCAATTATAAGTTGAGAAGGACCGCAGAGGAGGAGAGACGGTTTTGACCAGGACAAGTTTTCTGTTCAGCTGAAAAAGACCAAAAATAAACCAAACCCAACCAAAAAAAGGATTGGGGAGAAAAATAAATGGAGCACGGTTTATCAAAAAACATTATCATTGAAATACAAACAGAAAAACTATCAGCTAAAAATAAAATTAAACATTTTTGAACAGCTAGGATAAAAGGGTTTTAATAAAAAGCCTCTAGATTTGGAAAACTTTGAAACAGGGCCGATCAAAACGAGTTTTATTAAAATTTATAATTGCGCCTAGATTTTCTCTTTTAAAGTAGGGATGGATTACCGTTACAATCAAACTTTGAAGTTTTCTTGATGATACTTTTAAATAACAAATCTGCCCGTTCTTTATTTCTCATATCCTCAAAAATTTTCCTGGCAGCTCTTTTTTTCTTTCAACAGCTGATCTCTCTCTTTTTGTTATGTTTCTGCGAAAGTTTTAGGTTACAAACAGACCTTGTTTACCATGTTTAGGCCATAGAAAAAACGAAACTCTGTCAATTTGTGCTGGCACCAAGTTATTCTGGATCAGGTTTCTCGATCAATGTCCTAAAAAGCAGTTGCTCGTTGATCAACTTGGACAATGACCGATTTCTTCGATCAAATTCCAATATTCAGTTTTATACATGTCTTTTATGGTAAAGACATAGCAACCAATCTAAAACTAAGAGCACATTTAAGGCATATTTAAAAAAATCTATTTTGCTCTGCAGAAGAGTGGGAGGCATGGCCCCCCGGCCTCCCGGTTTCGCCGGCCCTGTAAATGACAAAACGTAGTTAAATGCAAGAAAGCAAAGGAAGGCTTTTGAAAGACCACAAGTTCAAATCAATTGCTTTAGCCGATTTGGTTGCAACAGTTAGACACATCTCCTTTATTCCTGGCATATTTAGAGCAGTGGCAAGCAGTGGCGGAGCAACGGGGGGGGGGAATGGGGGGACTAGTCCTCCCAACTTTTGCAGAAAATCGGTTCTTGAGATTCTTCCAAACCTGATGAGAAAACTTGGGGAAGGAGGTATGTACGTTATCTAGATCGTCGCATTTAAATGATATTTCTTGGGAGACAAGATGTGTTTCCTCCGGAAGAAAATGTTTCAAACAGTGGAAAGGGCCTTGTCCAAAAGGCGTGGTCCCGGACATACCTTTTGCCCCCCTCTCCCCCCCCCAAATTATCCCAGGCCATCTTCAAGCCAACCGAAATATCTGGCTTTTAGGTCCTTAAGCCGCCATAAAATTCTAGTTTCCATAGGCCGAACATCCCCACTCACCACGCTATATTCGCAAATTTCAAGGTGCTTATTCATTGCTATGTCTTAATTAATGTACTTATTAAGGTAAACTTCAACCCATCTGGCTACAGGACTCATTTCATAGTAAATATTTTCTCCAGGTTACCGTACACAACGTAAGCAAATAAGAGTAAAATAAGCATCAGAATATTTGACCATTTTCAATCACAAGACAAAAGATCACGTGCTCTCATCATTTGGACTATCTTTTCTTGGCTGTCAGTGCCTCTTTTGAGCGGGTTGAGAAGAAGAGCAATAGTCTAATATGCATAAATTCAGACACAATTTTAGAGACACATTGAATCCACTGAGTCTCGCAAACAACGGTGTCGAGGACACGGACCATGTTTTGCTGCAATACCATTCTTGCGACGAATACAGGAGAGATCTTCTCCATAGTGTAAATCTAACATTGCAACCGTATTGTTTGCTAAATCTATTGAACAGTTTATTACTTGAAATAATACTGTAGGGCTATGAAAGTTTGCCCGTTGATTCCAATTCAGAAATCCTTAAAGCGACCTTAAGATACATATATGCAACAAAGAGTTTTGAAGAAAATGAAACTATTAAAACCTAGTTTCTGCACTGGAACCTGTACTGGAATTTAGCTCATTTGTGTTATAGAGGTTACGTGTATTGTTGTTTTTTTCTTTATTTTTTTTCATAGCTACATGTAGTTAAAAATTTATAATTAATGCCTGCATGGTAGACACTTGCCTAGCTTTGTGCTCTTTGCGGTATCGTTTTGGAAGTGTAGTAAAGTAGTGTAACAAGTATTATGTAATTGTAATCTATTATTGAATGATATAAAAACATTGGCATTCTTCCGCTGTCTATAGCAACACCTTGCTCATGGAAAAATCACAAGCCATTTGGCCATTAACTAACGCACGAAGAAAAGAAATAGAAAGTTAACATGCCAGTAAAAGCACGTAAATATGCTTGATTTGATGGGTGGGGTTGCAAAATACACTATAAAAGAATAAAAGACACAATCGCAATCACATTTAGCTCTGCCAAAAGCAATAGCAAAAGGGGCACAAATAATACGTACCCTGTCACATACTGAGCGTCATCCAATACGATTTGATCAATCTTGAACCATTTCGAAAATTTTTGCCGACCACACCCTTGAGAATTTTGATAAACGCCCCATTTTGTAAATGTGTGTGGAAAATCTGTGGCTTTTTTACGTGGCAATGGTTGGCTAATCAAACACAATAACCCTTATATGTAGCTTTTTGTTGCTGACCCCAGTCTACTTCTGTCTATTTCCTTCACAATCCCTGTCATGTTAATATTCTGAATTGTGTCAGGCGTTTATACTCCATGTGTAAAAAGTGATTTTCCAAAGTTGTAAGCAAAGATCTCAATATAATAAAGTGTATTAGAAGTTTCAAACTAAGTCTGCTCTCCTAGGATCAAAATTTGCAAAATCATCTTCAACCACTAAAAACTAGGGCAAATTATAAAACATTGTGGAGAGGTAGAAAAGAGGCTCCCCTATGAGCGAAAAGTGCAGAAATTTTTTTACAGATTAAAAGTTTGCACATTGAAACTACTCAGGTGTTTAAGAGGATTTCCCTCAGGTGAAGGGTGGAGCAATGACGGGGGTCCCGGGAACCATAGCAACTAGGTCTGATGAGTAGAAAACCCTGAAGTTTACCATGTTAATTACAAGGGGCGATTCACTTTTGCAAACAGCGTACGAGATTTTGTCTAAAACAAACGGATTTTTGGGGATTTTCAGATAAAACAATAGGGTTTTCAAAAAAGGTGCACAAGAATTTCTAAGAGTGATTTGCCCCTCGGTCGATTGTTCCAACAATGATTGGAAAAAAAAATTATTTCACCAGAAAGTCATGTTGATTTTTGGTCTGGACGTTATTCTCATGTCTGGTAAGCATTTACTTTCTAAAAATGCAATGAAGACTAATACACTTGGATCTTTGAAAGGCCTCAACTGGGTATCCTTCTCTTTAGAAGCGGAAGTTAGGACATCAACGAGGTTCGTACGTCTGCATGAATTGTGAGGGTGGCGACAGGACAGGGGAAATTTTTCAATGTTTAGCCAGCTTTGAAACGCTCAAATTGTTCATTTCATAAAAAATTTCCTCCTTTATAAGCTTTTCCAAATTCTCCAGCAAATTCAACACGCATTTGAAAATATCTTGAGATCCAAAAATGTACACCCCTTTTGCACCTTATCCCTACAGATAAAGCAAATTGGGATTCTTCTCCTTTACAACTTCCACCCTCATCTTCTTTCATCCTGCTGTTTCGTGTGATATTTGCATCCGTTGTTAACAACTTGCTTTTGATGGAAATTGTTTTGTCTATCAGTACGAGGTGAGTTCATGTGACCAGTTCCAGATCAACCAATTGCATCGCAATTCGCAGTCATGAAAACCATGACTCAGCGGATTTTGGCACTTAGGGTATACCCAATCCATTTTATCATGACTCAATGCCATCAAGCCTGGTTCCCATCAAATCGTAAGTGTCGGGAACGTGTAGCTTGTGCTCCAGACCCCTTATTACTTGAAAGTAGAGGTTTGGAACACAGGCTAGGAGCGTGTCGCTGACCTCTTCTTCCATCTTTCATAACGATGAAAGAAATCATTGATTGGGGACAAGTTGACAGCTATCGGAAAGCTATAAAATATTTTTACAACAAAACAAAGCAAAAAACGCGCCAAATAAATTTCCTGTGATTGCCTAATCACACACAAGTGACTATTTTCAAACAATAGTAGACAATGTAATATGCTGACTCGCCAACAATTTTTGTTAAAGTTCAAAGTAGATGACAAAGCAACACTTTCTAAAGTTTTAGCCAGTTAAATCAGGGCTCACGCCGGGCAATTCACTCTTGCAAATAGCGTACGAGATTTCCCCTAAAACAAAAGGATTTCTGGGGATTTTCGGATAAAACAATAGGATTTTCACAAAAGGTGTACGAGATTTTCTTGGGGTGATTTGCCCCTCAGCCCACGCCACAAATTTCAAGGTGGAGGGGCCAAGTTCTATAAACTGAACTTAGATTTCGTGCTTCAAAACAACAGGGCCTCTGTAAATAGCACGTTTAGCTGTATTTCTCTTGTGTGTCATAACCCATTGGCTTTTATCAGGATTAAAAATTTATAAGAACCACAAACCTACATGTTTTATTCGTATTTCTTTTTCATAAGAAGACCTCTCAATACGGAAGGTTCTTTTGTGCGGGTTTTTTTGGCTACTGGTGTTTCTTCCTATGTCGTCAAAGACCGTCGACATTGTGCAGATTCAATTGTGAAGTAGGAATAAGGGTATTGACGATTTGAAACGGTTGGGTGGCGCTATACAGAGTGGTCTTGCGTTCCGATTTGTTTATTTTGCATAGAGATAGGATAATATCTATGTTGTTTTAAGAGAAGGAACAAAATTTACAAAGGAATTGCTCAGCGAAGCCAAAGAAATAAAGACGGTTCTCATAGCAAACATGGTTGCCGTGTATCGGCTTGTTTTGCTTTTATGTTCCAATTTTGTTGGAGTTTTTTCGAAAAATGAAAGTGAACTGATTACAGCACTATTGGCAAACTATAACACATATGTTAGGCCAGCTACAGAGAGCGGAATGCCTGTCTATGTGAGCTTTGACCTTCGACTTACGAAGCTCGTTAGGCTGGATATCAAGGCACAGGAAATGGTTATAAATGGAAAAGTTTTGATGAAATGGCAAGACACAAGATTGACCTGGAGTGCTTCGGATTACAACGGCACCAACCGTCTTATTGTACCAAACACACTCTTTTGGACTCCTGACATAATGCTTCACAACACTGCTTCTGATACCAGTGTCTCTGGTACGGATGTGTACAAAGCACACCTTCGGGTGAACAATAACGGAACCGTGTTATGGATGTCACCGGTGACCCTTCACTCGTCTTGCGACATTAACATTAAGTGGTTCCCTTTTGATTCGCAAGTTTGCGCGCTGGTTTTTGGATCCATCTCTATGACAAAAGAAATGCTCGATTTGAAGTTCTATAAACAGCCAGAAAGTGTTGAAGCTTTTCGAGACAAGTTTCACTATTCAAGTGGTATATGGTCTGTAGGCGAGCTGAGCTCACAGTTGATCTTCCAGGTTTATGACTGCTGCCCTGACCCATTTTCGCTGATGCAGTTCAAGCTAAAGGTGGCACGGCTACCGGCCTACTATGTCCTATATCTAGTCCTTCCGTGCCTCTGTCTCTGCTTCATGTCTCTCTGCATCTTTTTCATACCACCTGACACTGGCGAAAGAATAGGTTTTGGGATAACAGTGGTTTTGGCGATGAGCGTATACTTGCTCGTTATTTCAGATAAATTACCTGAAAAATCTAACCAACGGCCACTTATTGGTGTCCTCTATATCATTTTGTTTTTCATAATGAGTGGTACTTTGCTGGCAGTTATATTTACAACCCACTTGGCGTTTAAAAGAACAAAGCCACCTCGGACACTACGCCATTTCTTTTGCAATAGGTGCCTTAAGAAGAAAAGGAAAAAAGAGATTGACGCACATCGCTTTGGGAATGAACAGCCAGGGACACACATGAACGAAAAAGGACACGAAAACCTCGATAGAAACAACGACGATGTTATTGAGTTGACGCTGCATCGGAGAAGGACCTTCTTGCGGTCGAGCTCGAATCTTCACCGCGAGTTTGCCTTTGTGTCCCCAGAGGAGGAGAAAGAAATTGAAAATCAAGATAGGTGGAAAGAAATTGCAGAAAGCTTCGACCGAATTTTTTTTTGGATATTCGCCACGCTGTCTTTTGTTGTGCCTATCGTAACAACACTCTCCTATATGAATGGATAACAAAATAGTGTTAAAAAACAAGTCAACTTCTGTTGCCCTACAAACGTACACACGACTTTCAAAATAATCTGGTATTTTAGCAACTCGAGCAGAAAGCAGTAATTGGTATGAAAATTTGAAATACTCTGAGAAAACTTTAAATAATTTTCAATACAACTCTAATGAAACAGTTTTTCATCATGAATATCGTAAGTCAGATATCCTAAACAGTAGCACAGAAAAAAAAATGTTTCTGATATGAGCATCGCACAATCCTTGAACAATTTTCATTGCGAAGCATTACTTGGAATTAATATAGATTTCAAAAAGAGGCTGCAGATTTTTAGCAAAAACAAAGCAGCCTGACCATTTTGATTAAGAAATAATTTTCACTGTACCTACTAGGGGTCATTTCACCATTGCAATACAACAAGACTGGTTTTTATTCGCAAGCTGTTAATTTGTAGTTAACTGGTCTCGCAACAATAATCAGGAATTTATTTTATAGCTGCATTGGAGGGCTTTGTTAGCTGTGCGTTTCAGGCACGACTGGCCCAGGATTAGCTGAATAAGATTATCTAAAAGCAATTTTGCCAACAATTGACAAAAAGTGCTAAATATTTGTTTCAACCAACAATTTAGCAAAAGTTTGGGCTCTCATCCTCACGCCCTCCACACAACCGCAATTGAAGCATTTAACTTGATAAACTTTATGCAATAGAATATCAGATCATCAGTTAGGTCTCCAAGCCTTTTCATCCCAGAAGACAAGCAACAGTATTTAAACAAAAATGAGCTATCTAAATGTTTGACAGAAAATGCTTAATGATAACTTTTGCTGCTTTGAGGCCAGTATCTCGACAAAAAATGAGACTTTTTAAATGAATAAAGGTTGCTTATCTACAATACGAGAACGTTATATACACATTGATTCAATTTCTTGAAAATAGCTTTCTCTCTTCTTACATATTTAAAGAGAATCGGAGGCCATTTGCACATTTACGTGAAAACTCGCCAGTCCATGGTTGGTTAAGGCCATCAGTGAATTTGCCAATTCCATCAAGGCTGCAGATTGAAAAGGAAATCTTGGTCTTACATGGTATTTTGCTTCATGTAGAGATTATCAAACGTGTAAAGGAATAACTTTTTCGGGGGCAATGAAATAATTGCATTTCACATTTGCCAGTTCTTAAGTGAAACCGTAAAGGTTGTCTAAGGATGCAATTCTACTTCAGTTGGATGCTGTCTAAGGATGCTGAAGGAATAGAAATACAAAAAAGGAAAAACAAAATGTACAAATGAAAACGATGCCCCATATTCAGTGTCATGGCAGATAGTACTCTGGGTACCAAAGCCACACATATCTGAGAGCAGAAATAAAGGGAAGGACAGTGTGGGGTAGCAAGGGTGAAGTATGAGGCACAGACCTGTTTTTGCAAAATGTTCCTTCATATTTTGATCCATCAGACCATGTATACGTGCCGTATCCATGCATCATATTATTAACAAAGTCTCCTTCATACCTGGAACCATTTACATGAAACAATGAACCTAAAGAATACAAGAATATATATAAACCTTGGGTAGAAAGACACCTGAAATAATTCGTTAATTACAAAAACAAATAATAATAAAACTTTAAAAACAACGTGTAAAAGGTCATGAAGGGTTGATATCCAAATATAAGGGATACCTTTTCCATTCATTTTGTCTGCGTCCCAGTCACCTTTATACACTGTGCCATCGCTACCCGTGAGTTCCCCATAACCAGTTCTTACAAGTGCTCCATTTGTTAATTTGCAGGAACCATCTGAGTGAGATAAAAAGTCGCAAGTATGAACATTTATCCTCTCTATCAAGTGGTTAAAACATGTCGAAAAATAAAAGCAAATATTGTTGAAAAAAAAGCGAATAGAAGACGACGTTGTCATTTGGACCAAGAAAAATGAGATTTTTCCGTACGAGATGTGAGATTTCAATCAAAACTATAAACCCCATGGAAAAGCAAAACCTTCAAAAACAAGCAGCTTTGCCTGCCAACGACGAAATTTACCTACAAAAGCGCTAAATATGTTATTTAACCGGCACTTTAGCACAAGCCGGGAGGGGGTTCTCACCCCAAACCCACACCCTCACAAACCCCCAATTTTCGCCACTGCATTGATTTGAGTAAGGGTATACCATGCCGCAGAATGGAAATCTCTATTCTGTGATCATGTACCGCCACAGAGTCTAATGGGCTCAGAATCATTTGGATTGGCTACCTACATGATGTTATTTATCGGCGACCCCTGCAAAACTCTCATTACATCCCCTTGAAGATTGCTGTATGCGATATCATTTGATTCATCAAATACTCATCTCCTTACTTTTCCATAAAAATTTTCCATTCGCCATAAAAAAAACTAAGAAATAAACAAAGGCATTGAGTTCAGTTTAATTTCTTGGATTCAAAAGTTTAAGGGATTGGCTCAAAACCCATTTTAGTTGGTTTTGAACAGAGGCGGATCCAGAGTGAGTTCCTTGGTGCACAGAACTCATTCAGTTTTCCAACATACAGCTAAAAATAGTGTTGCCTGAAACAAGTAATATTTAAATTAAAAATTTGAAACTGAAAAATTCTAAAATCTTAATCTTAAAATTAAGATCTTAAAATTGCCAGTTTCTTCTCTGTCGTGATTTGGAAACGATTTTGCAGACGCTGTGGAGGACAACAGCAGTCAATCCTGGAACTCGGAAATAAACGTTTTGTGCCTCGGAAGTGAATGAATTGAAACAATAAACTTTTTATAGCAAATATGAAACACCGCAATACGCCGAGAATAAACAACAATAAATACACGCAAATCAGTAAAGGCTGATATTTCGCCCCGGCATACGGGGCTTCATCAGAGCAAAAGTGAATAAACTTTTTGTTTGGAACACGGATGGGACTCAGTCAAAACAGCATCTGGAACTCGGAAATGATACCATATTTGTAAGAGAGCTGTACAATGGCCCGGAGTTGATTGGCTACTTATTGTTTCTGCTCAATTGTGGAACTGCAAAACATTGAAGTCGAAATGGCGACTGCAGATGTCTTATACTCACGACCATCGCAGCATTCTAGCAGATTATTAAGCGTTTGAGATAAAACCAGGGGATATCGTTAATTTTCCAGGGGTGTTAACTACCTTTGCTTTAAATTGGAGTCTTTGATGGCACGGAAAACCTATGCTCAGAACGTAACTCTGCGGAGGCAAAACAACAAATTGCGAGCAGAACAAAAGGGAAAAACTTTGCTGTGGTATCCAAAACAAACAAAGGGTATTGAAAAATGGAGGGGTTTGAAAAATTGTTCATAGAGGCACTGTTTTTTGTCGGAAATTAATTTAGAATCTAGATTTAATGAGTAAATTGTACCACCCCCCCCTCTCTCAATGGTACAAAAATGCATAAATATGAATAATAATGTTATTTTATGCACAATGATCAATGCATTATCTGAAAGTCCCTAGGCTTGGCCTGGAACTCAGTCAGGTTTTTTGCTGGATCCGCCTCTGTTGGTAAAGGGTTTTATACAACTTGCAGATAGATTAAAAAAGCCTCATCTCAATCATTTCAGTATCATATCTCTTTTAAACGATGGTTGAGAATCAGCCTGGTTTGGATCTTAGGGGTGTTGGGACAAGGGCCTATACGATGATAGACTGAGTTTTAACGACAAATTTGAGACATGCAACCAGTCCTACAACTTCGAGAGATCGCAATTAAAGTTATGCTCCAGGTCATTAATACTTTTGGGGGAATATGAGACTTAAGTGTCATCAGCGTATATACTTGACTTTCTTTAGAGAAAACGAAAAACAAAACATATCAAAATAAGGAACAATATCAAGAACCTTGTGGTACACCATAGTGGCTACCTCTTATGTTCGACGCAATGCCATTTACCCTGAAAATTGCTTGTTTAGAAAAGAGAAGAAACATTCATGTTTGAGTCCATTAAAAGCCTACTTTGCAAGATTTTCAGCAATTAATTTTGGGTCCACAGCATCAAAAGCTTTTCAAGATCATAGAAAGTTAGCAAAGTTTCATGCTTTGGGACCTTTCATTCATTCCACCTGGTTTCTACGTGTACCGTAGATTGCCAGCAATTTCCTTCCACCAAACTCTTTTAAAATGACCATAATTATCAATATTCGCCCATTGCTTGATGTCATCTGCCCACATTCTACTTTCCTTCCTGGTGATTAGGGTCCAGGGACATAATATTCAATAATGGTATAAAATACATTTTCATTGGATTCCCAATATATGTCAAATGAACTATATGTCCAAAAATTGCCATCATCTCTTTTTTTGCAATGATGTTATACAATTGTCTATTCATTCGCTTTAGCACCTTTTAACTCCCTACTTAATCTGTCATGTTGATCTAAAGAATCAATTCTGCTTTTCTGGTCTTTGCCTTATGTCGAAGAGTCATTTCCATTACTGAAAGTGGAACATACATACATTCTTATATTCATTTCAGTTTTTATAGATGTTGCTTTTATACAACTCCTTTTAATTTAATGTTTTCTTTATTTGGCTTATATGAAACAGAAAACATTTGGTCAATTAAACTTCAAGACAAAAATCTGTTTCGAAACTCTTTTTGTCTCAAATTTAACTCTGTCCGAAACCTTTTTCGTCTGAAATTTCTAAAATCAAGGAAAATATGAAAACACAAGAAAAACACAATATGACACTCCTCTTTTTTACAAAAGTTAACTTAATATGATGATATGATATACAATATGCCCCAGAGACTGTGTTTACCTTGGCCTAATGCTTCTTGGTTGTTTTTTTTTTCTGAAAACTGGCTTCCAAAAATATTGTTGTACCAGATACCCTGATGTGTTATTGCAAGCCTAATAAATTTTTTGATGCCTTCCAAAAATGTGCTTTGTGGCCCTTGTGGGCATTTCTTCTAAAAAAACCACAGATTTATCAATTTAAAAAGGAATATATGATGAAGTGGAACAAAAAACTGGAACAGTTTCACAAAACCTGGCAAATAAGTAGCAGCAAAGCAGTACACAATTTTAATATTTATGATATGAGCTCAAAAATTGTTCCTCGCTTTTGATCAAAGAAAGCTGCTCCAGATGTCAGGTGATAAGCTAAATATAAGACTTCATAGATCACTGGACATTATATCTATGTGACAATATAATAACACAGCTGCTTTGAAAGAGAGCAGAAAGTTATTGAATAATGCTCACCATATTTATCACCATTTGGAAACATGAATACACCTTGCTGTAAAGGATGGTCTAAACAGGAAAATTAACCCATCATCTATCATATATAACACAATATGCTAACAAATAAGCAGTTAATATGCAGCATCTTATTCTGCAATTATATAAAATGTCTATTTAAAACAAAGAAAGTAATTTTAATAGGTTCAGCATCTGATAGTGTGCATAACAAATGATTTATATGATCAAAGAGACAAAAGATATTTCAAGATATAAATTAAAGAGAAGTTTAATAAAGTGGACAATTGACAGATTCAATAACTTTTGAAATTCACTTACCAACTTCTTGTTTGCTTCTTTTTTCTTTTCTGCCTAGATGATGTTAAAAATATAATTTGTTTCCAAGTGGAGTTGGTAGAATAAGAAAATACTTGAAAGCAATATGCCACAATTATGCCTTTAAATCTCATGGTAGACCAGCTGGCATGGTTGGAAAACCATTTTTGTCAATGTCATTGTTAAAATTCTTTGTTTTAACGAGATATTTTTCAACTAACTTACAATTAACTGCCCTTGTAAAATGTGTCTTTCCTGATAGAAACAATATCAAAAGATAAGAAAATTAATTGCTTGTAAGTGGTAAGGGATAAATGAACTCAAGAGAACTCAATGGATGCTTTTACATAGTTAGCAACAAAACCTGTGAATTGAATTTGTTTTCAAAATTTTAGTTTTGTTTCTTTATTATCTTTCAACGAAATTTAAGCTGCAGAATAATCATGCTGCAAAATATGTGAACTTGCTGGTACAAACTATCCTCTGTTGTTTATCAAATATATTGTGGAAAAGTATTCATATTTATCAGACTTATATAATACAAATTTTGAATAGTCTTACAAGACTATTTCAGCCACTACAATTATATGAAGTGCAACCTTGCTCATATTACCCCCTGTACTTATTGTCAAATTAACCGAATATCAGTTCAAACTTTTATTTAAACTATAGAGGCTTGGTGCAATATAAAAAATGTTTGGAGAAAAATAAGCAGCCTTTTTCAACCTAAACCATGTAGCTTGTGCTGTTTGCATAATACTGTGTTAAATATCTATTGGTCTAATGCCTTCTAGAGATATGATTCTAGGACAACTGGTTTTTATGTTAATGCCTATCTGCCTAGAGACTACTAGAGATTTGCTTTCAAAGAAGCTGTATGTTATGTATTGCTTGGCTTATCTGCTGCTGTCAAAAGTATTGATTAGCTTTATGGTTGCTTTTGAATAGCAAAAATAAGAATTATATTTATCATTAACACTGAGTAGCAAATTCAAGAGCTACATGTGGTATTTTCTAAACTTTAAACTGGCTTCTAATTAAGCTATAATACCTCTTGGAAATTTGTTTGGGATACCTGATGCTTAGAGAATTTGTCAAAAAAGACAAATCAGGATAAAAAGATTCTGCTTATAAAATGTTTTAGGGGTGGGGAGTAAAAGGTTGCAAATGAGAAAACTGTTATGACCCCTAAAGTTTTGAGTTCCCAAGTTGAATTTCCTGTAAATTCAATGTATTAGTTCTATAAACATGTGTACTCCTCAACCGCCAGCAATGCATCCTATTCAAAACAAGATTGTGAGGATAGTTTGCTGTAACCTGGAACCTAAGTGCCTGCCTAGAATATTTGCACATTTGTTGGTTTTTTATTTATCTTTAAAAGAAGTAATGAGCAAATAAATGACTATGTTTAAGGTTGTGTCCATAACTGTTAAGACAAATCTCAGTTTACAGCCCATTGGCGCACATCTGGAAAATAGCTATGATGCTTGCAATAATGCAAATTTTAGCAATAAATAAAAAATTGAATAATTCATCATGATGATAAAAAATAATTTCTAATTATAGCATTATTCTTTCAGTGTGAATTAGAGTCAACTATTTGTCTGCCTATAGACAACAAGGGGCTAACTTCCAGAAAACTAGAATCTGCTATGCAAGCACTGTGTATGATGTCTTCTCAGGCTTGTGTCTATAACACCTTCTGTGTGATGTAAGCATTCATCTTTTTAAAAACTATTAGGGGCTTACTTCCAGAATGTTCATGTCATTTTAGGCTATTTTTCTGCTGCATACACATGTAATAGCATTGCATTAATACACATTTTTGCTGAAATCTAATATTCTTAAAACTCCGACTAGGACCCTTAAACCATTCTTTAGTCATTCTTAAGCATCAAATTGTGTAATTCTATTCATCTAACAGTAATATTTCAGCTCTAATCACACGTGGCATGGGCACTTACTACCAGACAGAGAGACAGACAAAATATTGAATTTATTCCATTTATTGATTTAAACTTAAAAAAGTTTCTATAATTTAATAATTGTTTTATAATTGGCTAAAATTTTGAAGTGATTCCTATTGTCATTCTATAAACATAAGCCAGGCACTGCGCACTATTCAAAAAGGGGGTGTGCTGAGAAGGGCGTCGGTGAGAATATTTTTAGGCCACATCCTTTAGAACGACGGAAAATGCCCGTAATAGAAAATACCTGCTTCTCTCCACTTATTTTTTATAAACAGTCCAATAGATTTAACAAGATAAGACACAGAGAAAATGAACAAAAAGGCTCCTAGTCAAGACGAACTGCTACTACTTGGGATCCGTGATGAGAGTGAACTGTCCAAAGCTGCGTTAGAGTAAATTTTCTAAAAATTTTAACCTTTTATTGCAAGAAAGTGGGGAGGGGCTATAGCCCCTGCTAGCCCAATGGCTGCGCGGTGCCTGATATAAGCAATTAACTTTTCTTTTTGTGTTCATCAACTTGACCCGGCACTGTCGCAACATTGGCTTCCGTTTGAATACTTTTGGGAGGGGAGTGTAGCTATGTTTTTTTATAGAAGAAAAAAACTTCTAGAAGGCCTAGTAAGTGAAATTTGGATAGGACTGGTCCCCTATTAACTGTTTTCGTCATAGATTTATATATCATGATCATATAATATCAGTAACAGAGCGTATTATTACCTGTAGCTGCCATTATTATCTTTTCCACTCAATTGTTTATAAATGCTGAGAATGTGTTGTCGCTAACGCAACGAGCATTCACGAGAACTTGAGTACCTCGTTTTCAACTGTGAAAACTGGAAGCGAGGACGTCATCAAGCAATGACGGAACAGGAAATCAGGAAATATGTTACTATAATATTTGTATTTTTTTCAAACTCAAAACCTTTTTTTCAGCAAATTAAATAATTACACTTTACGTCATTTAAGTAAGTTGTTCAAAATTCAATTGTCAAATCCAAAATTACAATAAGAACATTAAAGAAAAAACAGCCTTATTTACAATTATATCAGCTGACGGACACATAAAATCAAGATGGAGCTACCAAAGCCATGTGCCCAGTTGACGTGATTTGACAGTGAGTTTACAATTAATTTTGGTTTGAATAACAGTAAGAAGAAGATAATAGAAATGCAAATGGAAAAAAGCAAAGGAAATGACTAAAGAAAAACATTCCCAAAAACGACATTGAAAAAAGTAACTAATAAAGGATAAATCAGAAACTTAAGACATTCTATGAATATTGACTCTTTGTCAAGAGCGAGCAAAATCACGTCCGCACGTGACTTGAGAGACATGGGCACGCAAGAGTGACATGCGTCAGAATATCATATTTATTTTCATCATATTTCTTGAGTGATCATACTTTCAACATAGAAATCCTTCATTTAAACAGTCTTAAATTTCTTTGAATTGTGATTCAAATAGATTATCATACACTTACATTCGAAAAGTATTGCATCCGTTCGACGATTAAGTAATGGTGACAGCGTTGTAACGGTCATTTCAAATTTGAAACACTTGCATGAAGCTATTAGGCATGAGTTCATAGATTAAAGCTAATCAAAGAAAACCTCTTTATTCAACAGTATCGAAGCTTTGAAACCTTCGTGAACCTTGCCAAAATTCAATCAAGAACTTTTTTGACTTCTTCCGTCCATCCAATAAATGACATCTATACTTTTTGCAATCTTGATAAGATATTTAAAGGCATTTTTTGCGAAAATATCTACTTTGGCACGTAAATCGAGCAGGATTAGACAAGAAATAATGTCATATGGTTCCTATTTGAATCCTTTCGTTAAAACACCTTCACATTTCTCAACAATCACACATCTTTGCGGGGTTAATTTTTATGGAAAGTAAATTGTACCAGGAAATTTTTTTTAAAATTAATTAACGACGTTTCGAGCATAGCCCGTTATCAATATTGTACCGCACGCATTTTAGTATATTTAATTTTTATTCCTCTGGCATTCAGGGTATTCAACATCCTAACACAAGGATTTTAGGCCTGGTTTAAACCAGTCGAATTTTTTTGGGAAGCAAAATTTTCGCTTCAAGTTTTCTTTTAAGGCCCTAACTCTCATCTTGTTCAACACATATAACTGCGTATCTTCACCAACTTGCAGCTCTGTATCTTTATTTGCAGTGAAATTATGATAGAAACTCCTTAGCGGACTAGGTCCACTGATTTCACTACACTAGATGTAAAATCACTATACATAAACATTTCTCACGATGAGGGTATCAAAGCTTCCTTGCCATGAAAAATCATTACGGGGAACCTACCCCGCCGCATATGAAATATAACAAATTGTGATAATTATTCTTAATCATAATTATTTTGCCTTTATACTCTCTTTTTATAAGAATAATTTTATATGAACACGAGCCTCACAAGTGGTCAAAAGTCAAGAACAAGTTAAGAACGATGTTTCATCTCAAAGCGAGGAGCTTTTGCTAGCTGGGGGTATTGCTTCAGTTAACATTTAAACTCCTGGTCAAATAAAAGATTTCTTACCAACTTTGTTGGCAAACGATGCTTGAAGGCTTGAACATTAGAGCGTAATAGCTAGCAATTGTACTGCTTACACCCTTGTAATCTAAGAACAAATCAAGAACAATCCAGCCTCAGATTTTCGAAAAAAATAGGAACAACCAGCCTGAATTTCAAATTATTGGTTCTCATAAAAAAAAGACTATAATTGTAAAAATAGGGAGACCGTTTACCCTAAACTATGCCAACACATTTATGACGACAATATAACAACCTACATTCCCCTCATAAAAGTATCGCACCACTTCGAAGGAGATGAGATGGCGTAAGAATATCGAAAGGGATTGTTGTGCGAATTGATTGTGTTTTTAAAGGGCCTCTCCAGCCCAAATTATTTTCTATTGACTGAAAAGTTAGCATCTGGTGCGTGTATTATGGCAAAGTCGTTGTTTTTGCAAAATTCCAATTAGTTTAGAAGTTATAAGGCTTCAAAGTTGCACCTTTCCGCGAAAAAACGACAAAAGCCGAATCAGTTTGGTGGCATTCCGACGTCACAATATGCGGCTCTCGTTCGCCAAGAATTTCGTATATCTTTCGTATATCCTCCACCGAAGCGTGAAGGAGTCATGGACACGCGTTGATACATGCATCTAAATCTACAGCAGGAGCTTTTTAGGATCGAAAAATATTAAATATTTACAATCATTCTAAGTCTGCGGGTCGGAATGTGTCCATGCTGTGTCACGACTTTGTTTTGATACCAGCTCTTCCCTCGTGTATAACGAATCGAAATTGAAACTTCAGTTGTTCTCCAGAAACGATGAACAACTAAAGGCTTCATTCAGAATTGATATCTGAATTGCTCAAACTAAAAGCCGGTGGAACAGAACTGAGAGTACCATCACTTGCAGTGTTCAATTTTGCGAATCGCCGTCGTTCGATTCGGTTTGAGGCGAGACTAACGAAATGCAAAGTGATGTCAAAATTGCGCCACAGTGTCACCAAACCCAAAATTGTTGTCGGTTAATTCAATCCAATTATCGAAATGCAAGAGCTATATCTCACAAACTGTAAAAAATATCGAAAAACAAATAACGAACTCGTGATCAGCAGGCTCAACTCCTTCAGATTAGCCAATAAAATTCAAGTGCAAAATTTGGCCGGAGAGGCCCTTAAATGTTCTGGAAATAAACGTTATGACGCCAAAAGATTCCTTTTTTCACTCTGATGCTGTGTTTAGATGTCGGAGGCATATTTTTATCCCCTGTGTCTTAAGTTCTAGGCCAACAGGGCAATCATGTTCTTGGATTTTAAAAAATTTCGTTGTTCTCAATATTAACACGATTTTATAGTTTTATTTTTTTGTTCACTTCGAGTACTGAAGTTTCTTAATTTTTCCACTGTCCAGTACTCGTTTCTTAGCCAGGTTCTTATAAAAAATGAGTGTAGACTGGGTCCAAGTACTCAATTCTGAAAATAACATTTGGGGTAGATTTGAGTTGGTACATTTGGGGTATCATCTTATTCAGCGCATAAAACTTGGTAAGTGTACGAAGTTTCATGCTGGAATCACAATATGCATGATTTTGCCTGTTTTGTGACTTTATGGCTCCCTCTATGGGGCGTCGAGAAAAAGGGCGTAGCAAATGGGGTTTCGAGAACGCCCTATTTCCTCGACGCCCCATTTGCTACACTTGACGCTCTGGAACCCAGGGTACCCCCCACTATAGTCTCGTTCTCTTTTTCGACAATTTCTTGAATAATTTATCTAGATTCCCTGTCTTATTTAGGCGGGCGATTCTCTTTATCTGATTGGTTTTGTATTACAATAAAGTGTTATTGATTGGCTGTAACACAACAATAATGGCCATGAAGGAAGGTTATTGTTCAGGCTAGGCATTTGGCGCCGAAGTTGACGACGAAAAGTAGGACTGTAGAAGGCAAACAGAAAATGGTAGTTATCTTAACCGAAACCTAATAAACATTTGTAATTTGGAATTATTCACGTTTTGTCAATATTATCTTCAGGATTTTGTGATGAAATTATTTTTCTCTGTTGATTTTTCAGGCAGGAGGAAAGGCTGGTAAAGACTCGAAACAAAAGGCCAAGGCCATTTCAAGATCTGCAAGAGCAGGACTACAAGTATGACTAAAATATTATTATTTGAGAATAACGATTTTTGAAATTCGTTTAAAATTGTTTGAAATAATGCCTTTTCTGCTACTTGCTGGTCGTGTATTTCAAAAAGGCTATTTTTCTTTTTAGTTCCCAGTTGGTCGTATACACAGACATTTGAAGACTCGAACCACAAGCCACGGACGTGTAGGAGCTACAGCGGCTGTTTACAGTGCTGCAATCTTAGAGTATTTAACTGCAGAAGTGAGTTTTGGAAAATTCAAGATTTTGAATCAAAAGTGATGGTCCTTTTTACGGTTCTTTACGACGACTTTGTTTTGGCGCCTTTTTTGACAATGTAACAGCGTGGTTGGTTCCATTAGCTTGTTGTTGGCACTCTTAATGTTTTTTTAACTTGCTCAACAATTTTCTTTATGTTACTAATCCGTATGATCCTTCCCAATAAGGTACTAGAGTTGGCTGGTAATGCATCAAAAGATCTTAAAGTAAAACGTATTTCTCCGAGACATTTACAGCTTGCTATCCGAGGTGACGAAGAACTGGATTCACTCATAAAAGCCACTATTGCTGGTGGAGGTGAGCAATTTATTTATGATATAATCATTATTATTGAAAAATACAGTCATTTAAACTAATAAAAGATTGTCATTCAAACTTCATTTTATCTGTTTGATATAGCCCCATGTTTTTGGATGATTGGGAGTTATTTCCTTCTCTTTATAGGTGTTATTCCACACATTCACAAAAGTTTAATTGGCAAAAAAGGAGTTGGACCAGCAAAAGCTTGAAAAATGATAAAAAACTGTTGTACAGATTTCAACTTGTATATTAATTATAAGCATCAATCTATGATAATGGGTCTTGTACAGTGTTACAGCAGCAAGCAGTCAACTATGGACCTGTATTTTTCTTTTTAAACTGTAGGCTCTTTATTTTATTTTTATGTGACTTCTAATAATATTGCAAATGTAATATACACATAGTTTTATGCAGTACTTAAGTTTATTCTTCAAAGCAGTTCTTTCTATTTATCTTGAAATTTTTTACTGTTACAATGTGTCCTGATCTAGTAAAAGGACATTTACTTCCTTTGATAGTTTTATATAATAGTACTGTACTATGATATTAAGAACACCTGGTCCCTATTATTTGATACCTCCAAACCACAAAGCGACTTATCACTGTCATTTGCTAAATCAGTTGCACTCAATGAACATTTTTTGCTACAGTGTCACTTTTGTGATAACATCCAGCAGTTTGTCTAAAATGCCTTCAGTTACCATATAATGTTGATAAAACTTAAGACATGCCAAACTTGTCTCAAAGTAAAAGTCATAAAATGCCAACTGGTGCATGAAAATTGAGAAGCCAGGAGTAAATTTGAATTCATGAAGCAAAGAATGAACACAAAGTACCTCTAAATATGCAAAATCATTTGATAGTGTTTGCCATTAGATAAGATATGAGCACAGCCTTTCATTATCATACCCAAAGCCAAGATAAGTGTAATATGTTAGCAAACATAGAACTTTAACATGGAATTAAGATTTGGTATAATACAAAAGTGCATCTTATACACAGTGAAATATGGTATTATTGGAAATATCATTTATATTTCCCTATTTATGCAATAAAAGTCTTTACAAAAAGGGAAACATTCATTAGATGAGTAAATGGTTTATACCTGTCCTTGGAAATTTCTGGTTAACATGGGTACTGCAGTATCAAATGAAGAATTGTTTTCATGTTGTTCAGTGTATGACTGCTTGTACATGATTGTATTGGTTAAAAATGCACATTGAAAACAAAAACACCAATGGTTTTGAGGACTTATGGCAGACACTAACAATTGTATGTATCAAGTTGGTGTAGGACCCCTAAGGGTGTTATTTTTCCTGTGACCGTGTGACCATTGGTCATAGGAAATCACAGGTAAATTATTTTCCTCACAGGAAATTTTCAACTATAAACAAGGAATTTAACAGTTATACACTTCACGAAAAAGTAGGTAGTTTGGAAGGAAAATAAATGCCCAAAAGAAAAAAATCTCCTATCATTGAAAAAGAGAAACTATTTTTAGCACATTTTTATCATGCTAGGGGAGCAGAAAGTAACCAGCTTCCGTTACAAAAAGTAACAAATTTTGTTTTATTGGTATGGGTGTTTGAGGTACTTCTCTCTTTAGCTTTACACCCCTGGGTTAACAAAAATATTTTCATTTTTCACATTTCATAGATGATGCACAATGTTTCCCAATTTGCTTCCTTTTCATGATATACTATTTAGACCATCAACTGGAAAACAAAATAAGAACTGTCACTTTGTGAAACAATTTCTGCCACTACTCCATAGTTTTAGCAAAGTCTTCTCTCCTCTCAACAGCATAGAGGAGAATTTCTGTTAGATTTTACCCCCTGCTCTGTAATTTAAAGTTCAGATTTCCCTTCTGCACTTTTCTCCATCAGTTCAACTCATAGTCCTATCAACCATACGAGGACAATCACTGCTTGTTACGTGTTGTTTTATCCATCTCACTAAATGGGCAGCTTTTGTTCAATTGTTTTGCCATGTGACAAAAATGTCTTGTCTTTTTCCGAGTTGTTTCTTGCCTCAATCACAACACCACAGATTCATCTCTTCTATACATAACTGTAGTTTTCAGAATGAACCCTTCATCAAATCGCTTCATTCTTTTTCGTGTCTCTTGCTTGATTTAAACAGCATAATTTTTATTGGCTTTTTGAGGTATTCCAACCAAAAATTCCTAATGATTTTCACAGGAAATTTTTTCCCGGAGATTGCGGTCACAAGAAGTCTTTGAAAAAATAACACCCTGGCCCCTTAACAATTCAAAATGTGATTTTGCAAGAGTACCAAACCTTTAATGTTGTGTTTTTCAATTAGAGCTTATTTACTTTGGGAACATTATAGATGGCATTTTACCCTGTTTTCTTGGAGCAAAACAACCCATATTTCAGTTGTGGCATTAGGTCATTTAAGTCCCTGATACTTCAACCTGGAGTGTATTTTAACACAATTAAAGACTATTCAGGAATACAGCAATACTCCTAAAGATTTTGATTTTGTGAAGACATGCACACTGACATGCAGTTGGATTTTGCAAAGAATGTGACCATGGTTAGTAATAGAGGGAGGAAAATTTCGTACTGTCTATACTCTATATAGTCATGAACGATCCGCAAGTAAGCAGCCGTTAGCTGGCTATGCAGGGGCAGATTCACTGGGAATTGGGTCATCCCCCCCCCCACTTTTCTGAAGAACGAAGCGAAAATTTTTGGGCAAAAGTAGAAAGAACTTCAGTCTTCCATTCAGCGTTACCATGATAATACTTAGAAAACTAGAACATGGGAATTTGATCGAGAAGGTAAAGCCATTAACTTAGTTGTGCGTTATACGTCAAACTCTACAAACAAGAGCTTTTAAAAAAGTGACCACTAAAACCATTTAGGACCTTTAGGATATAGTGTTTTCTGAAACGTTTTCTGAAAGCATCATTTCTGAAAATTGTTTTCCGAAAGTATCGTCAAGAAATCTTCTAGGCCTGAAATCTGTAAAGGAATATTTGAAATTCTAGAAGTTATGATAAATTCTATCAAAAATTCTTTAGAACAGCCCAGTTTGAAAGTTTTTTCAAGTTTATAGAAAGTCCCAAAAAGTTTCATCATAAGATTTTACAAAACAATACTCCCAAGTTGGAGTCCCAACAGAGGGCAAATCACTTCATGAAAATCTCGTATACCTTTGATGGAGATCCTATTGTTTTTGCAGAAAACCCCCGGAAATCCTTTTGTTTTTGTGGAAATCTCGTACACTGTTTGCAAGAGTGAACAACCCCTCGCTTCCAACTTTACGATATTGCTTGATATATTCCTTTGAGCTGGTACAGTTCTTCTGTTGACTTCTTGTTTATTGCTAAACTGTGCTTCATTAATTTTTCTTCTCCAAACCCTTAACTAAAAGGCTTACCAGAGGCTTATCTAATGCACACAAAAACTTACGGCTGCACACAAATTTTTCTGGGTACTGGAAACTTTTTAAGGATCACCCTTTCGAGAAGGTTGCTTTCCTATCTTGGTCTAAACGACATTTTCTTTAAAATGGGATTTTAGTATTCATAAAACAACTTTAACTCGTTGGTCATCATCAGAACCATCTGATTGTCACAAGTTGAAAAAGTTGCTGTCCATAACTAAATTAGAAAACATGTACTACTTTTGCCATGTGCATTTTGTGAGCAGGTTGAGTTTCTCTAGATGATACTCTCCTCCTGATTTGAAAAGCTCTGGCATGTAAATGCACACACCAATTCGACTAACGGCCTCATTTTGAAAAAAGTTCTTTTGTAAAAAATTTTGACCTCAGAGGCACACATCCTATAGATTACCGCAGAATGGCACTGAAGTCATCTCATATCTCAGTATTTTTGTTTGATATTTTGAAATGCTATGCTTGGCCTAAAGCCATTGACAGGGCCGTAAATCCCGGGGGGCGGGGGGGACTGGACCCCCCCAAAAATCTGGAGCAAAATGATTTTTTGATCAATTATCACCATTTTCTTTGAAAGAAACAAATCTCTGGTAGCCGGGTTTAAACCAAACTACGTTTTTCTGTGTTATTGCAACAAAACTCAGCCACTAAGTCATGGTGTCAAGTGCAAGTTGACTTATGCTGATAGCTTTTATTTTTGTAAGCAGAGTGATTTTTATATCTTTTTAACCATTTTTTACCGTTTTATTTTTGAAAACAGAATATGAAAAGAAAGAAAGCAAACTGATATTTTATTTGACCTATTTACCAACTTATTTACGCATATTTCTATTATTTGTTTAATAATTTGCTTTTATTTAGTAAATCACTTTCTGTATCATTACAATGTATTCATTTTTGATGTGTAAACATAGCCTACTTAAAACACTCAAATTAAGGAAGATGCACATTTCTGTTCAGGAAGTAAAGTTCTACCAATCAATGCAGCATCATCCCTACTTTCCCCAACGTCTGTCACTAGAGTTTTCTTCCCCTACACAATTTCGCTCAATAAACAATAATCTGTGTTCTTCTGAGAAACGTTGAATTTTTTATCCTTAGCGATCTAATATTTTATTGAATTTAGTCTGGGGGATGCTTTTTTAGCCTTTCTAGAAGGTATAATTTCAAAAATTTTCTTTTGCGTCGGACCCAACCATGGTGGGTCCTCCTACGTCACCAAACCTGATTCTAGCTCCCAAGGCTCAATTTCGTGAGCTGTCTCTGAAAAATTCTATCTATCAAAATTATACACACAGTCAGATGTACCATGTCTTAAGAAATCTCAAAATCTTGACTTTTGTTTTTCAAATCATTTGCCCCTCAACTGTTTTCATAACACATACCATAAATTGCTTGGTGGTGCCATGAACCACGGCACACTTTAAATTGATTTGCCCTGCTGACCCCCCCTGTTCACATGACAGATTTACGGCCCTGGCCATTGATGTCCAGAATTAAAAACCTATAGACTAGATTATTCAAATTATCTGAGAAACTACAGTGTTAGGTTTATTGTCAATTTTCTAAGCGTGGGCTGTTAAGAAGAGGCCTTGCCGGTTACTAACTAGCAAAGGACATAAAAAGGTCTGAATCAAAGAAAGTAAGATTTTTGGGAAAATACAGTAGTCTGACTTGTGCTCAAACATGATTATATGGTCAAGAATTTACTCTGTAAGATCATTCTGTGGACTGAATTAAAACTAAAATAAACTGACTGGGTGAACTTTTAGAGGGTTACATTCCAATCCCACACCCCACCTAGAAGTTTTGCTAAGTACAAAGGAGGTCGAAATAATTGAAATTTAATGATACAAAATATATGACTGACCCTATGCTAAATTATAATCTGAAGTCAAATTTTTGTGGAATGCTTTAACGCGCTTTTGGAGGCAAGGGCGAGACTTCACTATTTTCATTAGGGGGGGGCATGAAGCTGACCTCTGTTCATACCATACAGACTTCTGCTGTACTTACTGTCGCTGCGATGGTGCACCCAATCCTTAGTTGCCGTGCTTGTGTCGCTGTTAACAACAACATTTTACTTCCATTCAAAGAGAAGATGGTGCCACAACTTGTGCTTTATTTACGCTTTTAAAGATACTTTTTACTGTTTTGATTGGATCAAAAGTAATTAACTGTCTGCACTTCACAATGTTTATCTATCTGAGTAAGAAGGTGAGTTTGCTTGTCAAGACAAAACTAACATACTAGGCCTGTTAGTTTTATTTACACTTGTCGTAGCTCAGCACAAATGTTATGCTCTTTCAAGCTATTATTGTGAATATAAGCTATTATGTATTGTATTGACAATATTTCATAAACTTTGAACAAAACCATTTTTGCACCTGTAAAGAAAATCGTGTTCACTAACCTAGAAATACCGCTACAAGACTGTAGAGTATTTTTTCTGTTTGGGAACCACCACAACAATAATTTTAATATTGTGGAATCGTGCATGGAATTTCTAGCTAAAGGCTTTTGAAGAGACCTTATATTACACATATTTCTTAGGTAATGACTTTTTTAAACATGCTTCAAGGTAAAGTAAATAGTTCACTCACATTCAGAGATAAACTAACAAAGTGATCAAGTAATTTTGTTTTCCTAGAATGACTTACTCTGTTGAGATCTGTAAACAGTTAAGCTCTGGACTTCATCGATGTCAAATTGAAGTTAAACATTTTTTAAATTGAAACTTCTTTGGTGTGCAATTTACTGAGAATTAATACAAACTGCTTGTAAAATGTTGTGTTGCAATATACCATGATATTTAATGTCAAGACTATTGCGAGTGTCAGCTCCAAAAATTAAAACTGCAAATTAAAAAGTTTCTTAGCTTTTCTCAATTTGGGTTGTTTGTTAACTTTCTAAAAATTGAGCCTAACATTTCTTATTTATAACCTGTGTTTCTTATAAAAAAATGTGTGTATTTGTTTTTTCTTGTTATCAGAAGTCAGAAGTTTAAATAGTGGAATATTGATGGAGAACTTGATCAGATAAAACAATATTGTGCGGGGAATCTATGACAGATTCTTAATAATGTGTGGGGAGAATGTGGGATAAACATTATTGCATGGGGAATGCTTTCCCTGTGAAGACCAAACTTCACATTCTGGTAACCCTACTTCTTGTTGTAAACACCCTTACAAGAAATACATCAAACGTAGAGTAACTAGAGGTTTAAATAAAGTTGTATTAGAAGTAAATAATAAATTATTGAGTAATGATATTTCAAGCATAAACCATTATCAAGTCATTCATTATTTATTCATAGTAAAATTTTACTTAAGTTCCTAGTTATTTTCTATTATATTGCACATTATAGAGCTAGTATGCATCATAACTTGTTCAATTTCACATCAAATTTTATTGATTTGCTTCCAAATTGCTTTTTTTGGTGCACCTCCAAGCAAAAATGTGCAAATTCCCACATGGATCTTATTATGGGCAGTGCACACTGAGATTATTTTGCATGCACAACAAACTTTCCAACCTGGCAGGACTCAAGCCTGTGATGAGCAGCAGTGAAAATCAATGCTCTGATAACCTTTCTACTAAGTTACAATAAAATGAAAGCCCAAGTTTCAAAAATTTAATGACATTATGTTGCATGTTCTCCTAACTTGCTCTGCTTCTATAGACACTGGGGAAAAGCAAAATCTAAAGAAATTAAAATCCAAGTGCACACTTGAAGTGCACAATTCATGGTCTTGTGCACACTTGGGAGTTTTGGAGGGTAAAGACTCCACCATCCAATATGCTTTTGGTTTGCTGCTGATATTTTGTTTAAAGTTCATCATTTTGTTTAGTAGGGATATGTTTCCAGCAATACCAAAGGTTAAGAACAGTTTTATGTTCATGTGAATCTTGATATGTACCAGATTGGAAAATTTGAAATGTGCATAGCAGAGACGCTAAACCAAATTTTAGTTTTCATGGCTATGATTTACAGCTAAATATATTTGTTTATAAATAATAAATATACATATGTAGTGTAAAATGTTAATGCTGGATGGCTGCTAAGTTGGCTGTGCATGACAAACTTTCAAATCTGGCGTATTTAGAATATCATCTTGCAGAAGAAAATATCAAAAAGTTACCTAGCTTGTTTTTTTCTAGAAATGTGGGGTTAGCATTGGCTAGAAGTAAATTGTGACTTGATCATAAAACAGAAAGTGATGGAGAGCTCTTAGTTTTGCAAAACATCTAGTGATAATTAAATCTGTCAAAATCGTTTTGAAAGTCCACAAAGCTCACAGAAAAACTTTTGCTCAATTTTTGCACTATTTGATAACCAAGAAGAGAAAAAAGATAACATTTTGTTATTAATTTCTATTTAAAATCTAACTATTCAAATAGACCCTATTAATGTTTGTGATATTTTTAGCTGCTGTAGAGAATTTGCTTAATTTTTTAATGAATTGAAAATGAAATTCCACAGTTCTACAGAATATGCACAACTGTACTGAATTTCATATTGGTCACATGCCAGACACTTTTTTGTCGCTAGTCTTTCCTCTGGAAAATCACTGCAGTTGACATTGACCCAAACTTAGGGGGGAGGATGGAGTTTAAAGTGGCAGCTTTAAAATTTAATGGGGTAGAAAGTTAGGCCAAGATGTCCCTTGCTTTACCAAGTTTAAATGCCTTTCTTGCATTTAATGTCTCAATTACATTAATGATATATAAGGTTGCAAAAAATTGCTTTCAAGTTATTATCTTGGTAGTTTGATGTAATTCGTCATTGATTTGAATGTAGGAGAAATTTCTGATTCTATAATTGGACCTTCCAACATCCCTAACAATATTAGAAATATTTTGCTTTTTTGAAGCATATTTTTAGGCTGGATTCACATTGCACAATCGTTTTTAGCACCTTATAACGCGTGCCGATCTCTGCTATACTAATCCCTTGCTGTGCTCAAACTGCAGAAATTTAGATGCGATTAGGCATTGTAACTCTAAAATTAGCAATCTGCTAACTTGCATGAGAAAATATGCAAGATTGATTTTGAACTATTGATTTTGGACTATTCATTTCGGAAGTGGAAAAACAAACCCCAAGCACTGTAACAGGCATTTTACTACTAATTACTGAGCAGAGGTCACAGAAATAATGCAATGACAAGGTTTGCTCCCTAAAATTTATATATTTTTTTGAGAATTAAGCAGGATTATAAATAAAGATTCATGGTGATTTGAAAAAACTGATCAAACAAAATATTTCTCTAAAGTTAATTGCAGTTCTCTAGTTTTGTTTATTGGAAGGATTCCCAATCTCCTTTTTTCTAGATGCCTTAAAAGATTAGATGCCTTAAAAGATTATTGTGAGCGCTAAACAATGCATTTTGATATTATTATATTCTGATCTTAGGCCAAGAGAGGTAACTTTAATATTAGAACTGTTAGGCTGAAGGAGTAGAACATCATAGCGATTTCCATAACACGTTGCCTGCTCACACTTTGACACGAATGGTCAATATGAATAGAAAATTTTAAGCCTAATCTCATTTTCACCAGCTAAAGTTAATCAGCTGAAACAAAATTTTTTTCTATGGTTTTTTTCTCAGGGGCTCTGCCTTTCCTTTTTACTTAAAGCATCTACCTCCAAGATTTGTCTATTAAATTTAGCAAATGTTTAGATTTCTGCTGTGAGGCTCTATTATGGAAAGAAAAAGTTAGTTTTCTCACATGGTGTTAGTCTCACTGATTTGTCTAGAAGGATATCAATTAGCATACGTGGGGCTTGCCCAATGGGTATAGTGGAGGATGCCAAGTCCAAGGGTCTGTGCTTCCAGTCTCTGACATGATCTGACATGACTCTGTTACTAAAAATACATCAACAAACATGCTTTTCTTTCTTTGAAGTATTTTTGACATGAATTTCAGCTGTCTTTTGCCATTTCCACTTTAAAACTTATTGTTCTTTACTGTCTTATTTATTGTCTAATGATTAGCTTACTTAGTTTGGAATTATAAAGTAACTAAGACATTCATGTGATATATAATTTGCTAACAGGAAGCAAAGCTAAATTTGTTAAACACTCAAGTTTGTCCTTTGTCCTGGGCTATTGTTTTTGTGTCCTGGGCTATTGCTTTTTCAAGATTCTCTTGGGCTATTGTGTGTCCTGGGCTATTGTTTTTCAAGATTTTCCTGGTATGATTTTATTCAGAAACAAATTGTTATTTTCAGATTGCAATACCTAATAATGTAAAACTAGCATCAATATCATGGAACAGAGAGCAAGGATACATTGCTTGTGGTGGTGAAGATGGACTGCTCAAAGTGTTGCGACTTGAAACCCAGTCAGGTATAAAAACTTAATGTTTCTTTACATGCAATTAAAACCTTTCTTTTGATTTTGGATGTTGCTGTCCAGTTTTCTTATAATAGTTAGTTTTCCATCAACAGTTACAGATAAGGATGGTAGCATAGGTAGCAAGTGTTCCAGTCGACTCTTCCATAATATGATTATCGATGTTCCCTTATTTTTTAGAAAAAAATCTGTTCTAAGAGAAATTGAAGTTAGGTAGAACTTTCAAAGCAAAATGCAGTATCAATTATTGTCTGATGCCGCATTGTTATTATTTTGGAAATATGGATGAAAAATTCTGACTCTGATGTGAACTAATAGCCAACACCCATGGTGATATTTTCCTTCTTCATTTGTATGTTATAAAAATTGAAAATCACCTGAAACTACCTCAAGAAAGCTGGAAATCACCTGAAACAAACTGCAACTTACCTGAAACCACCTAAAGATCACTGTCTGCAAATCACCTACAACAATCTGGAATCACCTAAAATTGTTTTATCAGAGTTAATTTAACAACTGAATTTGATTTCACTAGAGGTTCTTGTTGTAGCTGATAGTATTATTTACATTTGGTTGTTGGACATTATAGATCCAAATTTTGCTTTTTCTTGCCCAGCTATAATTGATATTTATCAATTATAGCTGGGCAAGAAAAAGGGTAATTTGGATCTATAATGTTATTTTTTGCTAGTTTCTGTGAAAAAGGGTATAAAAGAGGGTTTCCCTTCTAGATAGAACATTTGGCTGCTTCTTCAACTTTGCATTCTTCTTGCAAGTGACATATAATATCTCATCCAAGGACTTTATTCTTAAGGCAACTCTAGTTTTGATTTTTCATGATTTTTTATTCCCATTTGTAGCTTTTCGTACCATTTGTACCATTTGTAGCTTGTAGCATTCCCAGAGGGAGATTTTGTTTTGGTTTTTGTAAATCTTTTGATGGACTTTTTGTAGGTTCTGATCAGAAAGTCAAAGGCTTAGCTGCCCCAAGTAATCTTTCAATGAACCAGACCTTGGAAGGACATAGTGGTAAGTTATTATTTCAAGGTTTATTCAGAACTGTATTATCTTCTTTCTATCTACTCTTCGGGATTTTTTATCTTCTTTGTTACCATTATTCATCTTTTTTCTTTTTTCATTTTGTCTAAGTGATTAATTGGCATGTATATAATTGGCAGATGAATGTGCTAAACTAGATTGATTTTAGTTTTAAATGAAGTGTTCAGAGTTGTGAGGACTGAACAATATTTAGTGTGCATCTGTAATAACCCAGGGGCTGAGTTGTACATGTTTTAATCTTACTTAAATGTTTGATAACTGAAACAAATTTTGGGATTAATTTTGTTGTACTAATGATTAAAGCAGGGTCCAGATATAAGAGACAGCATTGTATTTGTATTGAATGAATTCAGAATTATCAGCAGCCAGTACCTAGTTTGCTCATATGATGGGGCTTTTTTCCATTGTCAGTTGTATAATAGCTAGGCAACCATTTTGACCTCAATGTTAACACGTGACTGAAATTTTTGTGCTGATAACGGGATTGAGGCATGAATAAAACAAAAACAATTTCTGGCACCTCCCTTTGGATAAAAATTTCTCTAAACAAATTACTTTTCAAAGATTGTAGAGTGACTGGTCCAGCAACCCTCTGTTTTTCCCCTTTCTTGAAGGTAAAAAAGCTTATATTCAGATTTTATTGGTTTTTAATTTGTTGCACTTAATTGTTTGGCTTTCTATCTTGCTTGATATCTAAAATAGATTTTATTGATATGCATGTGATTAATTTATCGATTCTAATAAAGCATCATGAAACAAAATATGATTTTTTTGCTATTTCGCTCCAGCAAGAGAACCCTGTCATTCTATGTGATCATTTTTGTTGTTATCTTGTGTTGCCTTTTGACAGATTTGATGAAATTCGCCACAAATTTAAAAAATTATATTATCATGTTAAATTGATTAAAAAGTTCTTGTATGGTAGAGGTGTTTCATGGGACGCATTCAAAAACTCAATGTTTCATGGGACGCATTCAATGCAGTTAGTCTAGTAAAATTCTAACAAGTCCTCAAACACTACGATTTTGGTTTCACTCGAAATATTACTGATAAACAAAAAATCATGATTTTGGTCCAATGCCGCTATTTTGTGGAGGGCTTGCTGCTCACATGATGTTGCACATAACGGTTGCAGGGTTATGTCCCTAAAAATTTTTGGGTGCAAGTACGGAAATAGGTCATTATCTGTAGTGGCAGGTTATTACAAGTCCAGGTGCACCAGGTAAAATATAAATGTTGCCGTAGTTTTTCTACTTTATATGTCCAATTTATATATCTATGTCTTTATATTTGCTATTTCCATTCCCACTAGCTATCAATTAGCACCTGCACTTTCATTCAAATAGTTCTTGTCTTTCTATAAAAGAAGAAACATTTTCTCCGATAATTTTCTCTATTTTTTAGGTCAATGTATTGGCAATATGTTTTTCAAGTATGATTTGCTCAGACAGTAGCCAATTTATAGAAGTTAAAATTTTGGCAAAACCAGTTTTTTCGAAAAGTATATGTTTATTTGTAAAAAGTATATTTCAACTTGACTCCCTGCATTGTATTTGTTACTTTTCAGGTGCTGTTCAAGTTGTTACTTGGAATGAGCACTTTCAAAAGTTAACTACAAGTGATCAATATGGCCTCATAATTGTCTGGATTTTGTATAAAGGTATGTTTTGTTGTTGCATATATCGTAAACAGTAATCCAAAATCTAATTCATTGCTTTAAATGTCCAGAAAGTTTGCCAGTTGAAATTATGATTGGATTGATTAACTTTCAAACATCGTATTTTTTTATTATTATTTTATCACAGCAAGAACGTTCTCCTCTATTTTTTACGTGCTTGAATTTAATAGTTATTTCCTTTTGTTTCAAGATATATTACCAAATTAAGTTTGCTAAAGTAAGTTATCTTTTCTTAGGCGTCTGGTATGAAGAGATGATAAACAACAGGAACAAAAGTGTTGTTCGTGACATGAAGTGGAATGCAGATGGACAAAAGATCTGCATCATTTATGAAGATGGTAGGCTTTTCTAAAACAAATTGTGAGGGTTTAAATAGGTGATTTGGATACTTTTCTGTAAGGGTTTAGTATCGAATGCAACTCTCCTTTATGAACACATGTTTATTGTCAAGACATTCAATTTGTATTTGTTACAGGAGCTGTTATCCTTGGTTCTGTTGATGGGAATAGAATTTGGGGAAAAGAGTTGAAAAATGTACAGCTGTCTCATGTAGAGGTACATCTTTTGCTCAAATTAATTGATGTGTGATAATTTGTGGTCCATTTCTTCATAGTCAACACAATAACATAATTATATTTCTTATTGGTTTGACATAAATGTTTTTCGGTTTAATAGAATACTGTCCCTATTTTCAACTTATCTTAAACATAATGAAGTTTCCAAATATGTTTTTGGTACGGTGAAATTCGAAGATGGCACGAAGTAGCGAAAACATAGCATAGCTACTTAAGTACTTTTTGTCCGAAACTCTTCAGAGTATAAATGTCGGATAATGACCGAAAGTAAGCTCAAAATTTATATCTAGATGTGGCTCGAAAGTAACACGAGAAGAAGAGTGTTTTTTTTTTCTACGTAAACAGATTCAAAACTCTTAAATTAAAAGGCGACATTGCTTGCCCAATGATTTTGAAATTGTCGTCCCTATACTTTTTGGTACACATTGGTTTTGTGAGTAAATGCTGACTAATTGCCGAATCACATTTTATTTTTGCATTTTGTTTTTCGCAAATACGCTGTGGCTGTTCTCTTTTAGGAACCGTTTTGTGCCTGATGCTCACGGCAACATACTGTTTCCGTGAAGTGTCGGAGAGAAAGTACTTAAATATGCTATGTTTCCACTCTTTCGTGCCATCTTCAAATGAAGAAGTTTCTTCGTGTCGCTGTATAGCTGTGATTTTGATTGAGTCTACTTGCTGCTCACAAACATATCTTTATGTATTACTTATATGTTTAAAATTTGCTTTCCCTGCTTTTACTGTTTTAGGATCTTGCAAGATTTCCAATTCCCTGAAACTAATTTCATGAATGTTATCATATGTTTACTAATTTTCTTAGTATAGGATCTTGAGATCTTTTTGTGAATTTGATGTACTTATGTGTTATGGACCGCTTGTATTTTTCGACATCATATTTGATTTTGCAATATTGTTTCAGTGGTCACCAGATGGAAAGACAATCCTGTTTGGAATAACAAATGGGGAAATTCACATTTACGACAACATTGGAAATATGATGGTACATTGCTCAATTTCTAACCTATTGTATTGTAAACCTCGTAAAAGGGAAGAATCGAAGACGCTTGCTCTTTTTTGGATAAAACTGTAAAACACAGAGCTACCAATTCTGAATAGCTATTCCGACCTTTTCAAATCTTTTTTGTAGAGATCAGAAAAAGATTTTACTTTGTTAATAATTTTTTGAGTATGATTACTATGAAATAATCTTTTGAGTGAAATGATACCTGCAAATTTCCAGAAATTCTGACAAATAAATTTCTTGCCATCAATTGTTACAGAACAAAATGGTCTTGCTTGACGTTTGGAAAATAAACTGGAAGAAATGTTTTGATTCGCTTCTCATCCATGAAAGCATTTAAATTTGTGTTAGATTCGGCTTTTTTTAATCTATAGGGTAAACTTACGTCATACTGCTTGTCGAATGTTACTGGGGCTGTTAGAGTATCTGGTCTCGAATGGTGAGTAGCTGCACATTAACTTCTTGTTTTCTGTAAATTTTACTATTCATTTGAAATAATTTGCTTAAATTGGACTATGTGTACACAAATCCTGCCTTTTAGATGAATTAATAAACTTATTCTTATACATATCTGAAATTTGTTATTCTGCCAATTTAGGTTTCTTTTATAATTGAATGCACCTTGTAGGTATGATGGCTCGTACGGCTACACTGAGCCAAACTGTCCTTGTTTAGCAGTGTGCTTTGACAACGGCAGAAGCCAAATCATGCGACACGAGATGGATGAATCGCCCGTTCTTATTGATACTGGTATGGCAATCTCAAGTATCCAATGGAATCACTGTGGCTCTGTACTTGCTATCGGTGGCTCTCAAAGAGTTGTCAATCAAGACAAAGAAGTAAATATTGTACAGTTCTATACACCTTTTGGTGAGCACTTAAGAACGCTGAAGGTTCCTGGTAAAGATTTGAAGGCATTGTCGTGGGAAGGCGGTAGTTTACGCATCTCGCTTGCAGTGGATTCATTCATCTATTTTGCCAATATACGGCCTGACTACAAGGTACGTAGAGCAATTCTGTTTGAAGAATAGCAGACTGTTCTGTAGAGTGCTGTCAATTTTGATTAGTTATTACTGTTTTATAATGCTTGATGTGGTGTCAGCCGAGCTGTACATGTTTTAGTCTGTAATATCTTACAGTTACTCTTCTGCGATGACGCCTAATGAGATCATCAGATCACTTCTGTATTTAAAAAGGGAAACTTCTTCATCAACAGTGATATTTAAAGTAGATAGCACTTTTATTTGATTGTTTCTCCGTTTAAATACAAAATTTGTATAATTATGCTGTATTCCTTAGTGGAAAACGATAAATTGAATGATCATTGTAAGAGTTTAGGTTCTTCAAGTTTTATGTCTCCGAGAGCTTTTAATTGTAATGTATTTTTGGCACGTGTTTATTTTTTGTATCGTAAGGCCTTTTTCTATCGATAATCGTTTTCTTTCAACTTAAATACTATTCTCTTTTCAATGTTGGTCTTATTATTTTAGTGGGGATACTTTGCCAATACAGTTGTTTACGCTTACACGAAACCAGACAGACCTGAATATTGTGTGGTATTTTGGGACACTAAAACTAACGAGGTGCGTGTAACACGATATTTTAGTTGTGTATAATCCCTCTTAGTGCGTTATTTAAACGCTGTTAAGAAAACGCTAATAGGTATATATGTATACATGATTTTTAAAAGTTGCAGAGAATGCTTATCTATACTTCTAACGCTAAAGAACTTTTCATTCAACACTCTTATTCGAATAATAACGAAATGGAAAAATGCAAGATCAAAAGCGAAATGAGAGCAGATGTAACACTTTTTCGGATTTTTTGGTTTGACCAATTAGTGACCGCTCGCCTCTCGCCTCCGCGAAGTCCAAACAAACATTTCTGTCCGGACAAGTCGGTATTTAACAAGGATATAATAATGGTCTGTTGCATAATGAAGGGGGTTCGCTTTAACGTTTGAGTCGAAGGGCGATATTATTTTTAGGGAAGCGGCACTGACTCGGCAGCCTATACAGTCATTTGCTTGACTTCACAGTGAAAATTTGCTTTTTGAAGTTTTTTAAATATATTGAATAGAAGAACAAAGTTTTAAAGACTGATTCGAAATAGAGGCGATGAAAATCACAAAGATATGAAATAAGTAGACCAAATAGACAACAAGGAATAAACAATTAGAGCTTCTTTTTCCTCCAACGTTACTGTCTATCTATCTACACTCTGTGCCATTTTCAATGTTTTACGATGGAAATTTGTTTATTACTTACAAAGTTAATTTTTACTCACAATTCGTTATTCTAATTTTCCTGTTGCACAAGTTTGATTTTAATTATTGAATCGTGCTTAGCGTTACGTGAAGTATGTGAAGAACCTCATAAGTATCAGTGCTGCTGGAAATCATTGTGTTCTCTCTACCAAGGCTGATGACTCAACTGGACAGGTAATATTTGCTTCTACTTGCCATATTTGTCGATTCCATATAATTATGAGCTTGATCGAGTCTTCTGTCCGATTATATTACATTTATTTGACAACTTACCAAGTTTTACACTTGTTTATTTATCGAAACTTTGACTAGCACTCAGTTCTATCATTTGCTTTCCAGTTTGTTCTGGTGCTGTGCAATGCAATAGGAACACCTCTTGATTCACGATATATAGACATTGGTAAGTTTAAATTCACTGGTCTTTGCTGTTTTTCTAGGTAAAACTCCCATCCAAACATTGTTCGCTACTGAATAACTAGGTTATAACCTAATAAAATTTTAGTTAAAAATTAAAATTGAGAAGGCAGTTTTTATTCCATATCTAGAATTTGTTCATTTTGTTTTTGTACATGCAATTGCTGTATGTTTTCAATGTTCTTTTCATTCCATTCTTGCAATGTCCTTTGTCATTTCCTTCAAAAACAGCTCTTAAAAATTTGCTTTTTTCCTTACAGAGCCAGTATACGTGACCATGACAGTGAACAGTATCATTGCATCATCCAAAGAGGCGTTTTATGCTTGGCAGTACAAAAGCGTGAAGAAGTTGACAACACTGGAATTGCAATCTGGTACCAACAAGCTAGGCAGAAGAGAAGGGTCCGAAAGGTCAGTTTTTTATCGATTTTTCATTTGCAAAATTTTTCCATATGCAACCTTTTCAGCTTGATAAAGAGGTAATCACAAGAGCTAATCAGATAATTGGTTAGCTGTCAGTATGAATCAATTTTAAATGATTTCCCCTACATTGCCCTATATAAATTTTTTATGTCTTGATTGTTCAGCTAATGAGTTTTTTTCCAGGCTTTATCATATTGACGACGTGCCATCGGGTGCAGGGGAAGGTGCCGTCGACTACAGACGAGCAATGTCGGTATGTTATTTAGTATAACTTCCTTTGCACTATTGGGCGTGCGAACGTTAGTGCAATTAGAATCACGGTGGATCCATCATCTAGCCTATTCCATATTACCTGACCTATAATAAAAACCTATACTATATTAACTATACTTTTTTGTTTGCCAGTTATATCCCTACTGTCTCGTGTTTATTGGTCCAGCAAAGTAGGGGTATTTGTCTACAGAACAAAGCAATCTATTTCAAAATATGAACGAGCTCCCTTATTATACTCGTTATTTATTTATTTGTTTATTTATTTATTATTTATTTATTATGCTCGTTTCATTATACATATTCTACTAAAGTATGCTATGCTTCTGGTATATTTTGCAATCTTAAATTTTTGTTCTACCAAAAACTTATTAACATATCCTTTTATTGTACAAGGAGCTATCTTTAGTTCAAACACCTTTCCTATTAAACGCATCAAAATACTGATCATTATGAAACCCAAAATATAAATATAGCATAAAAAAGAGTAACTTTTTGATGAAATAAATTGACGAAAATAATTTAGTCTGATGCACGTCCTCTATTTACTATGATTAAAACTACTTATTAAGTTTAGCCAACACTTTTTATTGACCTTTTTTGTAATCCCATCTGATGTAAATTTGAAGGAGATCTGAAGTCGATCGAAGTTGCAATTTATCATCAAATCCTGCGTTAATACGCTACCTTCGTCAAGGTTTCAGGATTAAAAAAGTTTTCTCAATATAATAAATATATAAATACTTAAAATTTCCGGCTTTTATGTAAAGCACATTATATTTGCCTGCTTGCTATCCAAGGTTCGAGATTCAAACCTGCTTGTTGATATGACGTAGAAATTATTCAACAGTTATGTTGTAGAAAATTGGTTAGCTGTCAGTATAGAGCAATTTGTTTTTAATTTCAGCCTACTAATGATCCTGTTTGTTGCATTTGCGCGTCGGATAAAGTTCTCATTATTGTAAGTATTTATGTGACATTCAAAGCAAAAGCAACTTTAATCGGTTTGAAATCCCATTGTCTGCTTCAACGATCTTTTATTTGATGCACAAGTATTTTCAAGATATTATCATCCAAAAAGCATTTATTATCCTTTTCTTCTAGGGCCGTGAGTCTGGCACCATTCATCGGTATTCACTGCCAAAATTAGGCCTTGAAATGAAGCATGTTTTAAACTGCAGACCATTTCAAATGTCTCTAAACTGTTCTTCTACGTATGTATAAAGGCCTTCCTTTTTTATAATTCTTAAAGATCCTTCGTATATATTCGCACCACAGGAAGCAAAGGTTAAGAAGTGTCTCGGTTTCACTCGTGATAAGAACTTGGGATTGTCCTTTGCAGCAATGTATGAATAAATAAATTTTTTCACACTTCGTATCCCATGATCCTCTCCCATGTTGCAATGCAAACTTGAGTTTGGAATGATACACAAAATGCTGCTTGTTTAGGAATCTGTTTTCATTAAAAACCCACAAAGAAGGCTTGTTTTTTTCTATAAAAGTTTAAGCGGTCTCATTCCTATTTACCGTCGAGAAAGTTTTCCCAATGTAACAAATTATGATTTTAGAGCAACCAATAATTTGCATCCATAAACGTTGACATGAGAGCGAGATTCAAGCACTATGTTAGGGATACGGTCCATCATTGTGATCATCAAATAACGGTGTGGATAGTACTGCACAGTTCATGATGCTATGCAACGACGTGCAAACTTTATAGATAGAGGAAATGGTGAAGTCTACGCAACGGCACTTATTGCAATCGCAATCTTGAACGAATAGCATGTAAAGACATCCTCAAAGGCATACGATGAAAGAGACAACGTTATGATTCGTTCCTTAAAATCGTGGAAAGACATCTTTTTGGCTCTGAAAACAAAGAGTTTTGAATAAGGCAATAGTCTTGCGAAATAAGTGGATACAAGAAAACGCCGTTGCGCAGACTACAATTGACAAAGTCTACGCACAGGCTACGGTTATTAACGAAAATGAAAATTTTCCAGATATTTCCTGCAAAGCGCAACACTGGCAACCATAGAATACATCACGATTATCAGCTCGGCTTACTTACTAAAACTTTCTTTTCTTTTTCTCTAAAAAATGTCTTCCCATTTTCTTTTTCTTTTCATTTTCCCTCTTTGTTGAAATAAATTTACCTTAATGTTAGTTATTTTCCTTTCCTGTAGGTTTTTTATTGTTTTAAGTTATGGTGGTGCCAGTTTGTTAATCGTCAAACGTTTTGAATGTATAGCTGATTGTACTTAAATTCTTCCTTTTGTAACTATCTATTGTGATGCTGGCTTGCAGTTTTAATGTTTCATTTGAAGCATTTTTTTTCTAATCTTCATACAGTCGTCTTGCTATCATCGACATAGCTGGAGTTCTAACGTTTTTTGATCTGGTAAGTGATTTGTTTGTATTTTAAAGTGTTTTTCTTGTCTAGAGGACCATCTTGGAAGCCTGATTACAATCTCTGAATTATTGCCTATATCTTCTGATCCCAAAACACGCAAGGAGGTACTATAATATTCAAGCAACGAAGATATAATAAAGAAGTGGAATAAAGAAGTGGAAACATAACATATCGAAGAGTTTCTCGTTATATTACATAACACATCCATGGTGAAAACGTTTATTAGATTTCTTTCATCTTATATGTAAGATTATTGACGAACATTCAATAACGCAGTTAATAGCATGTGATTACAGTTTTTTCTCTGCCATCTTTTATAGACAGCAAAAAAGACAGATTCTTCTGGAGACACGACATTAGGCGAGCATCTTAAGTTTGAGAGGAAAGATGTTTGGGATATGAAATGGGCCGAGGTGTGTTTATAATCCCAAACATATATTTATTTGTTCAATATTTTCCAGCAGAAAGCTATCACCTTATTTATATGTCCTGCAGTTAGAATTTTAACATGCCTGGTTAGGTTCTAGATATTTTTTGCAGAGAATATTTTTGAATGTGGAATCTCGTTCTTTCTGATGCATGTGCAGTTGCACCCAAAGTTGTATCGACAAGGAATAGCAAGAGTGCTTAGGAGGAGGAGAGGGTTAAGGATTGGGGATTGGGGATTGTATCATTTTTTCTTTCATGAAGAAAATTGTAATCTCGAAAAATTATTGCGATCATTTCTTTGTTATGACAGCACTATTTTGAAAAATTATTTCTCTGAAAATTGTCTTTTATGCTTAGCCTAACGAGCATGATCACTAGCTACACAACCGGTTCTTATACCATGATATTTTTGCAGGATAACCCAGAGCTCTTTGCCATGATGGAAAAAACAAGAATGTATGTATTCAGAAGTCTAGATCCTGAGGTATGGTTGCTTTTCGAAATCTAATTTTAGAATTTGGTAAACATAGGCCCGTGGCAACTCTTTCACCCAAATTCTTGCCCCAGTTTCTTCATGCAAATCAAGCACCCGGATATTGAAAAGATGTATTGCCTCTCTAGCCCCCTTGACATTACTTGTTTAAGACAATAGACTATTGTTTCGTCTCTGAGGGTACAAAGGCTTAACCCTGCTGCTGAAGTCCGGGAACTTCATTCATTCGAGTTTTTATTTTGTTATTTTGATAGCTTGGCAGAAATCTCGATCGTTTCTCATCCTATAATTTTTTCACGATTCGCAGGAGCCTATTTTGTCTTCTGGATATATTTGCCAGTTCAACGATCTTCAGATAAAATCTGTACTACTGGATGAAGTCATGAAGGTAATTTGGTTAGCATATTGCAATAAAGTCCTTCTTTCCTTCTTTCAAACCCAATGGTGCCTTAAAGAAGTAAGATACCCCGGATATAAGTAGTTTTGTCGACCTTGTATTTTGAATGACAACATAGCTTAATAGGTAGTCTGATTCATACCCATTTCGTAGCCTGACTGGCACACATTTTTCCACATCAGTGGTTGAGATATTTCTTGTTTTGAGTTTGAATCTATTTGACAGGACCCGGCAAACCCCGCAAGAGAAAATCTCATTGATTTTGAAACTAAGGTGAGGTTGACACTGGTTATTATAAAACTTGAACATTGTTTAAAATATTTTTATGTTTTTATGTTCAACAAGATCTATAAACAAATGAGTATTTTTTTATGTTGCTGAATGGAGATTGGTGTGGCAATTTCCGTTTTTTTTAATTTCAGTTATTTTCATTTTTTTGAGCGGTAGCTACATAATTTCAGTTAACTTCAGTGTTTGTTTAAGGAAAATTCTAAAGACAACCTCGCATCCTATAAGGTAATTTTCTCGATGAATTAACTCACGAGCTTTGTTTAGTCCCTTCGAGATACAAGAGATCTTCTTGAAAAAGTTGGAATTGAAGATGCCTACCAGTTCATCTTGGAGAATTCCCATCCAAGACTTTGGTGAGTCAGTTTGTTTGCATGCATACTCTGAATTTGTATATATTCTTCTTGCAAAATGTTTGTCTCTCTTGCTAATTGAGAAACGAAGAACAACATGTGCCAAACCAGTGTCAAAGTACACTGACCTAAAGCTATATAAAAAAAGATGCACCTAATACAGTCAGTGCACTTAATGAAGATGCAAAAAGATACAGTCCGTGTGCACTTAAGCTTGGTTTTCAGAAAGTTTGTAATTGTCTTATCTGTTGCATCGGTCATATCTATCTCACTTATCTTCGTATTAAAAAGTTGCTTACGTCAAGTACGAAAGGCCTAATAGCTTGTTGTACGAAATAGAATCGATTTTACCTTCTACACCAGATGCAAAGGAAAGCTTGACAAACATCTTTTTTCGATCAGGCGGTTGCTAGCTGAAGCTGCTCTTGGGAGACAGGATCTTGAAGTTGCCGAAAAAGCGTTTGTTCGCTGCCAAGATTATCAGGGGATCAAATTTACAAAGAGAATAGCAAAACTAGATGTAAGAATTATGTCAGATGTTAAGTGCCGAGTTTTGTAGATTTCTCTTAAAAACGTTCCATTATCTTCTGCTTATTTCCGAAAAAGTATCAACGAATTAACCAGTATTCAAGTGCATTCTGATACTCTATATGACAATTGAGCCAGTTCGTTGTAATATTAAGCTATTGGAATGTATAACTCGTCTTTTTTTCTGATTTTCACTTAGAGTGAAATGAAAAAATCTGCAGAAATAGCTGCATATTTTCAGAGATACGAGGAAGCTGAACGCATTTACATCGATATGGACAGAAGGTGACTCAATAAAATTTCTACAAAGCAAATTTTTTAATTATTTGTGTGATTTACGTACTTTTATGACCTAAGGGTTTGCTTGCCATGTGGTATCGTTTTATTGTCGTGTTCTTATATTTGCTGCTATAAACCTTTTCGGTAATTTCAATCAGTTTTTATGGTTTATCATTTCTTTGTACAGGGATCTAGCGGTGGATCTTCGTATGAAACTCGGCGATTGGTTTAGAGTAGTACAGCTGATAAAATCTGGCGGTGGTGGAGGTTAACTAATACTACTTAAACTACTTTACCTTTTTTCTCTCGCATAATGAGCAAGACATTTATAAACATAAGTTGATAAAAGCAATGACTAAAAAGGCGCAGAATGGCCACAGTCACACATGTGCTAAAAACCAATTCGTATTCGGTGATAAGCTTCCTTACAATGTCAAGAGGTGTATTGTATCTTTATCGTTTTTTATGGTGTTTTCTATTTGTTTTGAATTTTTATGAGATCATAAAAGACTGCATTGTGTATTTCTTCTTTTTAGACGATAAACTTCTTGAAAAGGCGTGGAACTGCATTGGTGACTATTATGCGGACCGGCAGAAATGGCAGAATGCAGTTACTTATTACGTTGAAGGGCGAAATGAAGAGCGACTTGCAGAATCCTACTACATGCTAGAAGATTACGATGGTCTTGAGAAACTAGTCAACACTCTGCCTGAAAATCACAAACTCTTGACAGTAAGTTTCCTTTCACCCTCGTCCTATCGAGGACTTATCTTTTCATCTGCCTTTTTGAAACGCGTTTTTCCAAAAGAAATGTTTAAAGGAAAGATTTGCTTTATTTGTTTAGAAAATAGATTTATTTTTTTCTGATATCATTTTTACGTAAAAGTTGTGGTCTTTTAGTCTGCTGCAGAAATGTTTGTGTCTGTTGGGCTTTGTGAACAAGCTGTGCAAGCATTCGAAAAGTGTGGAAAAGTAAAAGAAGCAATCGACTGCTGTGTTCTTCTCAACCAATGGGATTTAGCTATAAGCCTGGCTAAGGAGCACAATGTAAAAGAAATTGATTCTTTGTTGGCAAAATATGCCTCACACTTGCTGGAAGAAAACAAGAGACTCGAGGCAATCGAACTGTATCCTTGAATTGCTTTTTCTTCTTCCGTCAACCTACGCTTTTAATTATCCACAGGCTGTCTCTCTGCAATTAAACAATCTGTTCTCAAGAATATTTTCGAATGTGAAATATAAAAGGCTCTTAATAGAATTGGTTCCTTCATGAAATGCCCCATGATGACAATAGTTATTTTTATTTGTTGTCTGCATGTTGACAGTTGGAAGCTAAGTTGCGCCCAAAACTCACTTTTGTTTAGTTTTAAATTATTTTGTGGCTCCTAGAATGTTTGCTTGAATTATTTGCATGATAATTTGGCTCTTTTGTTCCCTAGGTGCAAGAAGGGGCCCTTTAGAATAAGTACCGTTGAGGCTGAAATCATGAAGAATCTGACTCCTGAAAGCTTCTTTTTTCCGGGATTATGTGTAGCCCTTGTATAAGGAATTTTGTATGTTGCTATACAGATGTAACTAGAGTTTGATTTTTTAAATTTCTGTAGAATTATTCTGAGATATGTTCTGTCACGCCTCCTGAAGCGTGGCACAAGTTGCGCAAGGCAAGTAATAGATATGTCTTTGAATTTTTTTGTGATCCAGGGCTAGCAAATAGCAATTTTCCTTGACTATTTCTGGAGATATCGGAAAGCAAACAACTTCATAGCTGCTGCAAAACTTTTGTTTCAGGTAAAAAATATGCTTTTTGGTACATAAATGCTTTGTAAAATTGTTGATACTGAAGCAGTAACTGCTGTTTTGATAGCCACGTGGCAATACAACTGCAGTTTTATGTTTTTTGTTCGTAGCTGGCAAACTGTAGCTCTCTTGTATTATTTTTGTTGGTTTTTAACAGGGATTTCGAAAAGAGATGTGTGAAAGTCTAACGATGCCAAGTTTCGTTTTGTGTGTTGACTATTGTAGTGATTATTTTCAGCTGTGCATTATTTGGTTTCTTAAAGAAAGTTCAGATAACGTTGTTATATGTTGCAGCCACCAATGGCATATACTCACAGACAGCCCATATTTGTTAAACCAGTTTTGCTTCGGTGTAATTAGCTGTTATATTAATGACTGAATCTTACAACGGCACATATGCCGAGAAGAAATAATCAAACATTTGGACAATAAAACCACCGAAAATTCAATGCTCGGGGATTGTTGCACTAAATATTTAACATGTCTTTCTGGTTACAATAAAGAAATAAAGGGGTGTATGTGCCTCAATTCTTTAAGTTTTTTTTTCTTCCCTTTCAAGTTAGCTGAGGAAAACTCAAAGGCAAGAACGAATCCTTCACGGTCAAAAAAGTTATACGTGTTGGCGGCTCTGTTGGTAATATTTGTTTTTTTCACTTTCTATATTTTTAATTTAATTTTTGCTTTCTTGGGTATCTTCATTAACATATCTAGCTTTAATCTTTGTATTTTTGTGACATTTATACCTTTATTTTTTCAACCGACAGATTGAAGCGCATCATGAGCACGTAAAAAAGAATTCCCAAAAAGGCGTATCTGATAATGGAAAGAGCAAGCGCAAAGCCGACGCGAACTCTGCCTTGTCAGGGCTTCTTGAGGAAGACAGATCCACAAGTGATATCATTGTTATTGACAATGCTTGGAGGGGAGCAGAGGTAAAAGCCTTTATGATAAGCATTATATCCGTTGCTTTGGAAGCAAGAAAAATGCTTTTCCAACTACCATTCCAGGCATTTCAGATCGTGTAGGCGTCTTTTTATTGCAATATACTTCAAAAAGATGAATATATACTTCCAATATACTCCCATCTAGGCCTAGAAAAAGAGATGACATAGTTATGAAGATTATTTTCTTTTCAGGCATTTCATTTCTACTTATTGGCCCAGAAACAGCTGTATGAAGGAAGACCAGAGGATGCCTTGCGAACAGTAAATGTGTCAATTTTCTATCTTTTGTGTTGTTGCCAAATATCTCAACATGTAGCTCAAAATATTCGGATTTTTAGCTGCATTGTGTTAACAATAGAAAATTCAAAAATTGGGCTAGAAAATCTTCACAATATAATTGAACTTCTGTGGCGATTATGTCAAGCGTTAAAAAATATTGTTAAAAATTATTTCAAACTAGAATCTGTCGTAGCAAGTGTACCTATAAGAATTTGTCAGCAATATGTCTTCGATTCGTGCACTGATGTGTAGTTTATTGCAGCTAAGAAACCACTATGAGCTTTGAGTCTAAAAAGTTTTGCTCCTGCAACTATAGGTAAGGTTGCACATGTGCTCGACACATTGCATCCTCTCCATTTAAGGAGTCATATTTTCCGTTTGTTTGATGTATTGTTAATGTGGGATTTTTTTTCCAGTAGCAAGGATTAACCTAGTCAATTATCTTAGCTCGGCATATGTTCACTTTTCACACCTCTTAAAAGGTGCCTGTGAGAAAAAATAACCTATAGCTTTTTCCATGCTGATAACATTTCTGAAACAAAGTAGCCGATTATTTTAGTCTTTCGCATACCTAGTAGGTAACTATGCTTCGTAAAAAGCCACCAGGGACCGATTTCCCTCAGTATTACCTATGCATACACGTATATGGCATAATTCGGTTCTTTTATCCCTGCACCTATGTACGGTTCTAATGCATTGCTGATTCACTGGTTTGGTATTTCAATGCTTTTGTTTGTGTCTATTTTTTGTCAATCTAAGGCAGTCTTTTTTCTGGACGCAGGCAATTCATCTTCGCGATTACGAAGACATCATTGATCCGACCGATGCATATTCCTTACTGGCGCTAGCGGCGTCTGCAAACAGGGCGTTTGGTGTCTGCTCAAAGGTAATCTTTTCTTTATCAAATTTGTTTCCTTTTTCGCTATCGAATACTAAGTTGCAATTATAAGCTATAATAATAGGCCAGTCACTTCCATTCCCTAACCTCCAATTTGCTTTCAGCTTTATTCTGCTTTTACATTCAGAAAGCTGCTAATTATCAAAACATAGGGGGAATCTTTGTACTCCATTAAACTTGACCAAATGTCTCTATTCTCCAAATGTATTCAAATATTGCTGATTATGTATTGCAATGTGGGTGTTTCTTTGATAAGTCACAGTCTTCTTTGTTTTTGTTAACGTCTTTATAATATTGACCAATGAAGTGCGATTCCAGGCGTTTATCAAATTGGAGACGATTTCAAATTCTAAAGATGACCAAAGGCGTTACGAGGAGCTAGCACTGGAAATCTTCACAAAGTATGCTATTCTCTTCACATTCCTTTTCGTCTTTGGGACTGTTTTGTGCGTTTGCACAACAAATGTGATTTCTGTATGACAGGCGTCTGCCTTTTCTGCTGTGTCAACAACCATATCATTTTGCTATCATTTTGATGCATTTTGAGCCTAAACAAAGTCAAATATTTGTCAAATGCAAGTTTAGTTTCGCAATTACCCTACGCAACTAAAGTTTTTAGATGGGTAGATTTTTTCAGTTTTTTTTTCAATTGACAAGGTATTCAGCTTTAAAATCATCACATTCTGATTGTATAAGAGGAAATCTTGTTTTTACCTATCAAATCCCTGATTACTGAAATTTTGAAAGCTCGAATCAGCCAAAATTGGAAAAATTTTCGACCAAACTGAATAACCAAACTGAAAATTGAATACTTAATGAGAAATTTTGATTTTGGATTATTTTATCTGAGATACAGAATTGTTCAGGTACTAGTTGACTTATCACTGTCAAAAATGCAGAATTGGAGACATATTTGTAGCGTACGTGCTGCAGACAATTTATTCAAAACTCGATGAAGGAAAGACATGCTGGCAATAACTTTTATCTCCAAAAGATAAAACCTGCTTCGAATATGAATTTAGGCTGCTGGTTAGACACTGGTTTATTATTTTGTTTTCAGCTGTAGGCCTTGTTATACTATTTCGAGCATTTCTGTTGGAGTGCTAAAAGTGGCTGACATGACAGAATTATCTTTCAATGCTAAGATGTTCTTGAATGACTTCATTTCAAATAGTATTTACTGTGAAATCGTTATGAATGTTTTATGAATAAAGTTTTTGAAAACCTTGAAAATGTACCATTCAAAAAAAATATATGGTCGTTTAGAAAAGTTATGAGAAAGTTCAGGAAAGTTGCATATATATTTTTGGGTTAACCAGTTTCAACAGATCCGTTGAAAACGCTAAGTCGACCCAAAATTTTCAAGACAAGGGTGGACTTGCTCACGTCACTTTTTTCGTAACTCTTTATACTTCAGGTCAATATTAATTATTATTTTTTTGTTCCTCCCGCAAAATATAAGATTTTGCTGTCTAATAGTTCATTATTTGCTGTTTAGACACACCCCGAAAGACAGCCGACCAAACATTGTGGAGTGCTCGTCTTGCAGCAGCCAAATACCCGACTGGTAAGCAATGTCTTGTCAATGATTAAAAACAACCTTTTTTCATATATGGCAGCAATGCTTCAAAAATAAGCTATCCATGTCACAATCACGTTATTTTCCCACGTGATTATAGGGCATGACGAAATAAGCTTCCTGAATTACATGCACTCTACTTGTTTCTATCGAAATCATCTATCTAATTATCCATTATTGGTACTGCTTTTTTCATTTGTTAACGGAATATCCTTCATTTGAAGGCCTTTTCCTTTCAGCCATGTTGTTGCTGTTTAACCTTTAGAACATTGCACTTTGCTAATCTTATTTAGCGCCAAGTCTCATTTATATACACGAGGAAAATTAGTGTTAAACATTGTTTTCTTCTCATCATCCAGGTCAGTGTATTGTCCCAATTGCGACACAAAGTTCAGTCCTTGTATAGCCAGTGGCAGACCGCTAATGGATTATCAGTTCTGGATGTGTCGCACATGCAAACATAAAGCCTATGAGGAAGAGATAAGCAGTCACCTGGCTTGTCCACTCTGTCATTCGCCGGTTTGAGTCGCAAAACTTTGTATATATTTCTTGATAAGATTGGGAGTGATGAATTCAGGTAAGGTTGCAGAGGACTAATGCTGTTGAAAAACTTTCCTCGACAGAGGGACCGGTACATGGATCTGATTTTGCTCCAGCTTACAAACGGAAATACTTGTTATTAAAATGACTACGTAACTTGCTATTAATTTATGATATAATATAGAGATATGATATACAGTTTCATGTGCAAATCTAAATTGCAGTTTAACTATAAACATGAAAGATAGCCTACCGTTTTTTTGCTGTATTACATACTCATAGACAGTGAGAAGCTCCTCACTTGGAAGCTACACTCTAATTATGGCCCGTAAACAACCGCAGACTGCTTTCGTTATAGTCGTCGGACTGGGTGTGTCTTTATGTGGTTTGCTTGCCTGTGCTATTACTGTCTTGGTGCATCCTGCCATGGGAGAAGCTCTATTGACTTGACTTGGTCATTCTCGAATCCTTGTAACAGCCTGTCATCAGTCTATTTATATGTTGTTAAAGGCTAACGGTTCCTTAAGACGAATGTAATCGAGCTTGGAGTTTTCCTTGCACCTGTCGATGAATTTACCATTGCAATGGTCAGAGGTGCTCTTCAAAGTAAGTGCAGCCTTGTAATACCCTCTATAGGTATATGGTAGATTGAATTGACCCAGAACCCTTAGCAGTTTGTCAACTACAGTGTGTTCTATTGCCCTTACACATGTAAGCTATGTCTTTTATTAAATGGTACATCCTTCCACAGATGTCGAAACTAGGGACAGAGTGGGCACCTGCCCCAACTTGCAGAAATAGGGGGAAAGTACCTATTGCAGCTCACAGGGGTGCCTCCGCTTTTGCAAAGCTTCTACGCCTATGCATACGTCCGTTTTCCAAAATCCATGCAATATTGAAGAAGGATGAGCAACTTATTGGAGACTACGTTTTACTCTTTCTGACACAGAATGTCGTACATTGAAGTTGATAATCGAGCTTCTTATGTTAAGTCTTCCTGAACTAATTTATATACATTGAAAATGACTTATATTCATAATTTATATTCATAGCCAAGGCCATAAATTCTAGACCATTAAGTGTAGCAGGTGTACAGAAAACCACAAATGAGTCCAGATACCAAACTGTCAAAGAGAAATATCCTCAGCACTTAGTGTGCTGTTATTTGTTCCAAAAATTATTTTCGATGATTGCTGTGAAGGTCCGCAAAACTCAATAGAAAACCAAACTTGGCTTTTATGTCTTGTTATTATGCGCGACAAATAATTTTGATTGCAGTATCGTTTGTTGCTAAACTGTGATGATGTTTATAGATAGAACTTTAAATTTTGCAATTGTTATAATTATGCTAACTGGTATAAATTTCATATAGTGTAGCTCATAAATGCATTTACCTGGTAAGGGCACTTTTTAAGTATCTCAGTATTGGTTGCTGTTTTTTATAAACAATTTCGATTTAAACAGCCCATAAATTCGCGACTGGTGCTAAGAAGACAAACAATTGAACCCTTTTGAAAAACCATTTCAGCTACTGGTGACAAAACTACGCCTACACTAAATTACATTGTACAGAATGCTATGACAGAAGTACGCAGAGCTAGAAATTGTGGTTTCCGATTGTTTTTTTTTGTTGGATACACAAATATTATAAACTGATACAAAAATAGGGTCTTAATCTAAAATGAGTTTGAATATGATATTTTCTGAATTCGTTAAATAATTAATTTTAAAAGTATGCGAAGAAGGAAGAAGTCATCCAAAACCAATGTTTCATTTTGTTTGATGGTCAGAAAGATGTACAGATTGGTTTTAAATGATAGAAAGACAACATATCTATTAATCTATTATCTGTTAATTTATCTATTGTCTGATAATTTTTTCCAATTTAGTCCAATTGAAGGTAAGTCCTGCAAACCTTAAAGTGAATAGATCATTTTGGAAATGACGGCGCTTTAATTGTATTGTTCAATCACATTGTGGTTCATAGGAAGCATTGACGAATGTTTTTGCATCATAGTGCTTGTGACTGACTCCCGGTGTAGCCACCTCTGGAATCTTATCGCCTTTGCGCTCCTTATTTTTCGACTTGAAGAAGACAATCGCAACCAAGGCAATGAGCAGCACTGCTCCAACCACTGAACAAATTATGATGATCACAGTTCTACTACCTTCTTGATTGGTAGAAACTTTGCTTGACTTTTCGCCTGGCATCTTTGTTGGTTTCTCAGTTTTCATTTCAGTCGTTTTTATTGGCGTGTTCGTTGATTTGCTGCAGTTGCCTTGCGTGTCTGTTGATAAAAGTGGCAAAACGTTTTAATTTTTTTTTGTTATATTGACATTTTGTTGACATAAAGCTAACACCGATGAGCCAGCGTGAATGCTAGTCTTCTTGGTTCTACCATTTGCTCACAAGCCCCAGAGCTAAACAGCTCCACTAATTACTCTCATTTTTAACTGTTTGAAGTCTAAACTACAAAATAATTAGGTATGATGTTCATACAGCAAGGCTTGCAAGCGAAGCCATCACGACTAAAAAGAAACAGACCTTCGGAAAATTCACTTTGACTTTGATCGGGAAGGCATTTGGAGCAGATTTTCCACGGGTTGTTTTCTCCACGTTGATAGCAATAGCCATTTATATAACATGATCCCGGCTGGAAGATAAAAGCAGGTTTTAAATATTAACTCAAAGCAGTCAATTGCTCATGATTAGCAAGGGAATCGTATTATAAGCTACAGTGTAAACGGACAGTTTGCAACTATTAGACGGTCTTTTTCATACAAACTTTGTCATTCATCCCTGGAAAAGTTTCAACTCTGGTGAAACAGTGATGTTTAAATTGTTTCTTTTTTATACTTTTATCGTGTAGAATTGTGTTTAAACCTATACCTTCATGCTCAATTCAAACTTTAGTTACCTACATATGGATGAAATCCAAAATTAAGGACTGGGGTCAAGTACCCCAGTCTAAAAACAGCACTTAGGGGCACTTTTCAGCTTGTGTCTGTTCAGCATCATTATCAACGTGTCAAATTGCCCCAGTGTACCCATTTTCATGCTGGTACCCCAATTTGCACAATTCATGTCAAATACTGTGCTTAGTGCCTAGACTATGAAGGTAAAACCCAAATTCGAGAATCGGGTTCCGGTACCCCATTCTAAAAATAGCGTCAAGGGGTAAGATTGTCAATTACATCTTTTCGTATTACTTTTCAGTTTTTTGAAAGAATGGAGAAAGCTACATTTCATATTCATATAAAAGAGAGTAATCATTTAGAGAAGAATGCCTAAATAGAGACATGGGTACCAATTTCATGTTCTAAAAATAGCATAAAGGGGCAATTTTTCATTTCCTTTTCTGTTAATATATTTTAATATATGATAATGCACCTAAATCTTTCCTTCCCCACTTTTTTCATAAATCAGTAATGACAATTCGAGGACTGGGGCCAATTACACCAGTCTAAAAATAGCACTTGGGGGCATTTTTCGGCTTGTGTCTGTTCGGCTTCGTCATCAGCGTGTGAAATTACCCCAGTGTACCCATTTTCATGCTGGTATCACAATTTGCACAATTCATGTCAAATACTGTGCTCAGCCCAGACTGCTACGATTCTTAGCAGACAGGGTTTGGCTAATAGAGCATGCCGAGAGAAAGTGCTCTGTCAGAATATGCGAGTGTTATTTCAATCAACACAATTTTTTGTTCTATTGGTCAGTTGAACACTAGAAACATAGGACTTTTGACATGCCGCGTAAAGAAACCTTGCAAAAGAAAAGAAGAGCTGTGTCAGAGGAAAGTGCCATCAAATGCCAGAAATTAACTCGTTTTCTTTTCAAGCACAGAAGCTGTCGAAAAAGGGAACCGAAACCAAGGAACCGAAAGCATAGAAAATCAAGTCTCAGAATCACGAGTAGTATCAATAATGATGATATGGATGATCAAGCTTCAGAAAGAGAAAAATCAACGACAAGGAGATGATATTCTTTCGGCCTACTATGAAAAGATTGGCACGCGCAAGCGACTACTTGCCAAGTGTTTGGTTTGCAATGAATCTGAAGAAATTTCAAAAAGATGCTTAAGCAATAATACCGTTCACCTTGCTCATGGAATGAGATGCGATTCAGAGGAAAAATTAGCGAGAATTGTTTACTATTTCAGAAGCAAATCACATGCAGCAGCAGTTGATGCAAAGAAATTCAAAGAACTATGGGAAACCAGACCTTAACCCACCTATGGCTAAAAATCCTTCAAAAGCAAGACCAGTTTAAAGCCCAGAACCTTATTAAACTTGCCATTGATTTAAAATGACCTTCTATCCATATCCTTGCCTTCTATCCATAACCAAAGAACCAAAGAATCTGCATTACAAAGACCCTTTAATTTACAAAGAGATGTTGACAATTATAGCTGAACTGGAAACTGAAAAACTAAAAGCTGAGCTTCAGAATGCCATAAAATTGTCATCCCAGATTGATGAATCTGTAGATTCCATGCAGCATGATAACAAATTCATATCCATCAGGTTCAACTCACCAATAGACCCAATCGAAGTGAAAACTAGTTTTCTTACCGCTGCTAGCTCAGAAATGACGCAGCATTGGAAGATTGTTTCCTAACATTCATGAGGTATTGATATGTAAGGAACAATGATGAGGGAAAAATTTGCAGGGGTTACTACAGATGGTGAATCTGCAAACACTAGATGAAATACTGGGTTTTGGCAGAGACTTGAAGAATGTGCTGGTTAGATAAACTGGATAGAAGTTGATAAACTCTTGGTGTGCTTGTGATCGTTCTGATCTTGGAATAGAAGATATGGAAGACAGTGTTCCTGAGCTCAAAGTATGGAAGACAAACCTGCTCTCGATTCCCGAATATTACCAAAAGTCCGCTGTTAGAAGTCTTAAGACTCTTTTCCCGATCATGGAGGCTTACCACAATGTACGTTTAGCACAGCACACGAATAGCGTTTATATAGCTTCCCTACACAATTTGAAAGGCAGCTTAAAGCACTGGACAAATTTGTCAGAAAATCAAACCTTGGATAGGAAGGAAAGACAAAAGGCTCAAGGCTATCCTATCGCATGGAAAGAGGATGGCGTGAATGTTTATCTCACTTTCCTGATGTCCGATGTATGCTCGGCGTTTCAAACTTCGCAAAAACAGTTGCAGAAAGTATCAATAACCATACCTGACATCATGAAATTCAAAGACGCTACATTTCAGAAGCTCAATGCTATAAAAGAAGCGCCTTATTTTGGCGGTGCTGAGGGGAAATGGGTCGAAAATAATGGCTCCCTAGATTACATGGAATCTATCCCTGATAATGTAAGACTAACAAAGAAAACAAATTTTTTAACCGATGGCTTTCAGGGGGGAGGGGGGGGGTGACCTTTCGGTGCAATTAGAAAGGAAGCGGGTACCAGTGCTATCAATTTCTTGGAACAGCGACTTGATTCTGAGCAGGAAGGAATCATTAAGACTATCAAGTATATTTACTGTTCTAAATCGCCAAATGATTTTAACACTTGTTGAAGACCATTCTTGTAGTGTGCAGGCATATCGAGGGATCAAGTCAAAGAGTTTTCAGATACCATCTTCTAGATTTTTGCTGATCTCAGGCCAAACACTGCGCTTTTGGAAAAAAACTATTAAATGAGGATTATGTACATGCATAGAAGAAGTACTGGACTCGTTCAAAGTCTGCTGTCTGCCATTATCGTCGTATCACCTGACAGTTTAACCATTGAAAGGAGTGTTTCTACATACAACATTTTATGTTTAAAATTGAAGGGGATCGACACTTCAATCAACACCAAGAAGTAAACTGTTCATTGCATAGAATGGTGTCCCAACATCAAAGTTTTACAGGCCAGCTATAGCAAGATTTTTGCAGAAAAAGGATCGCCGTGAATCAAGGCCAAGTGTAGAAACTAACAAAAATAGAGAAATTTTTGAATGGATTTATTGGGACTTTGATCTAACATATATTTTTACTTTTGAAGGATATCTGAACTTCAGAAGTTAACACAAAGTTGTTTCATTTCATTTTGAATAGCCTCTTTTGAAAAAAGGGACCATACAAAATTCCTAGGACCCCCCTTTTCCCGTTTTTGCTTGCTTATCCCATCCCTTTTCAAAAATGTGCCCCCTACTTAAATTTTTTGAAAAAAGACAGAAATGAAATGAAACTTGAATGAACTAGTAGAAAATGTGAATTATATTTCAGGTGCCCTTTTACTGAAGCATGACCCCCGTCGTCATTTCAGCGTCCTTGGTGTCAATTGAGAATACTTTAACCATAGATAGGCCTTGGCTCAATATCGAACATTTATGAGAATTTCATGCCGAAAGAAAATAACGAAATTTCGTAAAGAAGTGTGTACTTACGTAACAGTTTAACTGATTGTGTAGACGGGTAAAATGATAAGTAAAATCTGGCGAAAAATGCTTAATCGAAACTATTGGTCGTGTATTTAGCTTCACAGATACAGATTTGTTGGAATACGTAAAGTGGCGCCACATATTATGTATTAATGAGGTTAAACAGTTTCGGCAAACATTACCTTGATTTTACAAATGCCTGTGGATGGCCTACAATCCATACAATGCCCGTCATGTATGACATACAGTGCAGAGTTATTGCTGTACTTGATGCCGTTGTTAGAGACACGCAGTTGGTACCCGGCGTATGGAACACCAGCAGAACCACCTCTTTGTCTGTCGATTTTCACAGGGTGGGTCTTGAGCTCACACATGACTTCACGGAAACTAAGCAGCACACCTTTGACTATGTACTCGTTATTTTTCACCTTATAAGGCTGGTCAGATATCTAAAAAGAGAGATGTTGATTAATTCTACATGCGACAAAAAAGTTCAGTTGTAGTCGTTGTGAAGATAAGAGTAGGAACTTCAGTTTCTAAATTCTAAAAAAAAATCGATGGGTTCGGAAATCCTTCCTCTTCAGCTTTATGATAAATGTTTAAATAAAAACTTGTGAATGACATCGCTGTTTGCATCTTTTACGTTTCCAATATTTTTAATAAATTTTTACAGCTATCGATGCAAAAATTAGTGCTAAGTTAGACTAAACATATTTCATAGGAATTCCAAGATGAGTGAAAAGAATCAAAATTTCTCTGGGGAAATTGTTGCATGGAGGGTGGTTTACACTATCAATAATGGGATACTCATATTCAGAACAATTCTGTTAAACGTACAGTAAAAGGACACTTACTTTCACTTCTTTAACGTGACAAGATAGATTCTGCGAGTCAAGAAAGTCGTAGCCATTTACCCGGACCTTTAGACAACCTGTCTCCTTTCTTATGTTACACAATCCATGACCAATAATAGACTCGACTGTTGGTCCTTTCTTTGCCTCGATCGAGCAGTCAGCTGAGATAAAACCTTTTTCACAAATGCAGGAAGCATTGACACACCTGCCACGCCCACTGCACAAGTTCGGGCAAAGTGTGTTTCCCAAGTCGGTTGGAGGACTGAATGTATTATTTTGCGCTGGATCTGCCTCCCAGAATGTCATGTTCTTTAGGAAAATTTCTTCGCAAGAATCTTGCATGGTTCGTATTGCAGAGAGAGAAAAAGTCATGTTGTCTGTGATCTGTTTAAAAAGGGAAAGTTTCAAGTGTAAAATCAGAAAAATGGTCTCAAGTTCTTATTCTCAGATAATCTCAAACAAAAATTAGCAGTTTGTCTAATCTGGATTGCAATTTGCGTTGGGAAGATATTTTCGGTCGTTAGCAGTTTACTCACAATATATTCTAAGCTTTGTAGTTGAAATCATAGAAAGTTTAAGTCATATCCACATGCATAGAAGAGGTTAGTGATCTTTCATAGGGATGTCGGATATACATACGTTAGTTATAAATTACGACCAGCACAACAGGTTTTCAGAAAATAAAATTTGCAAAAAGTTTCTCAATATAATCTTTAAAAACATCGATGTTTACTGTATGGTTTTGACTTTTAACCTATGTTTTGGTGAAATTTGTTTGTGTTGTTTATTGTTTTGCTTTTAGACTTCTCTCTATTGATATTACTCTAGCAGGTCACTATGCCGTGAAACTTATTTGGAATTTTTGTTTGCAAGAAAGGGTTTTTTCATTTTTTAGGGAGCCACTATCCAACGTCCCTCGCCTTCGATATAAGCTTACAAAATTTCCACCAAAACAAAAGTATTTTTACAGATTTTTTGATAAAACATTGGGATTTCTTTCAAAGTTGTACGAGATTTCCACAGAGTGATTTGTCCCTCGGCCTTCTCTTCCTCTTTCGGTCTGTGTTTTACGTTACATTATATTCCATAACTATTGTAGCTTGCAGCACTATCCTCTTTCAATGGTGCCGAATGGTATGTTACAGTTGAATGAAATATGAAAAGAGAGTAATGCAGACCAGTGGCAGCTCTAGCCCGGGGAAAAGGGGGGCCGGGGCAAAGGGGTCCGGGACCACGCTCTTTTGGAACACCTCTTGTCTCCAAGAACTGTCATTTAATTAACCGTTGGCAATGAACACTTTGCCTGAAACCTAATTTCAGAGTTTTGAAATTAGAAATATTACGTGTGTAAGAATCATGAAAAGACCTATAATAAAGTGTTACTAGTAAAATCTTTCAAAAGCTACACTGTCAGGAAATCTAATGCAACGATCTGTTCAACGTACAAAAAGTTCACAAAATTTGTTGAGGGGAAACAAAGTTCTAATCGATAAACCAAGTTTTTAGCTGTTTAATATGATGGACTATGAGATCAGCTTCCTCAATTTGATGGCAAATTGTTTTTAAAGAGTTGATAAGTCAATTCTGTGGAACTATCTCTCTCGCTGCTTATTTAAAGAAGATTTTATGGCATTGTAAACAATATCAGGAAACAAAGGACGGCAATTTATAAAATTAATGACAAGTTGATGATTGTACGTTGAAAATAATGTTATGGGTTCACACGAAATCAGCTTCTGACGATCTAGATAAAGTACTTGGAAATTGGAAAAAATTATCCCACAGCACTGTACATTTAGTTTCATCACGAATAGCAACTTGCCTACGGGGCGAACTTTAAGTTTGTCTAATCTATATTTGAATAGTCACATGTATTCGTACCTGTATATCGTCAATGCACTGGTCCACAAATGGTTTGAATTCAAAATCGCCGATCTTTTTACATACTTTTCCAGGTTTGGAATTCATAACAGCTTCCTCACAGTGCCTCTTTACAAAATTGTATGTTTTTCCGGACGGTGTTGGCCAATCTGGTATTGTTATATTCTCTAGTGGATCAGGGTCGTAAACGTAGTCGACTAGTTGGTTATCGTCTGGAAGAATGATTTCATCCTCGCTTGTAGCTCTTCTTCTTCGCTTCCCACAGTGTTTGCCCCCAGGAAAATTCAGATCTTTCCATCCTTTAGTTCCCTGAATATATTTTGGTTTGTTGACAATTGAAGTAAATCCACAGTTCACCTGTGGTCTGTGGCCAGGTTGCTCTTTGCATGTGCAAAAATATTTGGCTCTAGTGGCTGTGCATTTCTTTTTATCTCCTTTGTAATAAAACAGACTCTCGCCAACTGGTAATCTATAATAGATGTCACGAATTAATCAATTATTACGCTTATTTTATAATGTAAAAAAGAAACTAATAACGTAGTTAATTCTAGATATACGTTTGTTTTGCAATCTCGCTTATTCAAGAGTGTTGAAGGCAGCGAAAACCGGAAGTCGCAAGTATTGAATATAACTGTTGACAAGGACCAACAATGATTCAGAGCAGATTTGCCCAAAATTCACTTACCTTTCAAGTTTTAGCAATTAGAAGATATATCTTAATAAGATATCAAAATGTAGCATCAATGATGTAGTTAAAACTTACTTCCAACTCTCAGTAAATGCAGGCGACGTGCCCCCTTTCCCATATGCTGTCCATATTTTGCCGTTTTTATCTGTTAATTCATTCTTTCGATTTCCATCAAATGTGCCACATAGACCTTTGGTACATTCAAAGTCATCGCTGGGAACTTGTAGGTTGAAGTTTGCATAATACCAATTGCCGTACCATTTGTGGGTATCGATTCTAATGGTAGCACCAGATGGAAAGGATATCTAAAGAAAAAATATTCAAAAATCTTTGTTGGGTATGGATTAATTTTTTGCTTGTGCGTAAACTGATAAACATGCTTGATGACGCTAAATTTTCACCTTATTTCTCTTAGAAGTTTATGAGGCTCGAGACTCGGGTTGAGTATTGCTTCAATAATTTTTAAAGACTTTGTGGTATTAAGAAATGTCCCGAAAGTTTATACTGTTGTAACGTCGTTTGCTAATAAGTTAAAGTCATTTTGGGTATTTATATCATTTTCAAGACATAATTTCGAAGGAAGTCACATAAGTTGTGTTATCTGTGTCAGCTCTTTTAGAACGAATAATAGGGAAAAGAAATGTTTGAACCGTACGATAAAGCTCTTTCCATTGTTATCTCTCCTTACTGACGTTCCTGCAGCTGGCTCTGTTGTGCTGGCAAACCTTGCTCTTGGAATCTTGTCCCGGCACATGTCAACTACAATGACGTCATCGCCTTCTCTTGCTGCTATCCCACAGTTGCATGAAACACTTCCACACTTCCATGTCCGAACGTGAACCTGGATTTAATTAAAAAAACTATGTGAGCTGCCAGGAAGAATTTTTTCGACAGTAATAATCAACCAACGAGAAACCAAGAGAATTTTAAAATATGAAAGGATAGATTTTACTTCAAACCGCCGACAGGAACTGTTCACAAGTAGATAATCTCCAACTTGATAGTGGTTGTAACTCCTGTTAGAAAAATATTTTCTTTCTAGTTAACTTTAAAAGGCAATCAATCAAATCAGAGAAAGTATTCATATAAGCGAAAAACTTTTTTGTCAAAAAATCACAAACAAAAAACAAAATTAAGTTACTGTTACATGTTTAAAGAGGCGTTCTAGGATGAAACAGCTTGAAAAAGGGGATTAGGGTGTTTGGAAAACAGTTTGATTTGTTTTTATCGGATGAAAATACTCACAAGCCATCGAATGTTCTCAGATGCGGATCCCCTGTTGTCGTGCACTGCGCAGTACTCACATCCTCAGCAGTAATCTGAAAAGAAGCAAATGGTAAAATCCTTTCGGAGCATGAATTTCTGCAGAATAGTAAGATTCGACGGTATTGGAACAGATCTCTATTCTGTGGTTTTGAACACCAACCTGTTATCAGATCAGTTTAAGCATTTAGTACCGTCAAACTTTCACTGCACGCAATGTAAAATAGCTCTTCATCCATTCTTACAATATCATATCAAAGGCAATTTTATCAAATAGACTTTCTATTTTCTTTAAATTTGTTAACAGTATTCTTAGCTTTTTGAGATTTATTATTTCAAATTAGAAGAAAATCTAAGGTAATATTTTGCAGGTAACATTTTGAGCTGCACTGAAATCAATAAATTTGCTGATAAATCTGAATTACAAACTGTTCAATGTTCCGCTCTCTAGCAAAAACATAAAAACCTTGACATCAGGTATCCTCAAATGCTGGTTCCAGTCAACGGGGTCGATGTGCTCCAAAACATCCGTTTTGAGCAACATTATACGATTCCCGTCATTAACAAAATCTGATTTGGCATATACTTCCACAGATTTTGTTTGGTTTGCAGGACCGGCTTTGAAAATCAATGTGCATAAATCCAGAAAGTTCTGAGAGTTGTCTTGTCCTAGATCGACCAGCACTTGACATCCATGGGGACTCTTTTCACAAACAATTGGCACTGTGGCCTTCACAGTTAATTTGAGTGGTCCTTTTCCCTCTTTCACATTAAAATTCAATTGCTTTGGCTCAACCTGCGGTTGAAATCAATTCAATCATCAATATTGATATCAATTAGTACTATCTCTCAAACTAATTTGACACATTGCTAGTTAATGCTGTTCAAATAGTGAGGCAATGATACCAATATAGTCTAGATAAAATTGTCAATTGTAATATTGGTCTGAATGTTATGAAGACGATATAATATAAGACCTTAAAGGCATTGAGTCATGGTAAATAGGCCTTCTCTATAGGGTGTAGTTTCATGTGATTTCGGCATCCGATGTTTTCAACTTGATATTGTTCGAAACTGTTTTATTAATCAGTACGAGGTGCGTTCATGTAATCAGTTCCAGGTCAACCAATTGCATTGCAGCAAGAAAATCATGACTCAGTGGATCTAACAACGTCTGGGTAGACCCTTTCCTTTTATCATGGTTCAATGCCTTGAATGCAAGTACTCATTCCACAACTGTAAAACGACGTTCTAACAAGCTTGGTCTTTTGCATTTGCATGTATGTAGCTGCTTATCTAGAAGCATTCATCTGGTTTTAAATTTGACACAATCCTTCAAGTTTATAGCCTTTTGCCGAACGTTTGTCAAAACATATTTAGGCCCCTTTTTCTTCGTGTGATTATATAAAAAAAGTGTGAAGATATCCAAAGATGTTAAGTGTTACTGAAAGAATCTTATCTGAAAGTATCGTATTATAGCTGTCCTAAGAGGTGCTCCCGATTGTTATCTCAATTGAGAGCTTAGTTACAGGAAAAAAGATCTTAAAATAATCAAAGTTACTTTTTGCCAGTTGTCATTCGGTGCTTAAAGCCATATAGGCAGAACTGTTATCGCTTTTCGTGTGTAGAACAAGCTGGTTCTTAATTACTAATCCGAGGTTAGAAAACTGTTAAAAGAATTCTCTCCGTGAGTGTTACCATAGTTGTAATGTCCCTGAAGGTGTCAGAAATTGCAATTTTCGTAGGTTTTGTTTAGTGGCCGAGATAATTCTGAAGTCGGCTTTTTGAAATAAGTTCAGATCTTTTGTTTAGATTGAATTCTTGCTAGAAGTATTAAAAACAAGCTTTTCTAAGCAAATTTGACATCATCTTTTAGAATAAGCCTCTGCCTTTATTCTTATTGAGCATTTGGTAGAAAAATCCTCCTGCTTTCTCTTTAGTTGCAAAACGTTTTTCGTACTTCTAATGTTTGATTATTTTAAAGTGGTTAGAGTAACGCTACTTAAATGTATTTTCTGTTAGACTTTTGTAAGATTTGTGCAGATTGCTTCCATTATTTTGTACCTTGTATATTGTACATTGTATATTGTACATTGTATAATATGCTTTTTGTTTGGTAAGCTCCATTCAGGGGGCATTGATCCTTTTTGCTGCAATGGCAGGTATTGGCATTGCTCTCTTTCCTTCATGATGGAGGGCATTGCTAGTGGTAATCTAAATTTCACGAAGGCCGTAATTTGTCTGTACAGTTAGGTTTTTGACTTGTTCCTTTGCAAAAATATTGAACAAGATTAAGACTCATTTTGCCGACTCTCCCAAGACTATTTCCCTTTTTTAGAGAAGTTTTCAAAAATTGGATAAAATGAAATATACAATCATTTAGTAGCAAGCCACTAGTTATTAAAAATTGAATGCAGTTTCTTTGTAAGAAAGATCAAGTGATGACTTCGATTTAAGTCCAAGCCTTACCGTAATGCCTGCAAAATAGCTGTTGCTCTCGAAATATGCGCTCGTTCTGTTTTTTGAGAAGGCAAACCAAGTTCTTACTCTGCATGATATCTGCAATTGGCAAATATATAATTGATAAATATATAATTGATAAATAAACAATAACATTTTATTTGTTTGGATAACTTTACCGTTTTTGAAACAAAAGCAAAATATCTTCTAGATTGTCATTGATGTTTGGCGAAAATATAAGGAAAAAGAAAATTTTTATGCAGAATGATTACAGTTGTTCCAAGGAAAAACAATGGGTCATTTGGATATTGGTTTGTATTCTGAATTGTTGCAACTCTTTCCGCGCCGGTTAGAATCGTCATTTTCTTTATTTGTCGTGCTGGAGTGCCTTGGTACCATGTAACTTCAAATTCTGAGTGTTTACTGTTGTCCTCGCTTTTGAATTCACATAAAAACATTATCCTGTTGTTCTTTACTGCTGGATAAACTGATGGTCCTTTATCGATGGTTGGGAAATTTTCTAGAGAAAAACGTGAAGATTGTTTACTCATGCGAAGTAAGTAAAATTGTATTAAATAAGATGGTTTGTGAAAAATAATCTCCTGATTTGAAGCTAAAAAACAAAAGAATCGCTAAAACCCAGTATTTCTGAATAGAGCGTAATTTGAGATCAGTTGGTCGTTGTAAAAACTAGACTAAATTTTTCTACAACCTTTCTTCTTGTTAAGCAAATTACCGAACTGACGAACGTTCTCCTTTTTGGGGGATTTCCAATACTCGTCTAACTAGACTGGTAAAATTATCCTTACGGTACCAAATTACAGGCTTGTTGCTATTCAAATCGATTGAATGGCCTGATAAAGGTCATAGGATAAAACTGGACAGGCTAAAGCAATACAGCAAATACTTTCCAATCGGGCATTTGATGATTAATGAATTATTACCTACCAATACACATTTTGTAAACACTGCTTTTTTCAAATCAAAGGACAATTTTTAAGGTACTTTTTCTAATGAAGTTTAAGATAGCAACCACTAGTCACGATTTTCTACCTTATTGAAGTCATCATCAAGTTTTTAAGACACAAATTATCCTATATTCTTAACTAAAAAAAATAAAAAAGGAAACGAAAGTAAGCATCGGAACACGCTGATGTACTTGATTGGAAGAGTAATTTGAAATGCAGGACAAACAATATTTTAATACTATTCAGTATATTGTTTGTTTTTACAAACTTGTACAGCCAGGAGTGAATCCGTTTGGTGAATTGGAACCTGGTGGACATGGTTTCTCAGTTCCTGAAAAGTAAATTCTTTGCATATAAATTTTGGAAATTCACAAAAACTTTTGATAGCCATCAAAGTATATCCTAAATATGTCAGATAAAACGGAGTTGCAAAGCTATGGTGACTCAAAGAAGATAAAGACCCTAACTGATAAATTTTCAAAAAAGAATTACGAAGGTATGTGGCTTGAAAACAATTATTTAATGATGGAAAATGCATTCGGCATTTCGTAACTGGACACAAATTTTAAGGACTTCTTTTTTGTTTTGAGGGAGAAAGTCAGAGAGACTTTGAAGCAGCTTGGAAAATATATTCACCATAAAAGATGAAATGCCTTAATTCGGAAAAACAATATTTTATGTTAAATTGATTTTAGACAAAAGGTATAGTCTATAGCTAGATGACTCCAGGTTATTTGCAGTTACCAAGCACGAACAAATTCTTTTATGGAAATGACTTGTTATCTGTCAGGGGTGCGATCATAAAGAGTATTTGGCTTTGAAAAAAGCAAACATTCAGTAAACTAAAGCTTTTCGTCTGACACTCTTCAGAGTTTAAAACGTCAGAACATAGATCGAAAACTCTACGTTAAGAAATATATATACCCAGTTGTGGATCGAAATAGGCCAATCAGAAACACAAACACATAACTGTAAAGGTTGACCAATCAGTGCCGCTTGCCTATTAGACTGTTACCAGTGGAGTCCTAAGGTGAAAACGAACTCCTTTTGTCTACACAGTAGCGGTTTTTTCGTGCTTATGTAGATAGTTTCTAAAACTGCTACGTGGAACGACGATCGAGCTTTACCAATAATCCGAAACATGTCGCCATTATAGTTTTTTGCACAATCTGGGTTTTCTAGCAAATGCTGCCCGATAGCAGAATCGCAGGTATTGCAATCATTGCAGCCAATTTTAGCTTTATATAATAAATTAAAGAGTAGAAGGGTGTCAGTTGCTCATGCTCGTGCATATGTATGTTGTCTGAATGTCAGATTTATTGATTGTTTACCTGTTGTCATCAATATTAACCTACAGTTAAATTTTATGATTTGACTTGTGCCATGAGCTGATATCTTGGCCTATAAATAGTAATCTAGCAGAGAGTCAACCAATTACTCGTCAAGAGCATTATTCAATGAAATACCTATTTTTCCTGTATTTCTAAAGGATTTTTTACAATACCTTAGTAGTGAGGTTACCTGCACAATAATACATGCATCCAGGGGGTCTCTGCAAGAAGTAAACAAAGTATTCCTCTGCCTTAGACTTGCATTTCTTGGCGCTGATTGTCCACGAAGAGGCACAACACGATCCTTGAACATTCACACAAGCTGTCACGTTTGCTATTGTGCCGACGGTTTTGGGTAATGTTCCTCGTGCCCAGATTGACCCGGTAGTGCCTGAAATTGATCCGCTTTCAGAAAGTCTCTAGCAAATATTTGATACACAATATCTAGGCAAATATATAAAAATATCCAAAGTTTTCGTTTTTCAACGAGTCATTGCTTTTCAATTAAAATATTTTTCTATTTTAATATCAATATGGACTAATTTGTCTATTTATGTGATCCCGTATTGCTAGTATTGACAAAAAATGTACGTTTGCAGTTTACACTGGCTCACGTAAGCCCTTTAATGATGTTAGTTATTTGGCCTTCTAGGTGAATTCCATTATTTTGACAAGAGCGAAAATAAGCAGAAGTTGACTAAAAATGCGGTTCTTTTTCAGACATTTAATTTTGCTATATCTTAGGTCTACTATATGATAAGGCTATATCTTAGGTTTACTTCTTTTAAAAATGCTAATAATTGCACATTTATATTTCAATGAATGTAAAATGCTGAATATAGTGTGAATTCCATTGTTTTGGAAAGCGAAATTCAACAATAGTATATAACCTACTATAAAATGCATTTTTTCAAAGATGTAATTTTGGAGTACCCTTAGGCTACATATAAGGTCCACTGTGTCCAAGTACGTCATGAGCGAACATTTGTATTTCAATGATACGGTGCTTTCATTTTATAGCTGGGAATCAAGCTAAGTTAGAAAACCTTTGAAGCTCTTGGGAAATTCCATTCATGTCAGCGCGTTTAAGATAGCACTGCAACAATTCCTTTAACATGGAGGTTTGTTTTTTTCTTCTTGTTAATTCAAAGATTTGCTTGTATATCTAATGTTTAGCAGGTATCCGTAGTAGACTTGATTTCCAAACAAACAGCTTAACGACATTTATCAATCTGTATATGCATTAAAAGTTATTCAAAAAATTTCTTTAGAATAAAATCTGTATCCTGCTTTTCTATATGCATATTGTTAGAAATAGTTATTTGATTTAGATTAAAAGGCTGATTTTGAGGTAAGAGGTAAGAAACAGATGAAGAGAGGTAGATAATCAGTACCGAGGTTTACGGAGTACAATAAAGAATGATTAGATATAATATCTTGTGTTTCCTTCAATGTTTCCTTGACACTTTAACATTAAATCCCTAAACAAGCAGATAGTTCTGGTGTTGGTACACTAGATCATTGAAGTTTAATGGTTTTGAAATGGTTTAATAACACAATTTGTTTAAAATTTGTTTAAAAACGTACATAACTTTCAATGCACTCAACAACAAGGAATCGTTTAATTTCAGAATTGTACGTTCCTTGATAACCGAAGTCAACTAGAAATCGGTGCTACTATGGAATAGCATCTATTATTGATGAAAAAGATATCAACAGTTATGAAAAAGCGATCCAACGTCTCAAATCGCCAAAAAGAGTGAGATGCAACGCTACCCTAGCAACAGTGAGTCCAATGTGGCGCACAGTGATTCAGCCAATCAGCCGACTGCGATGTATACTGCTACTATCTACCTAGAGCTAGGGGCGTATGCGATTGATAGCTTTGCTTGAATAAACCAGTTGTAACGAAGGTCAAATACCAAATCACCGGGCTACTTGCGCCCATATCCCAATTTTAACACGTTATTGATTTTGGCTATCGTGTAACAATCCTGATAATTCTAATCCTGATAAATTTGTTTTCTATCTCTTGCATATTTTGCTGTTTTCGTGCAGGTTGATGGCAAAAAATCTTTTTGTTTTCTGCAATTCAATAAGATAAAATAATACAAATTTGGTAGAATAAATTTTAGACAAAATGTTTTCTGAAAAAAATGTTTGACATATTGGGACAAAACCAAATTGGGACAAAAACAAAAACATACTTATTTTATATAAAAGAGCATATTACACCATATTAAGCTAAATAAAATCAATGCATCACTTGATTGTAACGTTAAAGTCAGAAATGCTCGAAGGGGTTCTCACTAGGAATTCGATTACGCCCAAAGGGGATCATGCACACCATATCAAAAGCTTTCACAGTCATCTTAAAAATGCTGTAAAGTTCACCATAGCAAAAATTTTCGAACGCACTTACTATTGGAAGTTATGAACGTCCAAACTTTTTGCCGTTTAATGTAAAAAAGCAGCTAATCTTTTTTGGAATGCAAATAATTGTGCGATAATCTCTACAAGAATGTGTGATGCTTTATTTTTGGTCTTATAAGTATACCCAAAGAATTGAACGCTGGATAAGCCCGTCAATTTGTTTGTTAGGCCCCCAAAAATTCCCTCGTTGCCCCTTTTTTATTATAATATTTAGTTTTACACAAAGAATCAAGCAAAATTTTTCTCACGAAGCACCTAATTGTTTTTTCTGTTTTGGCTTAACACCCTTAATTTGCGCAATATACATAATGTACTTAAATTTTTAGTAGGAATTTATTCCGACCGAAAGTTAAATCAATCCAAATTTTTAAAACCTTAGCTCAACCTAAAACTCAACCAAATAGCCAACTTGAGAAAAATTACCATTTTATACATTGAAAGGCTTTGAAAATAGCTGAAAGTAGTTTTTTTACCAATTGTTATTTTGAAATTAGTTCTGCGTCATCATCAACAAACGAATACTTAGCCCGTCATAACTGTTTCTCTTCTCACTTCTTTTAGCACTTAACTGAAAGTTTAAAATTCAACTTTCAGTTTGCGTTGCAACCTAAATGTAGAGTTTATGAGAAATAGAACTTGATAAATTTTTAAAACTCTGCATTAGATCTACCATTCTCTTTCACTTTTTTATTTCGCTTGTTACTATTTACTCTTTTCCAACATGAAAAATGTATTCAAAATAGTTTTATATGCAAGAAAAAAAACAATTTAACTTTTTTCATTGAATACATTTTTCCAGCCAAAGTTAATTTATAGACGCTTTTGACACTTTGTATTAAAAAAATAATTTCTTTCGGGCAAGGCTCTCGGAAAAAACTTATCTCGGAAAAGGTATAGCTTCATTCTTGTCAGAGACGTGAAAAACTGGCAGTCGGTCAACTAATGCGAACAGCTTTAGAATAGCTCGACAAGTTAGTTTTTGTTCGGCTACTAGCAAATATACTACGACTACTTGTATCTGTTTAACACCAAAAGTGGTCTACTTGCCGCATGCGAAAATTGGAGGGCAGCTATCTGGAATTGTGCCTCCTGCTCTGCTCGTGAAGCGATACCATCTCGACCTCATTCCAATGTCACAGAACGAGGCTTGGGATTTTGGATCCAAAATGTTCGCTGTGCTCCTTTGCCAGTTGTTTTCTTCCACGTAGCTTGTGCATTCATCTTAAAAGTTCAGGAAGACTTTTGATTTTAAAAAAAGTTTAAAATGTGACCTATTGTTAACTCAATTTTCATATTCTAGGAAGATGCTTGGAAGAAGGACTATTTCATCACTACAACGTCAGTTTGAACAACGTGTTTAAGATACGATCTTCGAATAAGACAAATGTAATTTACAGAGCTCTAACTTTTAATAAAGGAGCATTTCTAGAATTTCCTTAAACAAAGATGCATCTCAAAATAATTGCGCAATCAATTCGTTCTGAATTGTATGAAATATTAGCAATGAATAATACTTATAAATAATATTAGCAATTTGTAACAAGACAATAAGAGGAAGCTCTTTTCTTACCAGCAAAGCAGTGCAGAAACAAGAGACTGCCTATACAAGTGAAAAGTAACTTGACAGCTTTCATTGCATATATGCTGAAATAAGATACGAAAGAGATATCAAACATAATATAACACATAAGAGTCTGTAATAACTTTCTGCAGATACTCGAGAGTGCTGAAATCATGTTTGTGGATTGCAAATATTACACGAGAAAAAGGAAACAATTTCTTTGCCAGAAAATTGGCTGAAAATCTCATAAATGCCACAGATACTTACTTCTTTTAGGGACTCCCTCTGTCTTGATGATTGGTTTCTTTGAAGGAAAATGAGCGTTTTTAAAATGATGTGACTATAATTGCTGTAAACCTCTATCAAGCCAACCTCCCTATTAAGCCCCCTCTCTTTGAAGCCTCTCTAGACAAGAAAAATAAGCCCCTCTCTTTACTGAGCCAACCCCTCCTTTTCAACCCCCCCTCTTTAGCCTTTGTTGTCAAACAAAGAAGACATGCGAATTTAATGGGTCTCTTGACAGGTATGATGATGATAAAATCATGTGCATTAAATACGGGCCCATGTAAATATTTACTTGTGCGCTTTAAGATTCAGTCAAAATTTGCTTTGAAGGTGTCCCAGAGATATCAATTGAACCTGGTGAACCTGATGATGACTAAAAACCTGATGATGACATTGATTAATTAAACTATCGAAGCTGCTTGCAAAGTTTTTTGAAAACATTTGCATGACATTGTTATAGCAAAAAAAACAATCGCATCATTTATTAGTTTAGGTCTGTTGACCGTAGGACAGTCTGGATTCGTTTTCAAATGAGCAGTTTTTATCATGGCTTCTCTTCTTTCCCTTTTTTGAGTACAAAAGCATTTCATGCCGTTGGCGTTAATGAATCGTCTTTCAGACTTTGTGGCATCTTTTTCCATTTCTCTCTTCCGAATTTAATACATACGATTTGTTCAATCTAAGTCGAATTGCTAACTTTCAATTCCCAGATAGACGTATTTTAATAAATTGTATCGAAATTGTGTTGTTTCTTGAGTTGAATTCGGCTTGTCGATCAAAATTCTTTGGTCAGTAATAAGTTGGTTACTTAAAAAATGAAGGAATGCTATGTATTCTATTCTCGCCATCACAAAATGAAGCAAACTGATTAAAACCACAAACTCTTTCAAACAATTTCACAAATGCCTCCTGCTTTTATCATCTATGTAGCTATAAGGTTAATGAATCACAATTTTCAATAAATAACTCCTTACCAAACCGGGCCAGCCCGACTTGCGACCTTCTTCAAATTTCCGTGTTTCTGGAGAATTGGGAATGAGCAACGATATCAAATATACAAAGAAGATGTCAACATACGTCTAAACAGTCTATAATAATGCCATGAGTCACATTACAATAAGCAGACGCATCCAGTCCTCGGGGGGTAAACTATGTCCAATTTTAGACGGGGACGTGCCTTTTTGGTTAAAACGTTGGACTCATAATTCCGCAAATGTCTGAAAAATGTGACCCATAATTCCGCAAACACGATGAAAACTATACCCATAATTCTGCAGAGCAAATAAAATTTTTAAAGCACATAAAAAGCCATCAATCAAATTTTGCATGTCTTATGCCCCAAAATCTCAATATTACACATATTTCATACTTTTATTTCTAACTGGATATTCATTTTGTTAATGCTAAACTTCCTTCCTAATTTTGCAGTATTCCCCAAAATGGTACCCAAAATTTTGCATGTTTCTTCAAATGGTACTCATAGTTCCGCCAAATTTCAAAAAGTGATACCGGCAATTCCACACTTTTCATTAAAAAGGTCCCCATGAATAATGTCACGTCTCCGTACCTTCAAACATGTTAAGGTATCTCTCTCCCCCCCCCCCCCTCCGAGATCCAGTCTGCATCTTATCAGTTAGGAATTTTCTACCACATAATTTGTTAACAAGGAACACCTGAAAAAGGACAAGAAAAGTAATGTCCCTAAAAATAAATCTGTTCAAAGTTTACTGGGATGATAGCGGCAATTTGTCGATTCATCTGCACTTCTTCAAAAAAAGTTGAAACTCTGAGAACTTAAATAAATTTTGATCTTGATTCTCAAGTCTACATGAGATTAACACGGGAGGAAATGTATGGATTCAACTGAGTCCGAATTTTAGGAATTAAAATCGATATAATGGTGCTGTTTAGCACATTGTTTTATTATCAATTTTAATTTAATTATCGAAATTTAAGGCTACATTTTTAGTGGGTGTGGTTCAAACTTTTAGTGGCTTTTAGCGGGTGTGCCCTAAATCGGGCCCTTTGAGTTTGCTTGCCACCCTGCAATTTTGGCGCCCGACCGCCCCTGTTCATCACAGAATGACAGTACTATTACAACACTGCTTTGAACCCGCCTACCTTTAAAACACGGAATCCAGAATCCGGAATACGGTATACGGAATCCGGAATATGGAATGGTATTAAATATGGAATGGTATTAAATATGGAATGGTATATCATTTATCGATGTTGATAGACAGGAAATGCAGATAAAGTGGCATCCAGGATATGAGATATTATGTCATATAACGTGATTTAAAGTTCAGCACCAAGTATGAATAGAAAACAAGGAACGATGTTGTATGGTTGCTTTAAAACTACACGTTCGGCTCCGTATTCTACTAATACTACAGATCCGAAACTTGCAGCTCCGATTGCCTCAACGATAGAAACATCTCGTCAGCAAAATTTTTCAACTTTCTCAAAATCATCGAAAGCTTTGCGCTTCGTTTTTGGTTTCGGAACGCTTCGCTCGTCCATCCCTCGTTGCAAATGTAATAAGTTCAGCGGTCTAAGGACTCATTCCCAGAATCAAAAGGAAAGAACGACAAACTTCTCAGAACAGCAAGATATATATCCACGAAATAAACAAGCGCTCTCATAAAACGAACTGAACATATTTGTCTTAGTATCTAAATACATAATTGTGCAACATAATGGTATGGCTCAAGGGACAAATAAATGATACGCGAAGGTCTATTCAAAATCTGCGAGGTTAATAGGATTAAAAGATATTATGCCGAGAAAATGCAAATGTGTTACTGAGGCAGCCTTACCACTAGCCTGGGTTAAAACGTACCCGGGTTAAAAGTTATCCGTTTTTAAAGTGAGTCAATGGAAACGGCACTTTTCTTTCACCCGTTTTAAATCCATTTTTGATCGTTCCCACTAAGCCGGGTTAAAATGTGTCCAGGGTGAAAAGTTGTAAGAGAAATCAGTATTTGCATCAAAATCTTTCAATTTCTATCGTTGTAGGCCAATGGAAGCAACATCGACATCCAGGATTTTGTTTTTTGATTTTTGGCGCCGTCTCAATTTTTAAACGTTGCTGTTGTTGCAAGTGGATCAAAAGTATCCGGGTTCGGCGTTTCAATTAACTCACAGGTGAGTCAAAAGATACTCGGGTAAAAACTGACCCACTTTGAGACCCGTTTTCAAACTTATCCGTTTTTTAAGTGGATAAGTGGGAACGCGACGTAGAAACGGATAACTTTTAACCCGGATATTTTTTTAACCCAGGCTAGTGGAAAGGTACCCTGGGTACCAGACTCATTATATATGAAATAAATAGAGAGTCTGGTCTAGTGCGCCCCATTCTCGTTCTGGTGTGCTGATATTAACCAATCAGGAGCGAGTGTACAGATTTCTGTACGTTCAAAGGTCACAGCGAAACAATAAACTTAGCTCTGGTGTAAAACATTGAACAGAACAGAACATAAATAAATGCTAGCGACCGTAACGATTGAGTTTGAAGATGCTGTTAAAACTGGACTCAAAGAATATTTCCCGCATGTTGTGGGACTGAACACAGAACAGCATTGAAAGCCTTGTTTGTAAAAAGAAGAGACACCTTCGCCATATTGCCAACTGGCTTTGGAAAGTCTCTGATATTTCAGGCTGTGCCTCTCGTTGCAAAGAAATTAGGCCTTGTAGTGAAATGCAGTAAATAAAAAACATCGCAAGGCGCCGAGAACAAACAACAACAAACACAGTTAATCAGTTATAGCAAATATTTCGCCTGGCATACGGGGCTTCGCTTGTCGTATTGGCCATATTTGCTGTGGTGACCTTCCAACGTGATGATTCTAACCGCCGCGGTGTCCAAGCGCGCTGCCTGCCTTCACAGTGAGGAAGTAGACGTTCAAAGTACACACAATTTATGAGGAAAATTACAAAAGACTTATTTTAAGTTGCATACGAAATTTGATAATGATTAACATTTAATAACTGCATTGTGCTAACTTTAATTTCATCCTTCGCACATGTTTTTTGCTGCCAAATGGCGTTTTAAACCTGATTTGATTGTTATCTTGAGGCAGAAAAGTCTATTACCACTGTATTAAAAATGTCGACTTTAAAGAACTAAATAAAACACATTTGCTTTAAGATTTCTCAAAACTCCTCTGACTACTGAGTTTCTTTGTTATTTATCTGACAGTCTTGTTTCACAGGCCTAGTCTGTTAAATAGACTTCAGTTATTTCAAGTAAGTTCACCAGAACGAGAATGGGGCGCACTAGACCAGACTCTCTATTATTTTATATAGTGAGTCTGGTACCCAGGGTAGTGGAAAGGCTGCCTGAGTTGATCAAAAAAGTGTGAACGTCAACAAACAAACAAAATGAGCTTCAAAATTTATTTTCTGTTTACCTTGTTTGCGCGGCGGTGCGGTTGCTGCGAAGCATGACGTGTGTTGCGAGGCAAAGCACAAATCAGCATTATTCAAAAACTAACCCAAAATGTCAATGCTTTGGAAGCCTTCGTATGATCACAATGTCACTCCGCATTGTTTCCCTATGTTATTTTATCATTTTGGGCAATGGGTTGGTAAATTAAGGCCCCGTTCACACGGGAACGCAATCGTTCCGTTCCATTTTCGTTCCAGTTTCTGGAACGAAAAGGTATACTGTTCACACGGTAACGGAACGATTGCGTATCGATTTTTGTCTATGTTCAGACGGGAACGCAATCGTTCCATTCTGCAATTTGCGCGCCAAAATAAGCGAATGATTTTTAATGCGCATGTCCATAATGGAGATAGATTTCATCATTTCGATTTATCTCTGAGCCATCTCTGAATTTCTTAAACAATTTGAATAAATGGAGAATACAAAGCGCCCCAAAATAAGCAAACTCGTGGGAAAATTGAAGCCAACCCTAAAGGGAAGAAATTTCAATGTTTGCAGAATGGTGTTGAATCTTTTAAATGGACTAAGGGCGAGATTCAGCCAATAGTGTTTTCAAATCCTCCATTTTCTTCGTTAAGTTTATTATTGTCACCTTTTCCTTCCCTCAACAACAACACAGACGCATGCGCCAAGGGCAAAACTCTTATCGTTCCATTTTCTGGACCAGTTCTGCGCGTTTACACGGGAACGGAACGGAACGATTGCGTACCGTTCCTCTTTTCGTATCACTTATTTTATCGTTCCACTTTTTGGAACGGAACGATGTCGTTTGAAGCGTTCCCGTGTGAACACAACCCCTGAGCGTTCCGCTTTTCGGAACGGAAAAGAACGGAACGGAACGATTGCGTTCCCGTGTGAACGGGGCCTAAAGGTAACCAAGAATAACCCATTAAGGTATTACTTCAATCATGTTGGTAGCGCTCAGGGTCAAATAGGGAACTGGGTCAAATAGGGAAATCGGGGTCATATAGGGAAATCGTTAATAACTCCAAAAATTGGACAGATATCTCAAAACAAACCTCAGAATCGGGTTCGGCATGCCTCAATCTACCTTTTAGATGCTTATTTAATTCAACTACGGCAATTTTTACAGAATAAATGATAATGTTTTTCTTCTACGTTAGCTTGATGCGTGTCTCCTCCGTAGCGACGGGAGCAAATAGGCAAAACACGTTGAAAAGCATTGATTTAACTAAAAATAAATAGCAAAAGGTAGAAATATCCATATAAAAAACACATTCTCTTCATATTCATCCAAATTTCACACCTCCTGCAACGAGGCTTACAAGTTTTCTTTAAATAAATCAGCTGAGTGATCGACGCGCTCGGGGTCAAATAGGGAAATCGACATTTGGGGTCAAATAGGGAAATGACTAAAAACTGCAAGAAACAAGCACGAAAAAGAAAACTAACCTCATTCCAAGGCAATGAGTAATTAAATCTGCTCTTTCTATTCATCAACTCGCATCACGGCACCTTGCAAAATTCAGAACGATAAAAGCGAAATTCCTTAAGTATATATCCACGACATGTATCCTGAGGGACAATTTACTGTCAAGGAGGCCTCCAGGATTATTGTTAAAAAAAAAGTTGAACCCCCTGTGTCCCTTCAATGTTGTCTCTACCTAAGCATCTTTGAA